CCTCCCTCCCTCCCTCCCTCCCTCCCTCCTCCTCCCTCCCTCCCTCCCTCCCTCCCTCCCTCCCTCCCTCCCTCCCTCCCTCCCTCCCTCCCTCCCTCCCTCCCTCCCTCCCTCCCCTCTCGCCTTCCCTCCTTTATGCTCTTCTTTCGTCCCCGTCCTCTTCCTCCAGGGCCATCCCTTCATTCCATCGACCATCAGTTCTTGCCTCTCCTTCCTCTTGTTTGTGTACCATACCGCAACTTCTACCTCCTCCTCCTCCTCCTCCTCCTCCTCCTCCTCCTCCACCACCACCACCACCACAACCTTCTCCTTCTCACATTCCGCCAGGTTCGCCATGGCAAGCGGCAGGAGCTCCTGCAAGCTCTCGACGGAGGATGTCCAGTGGATCTCAAGGACGACTTTGGAAACACCTTGCTCAACATCGCAGCTCAGAATGGACACAAGAACATCATCAAAGCTCTTCTGCGGTCTCTAATCCTCCTCGTCTCCCTCTCCTCCTTTGATCCTCTCCTATGCTCTCCTGCCCTCATTCCTTCCTCCCTCCTCCTCATCTGTTCCTCACTTCCTCCTCTCCTGCTCCTCTCTTCTTCCTCGTCTCGTCTCGTCTCGTCTCGTCTCGTCTCGTCTCGTCTCGTCTCGTCCTCCTTTCTATCCTTTCTCTCGCCTCCTTGTCTGCAACTCTCATGAAGTGCGTACAGGAGAGGAGCGAATATCAACACGCAGAATCACAAGGGCAACACTCCCCTTCACTTCTGCTTCACCTACGGCTTCACCGACCTCGGGAATTATCTCGTCCAGAAGGTTTAATCCAACCCCTCCCTCCTCCTCCTCCTCCTCGTCGTCCTCGTCCTCGTCCTCGTCCTCGTCCTCGTCCTCGTCCTCCCTTCTTTCCCTTTCAAACTGCTCCACCTTCCCTTTCCTTTCCCTCCCTCAAATACTCCTCCTCCCCCTTCCCCCCCTTCCCCTCCACCTTCCTTCCCCTCGCTCACCATCCATCTCTCTCCTGCCCCAGCTCCAGTCATGTTCTCCTTCCCAGATCTCCCCAGTTCCTGCGCTCCTCATGAACTTCTTTGTTAGGGAGCCGACGACACCATCGAGAACGTCTCCTGCCTCACATGCTACGAAGGACTTGGAAACGACTAGAGCTGTGAGGAGGAGGAGGAGGAGGAGGAGGAGGAGGAGGAGGAGGAGGAGGAGGAGGAGGAGGAGGAGGAGGAGGAGGAGGAGGAGGAGGAGGCACGGGAGAACGATGCTGACGAGGAGGAAGAAACAAGTTTGCGAAGAGAAGAGGCATCAATGTACTGGCCAAAAGATTGAAAAGATAAGAACAAGAACCGTCCACAGAAGGAGGGGGCAAAAGATTGGACGAGGGGGGAGGGGGCGGAAGGACGAAGACGAGGAGGGGAGGGAAGGAGGAGAAAGGGACATCAGCAGCAAGAGGACGAGGGTCGTTCTTGCTCAGCAGTAGTTGCCTTGTCAAACACGTCAAGAGAAACGTTCAGAACTAAAACGAGCTTCTCACGAATAGCGTTGAGGTAGTCAAGGTGCCGTTGGAGTTCGACCTTCTGGTCGGTGATCAGCTGCCGGAGCTGCAGCTTGTCCGCGTCGACCCTCCGGCAGATCTGTTTGAAAACCTGAAGTACCCGAGGGTGAGACGCTGAACAAGCTCTTGCCCGGTGACAAGACAGAGAAGAAGCCTGAAGCATTCTCCTCCTCCTCCTCCTCCTCATCATCATCATCATCATCAGTAGCAGCAGCAAAAGCAGGAACAGCAGCACAACATATTCATATTCATAATTCCTCTTCATCACCATCACCATCACCACCAACACCAACACCAACACCAACAACTTTCTGCTCGTTGTCTGTCTCAGATCATTGCCGCATCACAACATCACCTGTATCCTCAGCTTGAAGTTCGGATCTCGATTGTCTGCTGCCTGCAACCAAACCATCACACCTCTCCTCCCATCCTCCCTCCCTCCTCACCGTGTAGGGAGGAACTGTCGACAAGATATGGGAGGCAGGAGGAGGGATGGGACGGCTGAGGGCGAAGAGGAGCCCAGGTACTCCCGCAAGGTCTCCTGTGTTGTTGGCTTGCATGTCGATCACTTTTGAGAATTCGATGTGATGAACTAGCGGAGCTCCTCCCGATTTGTCGAAGTGAACGTGAACAAGTTCTGCGAGTACCTGTGAGGAGAGGAGGAGGAGAAAGAAGGGAGGAGAGAGGAGAGAGGAGGAGGAGAGAGGAGAGAGGAGAGAGGACAGGGAGGATGGAACATGATCAGGAGGAAGGAGGAGGAGAACCTTTAGGAAACGTCAACTTCTTGCCAGTGGCAGGAACCACTTCCCCGAAAAGCTTCAGAACGCCCGTGTGTGTCCCACAAGGATCCATCACAAGTGACAAGACAACCCTCCCGTCCTTCCCCTCCTCCTCCTGCGCCTGCCCCGAGCTCGACCTCCAGACCTTGGCCCTGTAGCTCCAGTCGGGAAACGCCTCCGCCATGGCCTCGAGGTGTTCGAAGTATGCATCCTTTTCTATGGTGATCGGGGTCGGCCAGCTGTGGCAGAAGGAGACGGTCAACTTCTCCGAGCACACCTCCCGCATCTCCTTGATGCCATCGTACTCGCTGTCGTTGGGATCCCTCTCCCACTTGGGACGGAAGAGCGTGTGGAGGATAGCTTCAAGGGGCTCCATGAAGGAATCTGGCAGACGTCAGCAACTGTTTCAGCGATGCTCAGCTCTTGACGATGATCAATGCAGAGTTTTTGAACCTGCAAGAGCAGGTAAGTTGCAATCAGTGAAACTGCCAGTCAGCCAGGAGCATGATCGAGAGAATCTAAGAGCCTGTTCTGTTCATCGATTCCTTGACACCAACTGTTGGCTCTATCGTTATCTCCTGCTCTCTCTACTGCCCCTGCCCCTGCCCCTGCCCCTGCCCCTGCCCCTGCTCCTGCCCCTGCTCCTGCTCCTGCCCCTGCCCCTGCCCCTGCTCCTGCCCCTGCCCCTGCCCCTGCCCCTGCTCCTGCTCCTGCCCCTGCCCCTGCCCCTGCTCCTGCTCCTGCTCCTGCTCCTGCTCCTGCTCCTCTCACTCTATCCCTTATCCCTTGCTTCTCATGCAGCCAGCGCGCATCTTTGGAGCATGTCCGTTGAGGGAATGAGCGGGGAAGAGGCCCATGTGGTATGAGCGGGGATGTGGTAAGTTTTGTCTCCTCAAGTGTCGCGTACATGCAGTGAAGTGAGTGAGCGAGGGGACGGGCATGGTGGAGGCGGGAGAGGAGAAGGAGATGGGAGGAAGAGAGGACGAGGAAGGGGGCAAACGGAGGACGGGGAGAAGGGGAAGGAGATGGAGTGAGGATGGTGGGGACTCGAACGACCTATCGCTGACTGAGACTACTCAAGCAGTATCCGCATGGCCCTGAAGGTTTCCCGCACGGATAGGCCGTTCGTTCTGCTACTCTGCTGCTCTGCTGCGCTCCTTGCTGCCTTGCTGCTGAGCGGCGATGATGGTAGAAGGACCGAGCTAGCTGACAAATGGAAGCCTTACAAAGAGCCCACGAACGTCTTCGACGACTTCGATGCAGACTTCAAGCAGGTCTGGCAACAGGATCTGATTGTTGAGGAGCTGACTAGCGTGTGAAGGGAGCATGGAAGGAGTATAAGGCACCATCCAACGTGTTCGACGAGCTAGCAGGGCTGCAGGACGCGGACCACAAGTGGGAGGCCAACGTGCTAAATGACGAGAACGTGTTCAACGACATGCCTGACCGATATCCCTTCGACGAGACCAAGGGAGGGCACAAGTGGCAAGTGTGGGAGGGAGAGACGACGTCCGAGGCGATCAGAGAGGTCTTGTGACATGGCAGTCGGAGCTGGAGCTGACGCAGTTGACAGCCCAATGTCTTCGACCATGGGACGGGTCTGCATGCCATCAACTTGGGAGAGCATGGTGAGGAGAGGAGAGGAGAGGCGAGGAGGGAGGGAGAGAGGAAGATGAATGATGATTCCGCAGCCATTGAGGGGAAGCCGTTCAAGGAGTTCAAGCCTGAGAAGAACGTGGGGACGAGAGTTTGCATGAAGAGATGTTGACGACCTGATCAGGTGTATGACAATCTTGTCCCTGAGGACAAGGCCGATATCCCTCCTGACACCAAGGTGACACTGTTCGCTCTCCTCTCCTCCTCCTCACTGTGCGGCAGGATGCAAGTCCTGAGTGGGGGAGAACAGTAGCGTCCTTGGAGGAGGATCAGAACGTGTTTGATAAGGAACAGTTTCCAGATTATTGAATGAAATGGTGTCTGAATGGTGTGCGTGTGAGGATACGAGAGTTTGCATGACTTTACATGTCGTATACTTGCAAGAAGCTCACGTCGAGGGCCTGCGCCTCAGATGAATAGCTCCATCTCAACTCTACGATACGTGTTGTACTCGTCGTCCTCCAAGAGCGGGTACGCCGGGATGAGGGCATCCTGTTCGCAGTTGTCAGATACGAGCGCAACACCAGTCAGTGCCTACCTGCGACCCGATGTAGAGGTTGTTGTAGATCTTCCAGTACACTTCACGCACTCGCCTGCACGGGTGGAACAGACCCTAACAAGCGCAGCCGTCAGAAAGCCTGTCTAGACTAGAGTTGCCAGTTACCTGCAGAGTGTGCTGGAGGACCCTCGAGGCTCCGAGGCTGACTCGCATCGCTTCGATGGCTTCGAGAACCGCATTGATCACGTGAGGTGACTGTAACGTAACAACGAGTGAGCAGGAGACTTAATGCCTCAATCAAGAGGCTTTAACGACTCAACAAGCGGCAGGCCTCACCTGTTCGAAAATGTTGGGCCACACGAAATTGAGGAGATGAGCCAAGGCATCCTCGCATCCAAGTCCGTACACACCCAGGGTAAGGTGCTTTACCACAGTGCTCGCAGTTTGCCTAGAGGGCAAGGACGAATCAGTCAACAACGCAAGCGCAAGCAACACGAACAAGCACCTGTGCACCAGGTCACGATCCATAAGGGCGTCTTCAAGAAGTGGGGTAACAGCATAGACATAATCCTTGCCCATCTCTCCGATGTACTCGAAAAGGAACGACAACGCTTTCAGAACTCCGTTCTGGACATTGAGCTCGGGCAGACGATACTCATTCAACAACGCCGGGAGGACAGTGAACGGTCCGCAAGTCTCAGCAACGATAGCAATTGCAACCGTTGTACACACACGATTTTGCCTTTCCTGTACCTTCAGATTGTTGAGAAGAACAGCCAGCACGTCCTGAGGGCCAATGGCTTTGGCGATGTAGCCAAAAGTGTTGACAGTAGCACGACGAATGGCCTTCTTGTGCGCCTTGAGCATATCCAAGAGTTCGAAACAGATACGCATCCATTCCTTGGCAGAGACAAACTCCGCTCCCCTGTCTGCAATACGACCAACCAAATCTATACAATTCTCCTGAACTTTCTCATGTCTGTTCCTCAAGATTGGCGTCAGACGTGGAAGCAAATCCTTGATGGGGGGAGTCATCTTCGCCATACCAACAACATTGACAATGCCCTTGAGACCTCCCAAAATCGAGCCCAACACCTCGGGGTATTCCTCACCGAGATACTCATACAAAACAACGCCCAAATGGTTGAGCAACTGAACAATGAAGTTAGAAAAGACTAGAGGTGTAGAATGAGAACTCAAATTACCTGCTCTTCTCCGCAACGCTTCATGACAGCTGCAATGCGACCAATCAGGTCTGCTGCTTGCTGGCGCACTTTCGCAGATTTGTTGTTCAAACGCCACTTCAGTGTACCGCAGATTTGTGGCAGGTAAGGCTTGACTCGTTCACGGAAGGAATTGACAACCGCAGCAACACCATCAAGCATAACCTTAGTGTCTTCCGATTGTTGCTCCTGGAAGGCATACAAGATACCATCAACCATTTGCTCTTCAAGGCGTTGATCAATATCCGTCGTTCCAAGGTTTGTGACAACTTTCTCTATGCTCTCCATGACCATCTTGCGGTATGGTTCTGACTCATCCTGCAATCAAAATGTTACCAACAGATATTTGTCAGAGACAGAAGACTGCATACCTTGAGTCCATCAACAAGTCGATTTACAATGTCCGCCCCACCTACTTTGTTGGCGAGCTCGACTGTCGTATCCACCAACTGCCTGTAGTTTCGGCGATCGAGCGCCATTCTCCTGACCCACAGATACTTGAAGAAGTCTGGCAAGATCTCTGCTTTGACGTAGGGTGCATCCACACCCTCAGTTCCAACACACTGCTTCACAACCTTCATCACAATCTTCTTCATTTCTTCATCAGGTGTCTGAAACTCTCTGATCAGAATGGGCATGATCTCCCTTGTGTAGAATCCAGAATGTTCTGGCTCCATGAGTGGGATGATGAAACCAACTGCCTTCAAAAACGCAGCAAGCACTTTTCCGTGATGTGCACGGGTGCCAATCCACAAGGGCTTGAGCACAGAGTCAAAAGCCTCAATACCGTAGGGCGTGGCAGCCTCCGCCAAGGCAGCCAAGGACAGAGCAGTGATCGTCCTAACCTTCTGTTGTTCATCAGTGAGTCCACCCTCCATGATTTCGACCATCTGCTTCAAATGAGGCAAGACTGCACACCCCATCAGGATGGCAATCTGTTGAATAATTTTGATGCCGGTGTGTCTGGCCTGCCATGACTTCTTGCTTTGACAAACTGCCTTCAAAAATGGGAGGAGTGCAGGAATACCGAGTGCTGAAGCAACAACAGCGAAGGCTCGAGCGGTAGTATTCCTCACATATTCATCTAAATTGTCGATATCTGGACGCATCGTAGCAATCATGGTTGCAAGTCCTGCGGCCTTTGAAAGGTTCGCAATGATTTCACGTCCTTCCACACGAGCATAATAATCTTCATCAATCAGAAGTGGCTCAATCACGACCAAAATCTTGTGCACATAAGGACGAACCAGATCATCAAGTTTGTACAACACCCTGCAAACGTAGTGAGAAAACCGAAGTAAAAGGTAAAAACAAACACCTGTCAATGACCTTCACGAGCAAATGGCGTTCTTGATCTTCCAGGGTAGGGGACATCAAGAGGGGAAGGATTTGATTGAACAATGGTCCAGGTCCAAATTCCCTTGCTTTGTCCGTGATTTGCCTCAAAGCTTGTTTCCTCATCGGTGGAGTGCCATTCTTGACCTTCAAAAGCAACTTCATAATCTTCCTTTCGTTTCCTTCATCCTTGGACAGCTGATCTTCGTCAATGGTCTCGTCCAAAAGAGGGGCGAAAAACTGCAGCAAAATTTGAGTTGATGCGCATAAAACATGGCACAGAAGACACCTGGTAGTCCTCAGGCTTTACAAAAGGCAAATCAGCAGGAGTCGGAGGCACACTATAGGCATCTTTGGGCTTTTCAGCAGGGATTTGATACGCAGGAGTTCCTCCAGGAGTTGGTGTAGCCAACAATTTTCGTGATGGCGTTTGAAGGGGCTTGAAAACAAAACAAGTCAATGCTGATATCACTACGTCATATGTAGTCTGTGTTACCTTGTAACTAGCTGGAGGCTCCAGGATTTCATATCCGTCAGGTGGGAAGAGAGCGTCCAATTCCTCATCGACCCAAGGCCTGTTCCTGTCATCGACATCCCTCTGAAAACGGAGCTCTTGAAGTTGTTCAGGTGTCAAGGCAGAGAGATGGCTGGGAGTCATCATATCAATTCCGCCATAGGGTGTTGCTCCAACTACAGGGGTTGCACCGCCCAGCATAACTGGAGTTTCGTCCCATCGGGATCTCACTTTCTTCTCACTTCCACCTGGCGTTGCATCGGGACCGATTCTTTGCGGCGTCTCATCCCACCTATTCTTTCGAGATCCAATCACTGGAGTAGCTGAGTCCCATCTTGAGGGAGTGGCTGCCTCCGAAGCCTCCGAGGTATCCCAAGCACTCTTTGCAAGCGGAGTGACACCACCAAATCGTTTCGTGGAAGCTGAAGAAATCTGGGACGATCCTGTTCCCATTCTTGAGCTCTCACCATTGGTTTCCGACCTATTTAAAGCAGAGTCTCAGCAAGTGCACGTTTCACAAGGAAATTGAATCTAGAGAGGAAAGCAGCTGGGCTATTGGAAGGCTACTATCAGAAAAACGCAATAAAATTGTGCGCCTGTCAGCGAATCCTTCCATTCTCTATGCCGAGTTGTTAGCCGCCAACGCATAGTACGCTGCGGTTTACTTCTCGGCAAAAGGACAGACAGACAAAATAACAACAGATTGGGAAGCTGGGGAGCAACACTCACTTGACACGCTTCATGTCGGCACCAGCATCTGCACTGTCGCTGGGGCGCTTTTTCTTTTCTTTTTCCTCCTCCATGCGCTTTTGAACCTATTCAAGCAGTAAAAAGTCAGACAAAGCAAATCATGAGAGGTATAGAGCAAGATGGCTGACCTGTGCCATAACCGCTTCACGCTCCTTGGCCAACTGCTGCTCCTCCATGATGTCCTTGTAGGTTCTCACATCGGCAGCAGGCGTCTGATTTCCAAACCAGCACGTCAGGGAGAAACTTCAAGTCAAAGCTTTCCAGTGAATCAATAACAGTGCGAGAGGGAGGGGGAGAAGAAGTGATGAATAGTGGAAGGCAGGACATCACAACAGGCTGTGCACCTGATCTCCAGCAGCAAATGGATCGTGCCTCTCTGGAGAGATGATCCTATTTCTGCGTCGCGCCTTGTACTCGTCCTCCCTGCGATATGTGGTTAATCTCTCCGCCAAGGTTTGAGGTGGGTGCAAGCTGCACCGATCAGCGATCCTCCTTGCGCGATGAGCGTCCATGGGGTCAAACGACTGTTGAAAAACCAAGACAGTCATCCAGCTGTTTGCTTTGAAACTGCAACACCCAAGAACTAACCTCTCCTTCCTTCTCAGTCTCTGCGAGTGTAGACGCAGGAGCGGAGAAGGTGTTTCGAACAGTGGCTTTCGGCATGATGGACTGCAGGTGTGACTCTGCGTCCGCTTGATCGTCCTCATCGTTGACAGCGATGGAGGTCGCATACTGTGATCTGAAAAAGTACAATAAGAAGATGTTTCATTCATGCAACAAGTAGATTACTTGTCAATTGCCTCGTTCTCCCACACATCCATCTTGAATTATTGCTTTGTACAGAAAACCAAAATTTGTGCTGCGGGCAGTAAAGTCACGATTCAATGACAAACAACAACACATCACTTACATCGGATGAGTGTCTGACCTAGATAGATCCCGGCTACCTATGGCAGCTGAAATTTACCTGCACAGAGATGTCATTTCCAGCGATCAGCCAAGAGTCTGATCCTGCATTTCGAGCTTTGTCTAGCAACAACAAGGCGCAAAGCTCCAACCATGATAATACAACTACAACATGATATTGCAAACAAAGACAATAGATAGGATTGACCAAGAGCAAATTCAATTAAGACAAGTCTCCCTTTTCCTGACCAAATCCCTACAAATCATGGGAACCTACTTCTACACAACACCTCCAAGCATCAGACATGGTGTCTTCAAAATACATCTAACATGTAAAACTTCATCATCACTTCATCTCTTTGCAGAATCAGTTGTTTCCCCAAAACTTGCTCTGTGTCCCTCTTCTCCCCTCCCTCTCTCCCGCCATGCCGCTCCGCTGCTTTGCCTCTGCCACCCCACCCACCCCTACCCCCTTGTGTCCCACCTAATGTACCACCCACCCCGAACCTTAGCAAATCTGAACGATGCCACCCCCACTTTGAGCAACTCTTCCTATCTGTGATCCTGTGGGTCGGTACCTTCACCCACCCCAATCAAAATCCATCCCCCTAATCCAGGGAATTTTTACATATACCTTTCTAGTACCGGTGGTGGTGAATCATCTACCCTACCCCATTGAAATCAACCACACATCCTCCCGAACAAGAGTGTTAATAACCCACCCTTCAAGCCTCAGTGGCTCACCCCCCACCCACCAAAACACCAAGAAGGACCTCCTCGTGCCTGCCGGTTACGTCACAGGACGGAGCAGGTAACGACTTATCGTTACTTTTATAATATATATTGTAACCGCCCGAGGATTTGGGCCGGACCCGGCAGGGCCCGGGAATTGCGTCCCTCTAAATCGACTGAGAGGCCGGCCCTCTTGCTGCCATGGCAGAGGAACGAGTGCAGTAGCCGCCTCGTCTCGCCCTCTCTCGATCAGCTGAGCATTGTGCCCTGATCCTCCTGTCTTCCTCCAGTGTCAGTAGTCGGCAGGTCCCTTGGGCAGCGCCTGCAGGTAGGCACATGAGCCATGTGCTGAAGCGTCGTGGAATCCTTCCCGTCCACATCCTAGTGAGGACGGCGATCCTGCCCGGACGGCAGAGGAGGCTCATGGGCCCAGGTAGAAGCTGCATGGAGGATTGATGGGACTGTGTTGCATCGCGTGGTGGCACGAGCTCTTGTCTCGTGGTTCTCATCCTTGTTTCAGCCTTCTCCCACGTCACGATGCGCATCCGTGAAACCATCGTCTCTGCCATGGACGACAAGCTTGCCAGTGGAACCGTGGCTTCGGAGCTGGTCTATGGTGTTTTGAAGGCGCTCAGGTAAGACCTGCCTACTGTGCTCTCGGTACTGAGTTTGTTCTTCAGCCTTGCGTACTCTGCCGGGTTGTGGGTGAGGAAGGTCGCGTACAGGCTGCAACTGCTGCGGACGCATGTCCTCCCTGTCCCCGTGATCAGGTCAGGCAAGAGGAGGAAGGCAGTGTTAGGATGACGTGGACGTCGCACAAGTGTCGGGAACGTGACGGTGGGAGGGAGCGGGAAGACACCGATGTGCGTTTACCTTGCGAAGCTGTCGAGGATGGCCAACCTGAGGTTGGACAGGCTGAAGGGGGAGGAGTGGACTGAGGACTTGTAGGCCTCTGGTGCTGACGAGAGGATACGGCGAAGACGAAGATAAGATGATGATGCAACTGTGAGTGAAGAGAACGAAGATGAACGGGATTTGGTTGGTGGGATGTTTGTGGTCGTGGGGGAAGGAGCGGAGGAGGGGGAGAAAGGAGAAGTGAGGCAAAAGAGAAGGGGAGCAAGGGGAGCAAGAGAGAGGGGGAGGAGAAGAGGGAGCGGGAGGGACTTGAGATAGATTTGATGAATGGAATGCAGATTGGACGGCGTTGCTGGAGTAGGGTCGGGTGCAAGGCGATACGAGATAGGAAGTCACATGTTGAATAACGAAGATGATCAGGTTCTTTCAATGATGCTTCATCAGCCTGATATCCTGTTATGCTTCCATCATTTTTAAATGTCTTCATCCTTCACTTCTTACCAGTTGTCTGCTGTTACTCATGCTTGACTTGCTACATTCCTGGAAGAGATTATGCTCTCATTGTGTTTGTCAACCTCATTGAATGCGTCTTCGTCAGTTACAAACTCTGGATTGCAAGTACAAGCATCTCCCCAACGGAACCATGGAGGTCAGGATCGATTGCTTGACGATTAAACTCATCTCGATCACCAACCGTTTGCGAAGACGTCGGCTAACCATGGCCTCAACTACGACCTGATCATCTTGGATGACGGCTTGCAGCACTCACGAATCCTGCGTGACTTCCACGTGGTGAGACCACAAGCCCATGCTAACGATGACACATCACATCTGGACTTCACATCTGACACGTCTGATCGCTAGGTTATGATCAATTGCCTGGATCCTCCCACCCAGCACAAGCACCTCCTCCCAAGGTGAACTCATCGTTGAATGTGTTTCCGCGACTTCTCTGACCTGTTGGAGAAGAGGGAGGCTGAGGGAACCGTTGTGCGATGCGATCAAGCTCGCCGATGTGATCGTTGTGCACAATGCTGACAAAGTGAGCGAGAGGAAAGTGCAAGAGGTAGAAGACGACGTTCGGAGTCTGGCCGTCAACTCCCGCGGAAAGAGTTTCAATGTGCGCACAGCAAGCGGACTTTGCGAGATGCCGATGTCTGAAGAGAGTTGCAGACGACTGAGAGGAAGATGCATCTGACGGTGAGGTCGCACTTCTCTCCATCGCGGATGACGCGGCTGACGTGCAAGTAAGTGTAGGGGAACATTCTTATGTGAGAGTTGTGAGGTACAAGTTGCAGGGGAGATCAGGATAGGGAGATGCCAAGGTACTTCCAACAACTACGATAGTCCTCAAAGGAGTTTGAAGTGGTTTTGACTTTGGTGTCAGAAGACAAGAGCTAGAGCTGTCGAATTGTGCTGTTTATTGCTTTGCCGGGATAGCTAACCCAGAAGGTTGTGCGTCTTTCTGATTTGTTTAGAGAACACCAATAAGGAATGTACAATTATTATCACACCTTGATGTTCGAAACATTCTGAATGAGCAATGCTCGTGCATTAGATCATATAGTGTTGATTTTTGAGTGCTGACTGCTGACTTGTTATCTTTTCTCTCCTGTCATGATGCATGTGTTTGTGTTCCTCACTAATCGTGACTCTGTTTCTTCACCTGCAGGATTTTTCCAATCGGTGAAGAGTTTATCACCTGCCCTTTACCTGGGAGGTAAAAAATTCGCAAATTCTTGAGGAGGCGATTTTACATGTCTCTCAACAGAAACTTCTTTTCCTGATCATCACAAGTACTGTTTAAGGTGAGATTTGCAGTGTCAGGCAGAGTATGAATGCTGCAGAGCTTTTAAGATCTGTATCTTCCATGCTTGACAAGTCCCATATCAGAGATCTTGAGGACATCACACAAGCTGCCAAGAGGGAAAATCAAGAGATTGTTTGTGTTCTTATGTTGTCTTTCGTTGTATCTCACGTCTTTCTACCAGCATGAAGATCGTCTCCCCATAGTGATCATCACGACGGAAAAGGCAACATATCAGCTCGCGTTGCTTGCCTTGAACGTGGACACAGGACGTGGCAAGGAGCGGAGAGATGATAGAAACTTTCTTCAACCAGCAGCAAGTGGAGGTAGCAAGAGGGCATGGAGGGAGTGAGATAGCAAACCCCTGGAGCAGGTTTGCATTCTAGGAGGAGACCTCGTCCTTCACGGCGATCCATGTGAGTTTCAGATGCAACGAGCACCTGTTGCATGGTAGTTGCGGCAGTTGACAGAGATGGAGTGGGAAAGCATGAACATGGCAATCACAAAGAATGCAAAAGTTGTTGTCTACGTGCGCGTAAGTGGGAGGCAGGCTTGTGTAATCATGATCATGTTTTGTGCTGTTGACTTGTCAAGGAGACGAAAGCGCTTGTCCACCTTAGGATCCTCCTCGACGTCACTTGTGACATGTTCTTGCAGCGCAACTTGTCGAGCTATGCCTACTGCCAAGCGCCCTGCGGCGCATGTTGACATCAAGGCCTTCCAGCTGATCAGCTACTCCTTGCCTCCTCCCTGTTGAGATCCCGTAACCAGCTTGCTCCTGCTTTTGTCTCCCTGTCTCCCTCGCCCTCTCACTCAGGTCGCGCTCTTGCGTGCACTCTGAATGACTTTCAGCGAGTTGGAAGCGATCCACCCTGCAAGATGCTGTCACTGTACTCCTTCTCCTCCTCCTCCTCCTCCTCCTTCTCCTTCTGCTCCTCCTCCTCCTCCTCCTCCTTCTCCTCCTCCTCCTCCGCCACCGCCTCCTCATGTGCAATCACCACCATCCTTTCCCTCCTCCGTCTTCCCCGTCCTCTTTATGCTTTCGTCCTCCTCTCTTGAGTAAATGTGCATCCCCTCGTGGTAAATTTCTCCTCCTCCCTCTCGACCCGCCCACCTTCCTCCCCCTCCAGCATCACCTAGAGCTGCGATGCGCAGAATACTATTGAGGTAGAGCTTGGAATGGCGCTGACCATCGGAGTCAGCAAGGAAGAGGAGAAAGTGGAGAAAGAGGAAAAATGGTGAGATGCAGGAGAAACAGGCAGGGAACCTGAAGGAGCAGAAGAGAAGGAGAAAGAGGAGCAGGAGCGGGAGAAAGAGGAGCAGGAGCAGGAGCAGGAGCAGGAGCAGAACAACTGGCAGGTCGTGTACTGGAGTGCAAGACGAGTTGATCTCAACCTTAATGCGCCTGACGTGAGAGGTGGCGGTGGAAACGATCATCTCCCGCAACGGTTTGACATTGGTGTCCATCTACAACAGAGTATGAGCTGTCAGGGGAAGAGGAAGGGAACAGAGACGTGGCAAAAAACTCGAGCACCCTCTTAGGAACAGGAGGGAGGCAGAGGAGGTGGGAGGAGGAGGGGCAGGCCGAAGGAGCAAAGGATCGGGAGAGAGCAGGATTGGAATCACCTGAGAGATGAAGCGAGTGATGTGCTGGATCGTCGCGCCGACGCCGGCATCCTTGGAGGAGGAGCATCAGCAGCAGCAAGAGGAGGAGGAGCGTCCTTGTACCTCAGGCCAGAGGCCGTAAGCCTTCAGGTTGACGTCCGACCGCTCTGACTCGACGTAACTGCAAGGCAGGTGAGCTTCGATAGGAGGAAGCCAAGGAGCGATGAGGGATGTGACTGAGTGAAACGAGAGGATTGAGGAGGTGATGGGGAGAATTCAACATGTTGAAGATGGCGCAAATTTAGCGGAGGGCAGGTGTAAGAATGGAAGGAGCATGTAAGAGATGGAGGGGGAGAAGGAGGGGGTATCGAAGTCCACAAAAGGAAGGGGAGGGGTAGGTTGAGAGCTGCCCACGTCTTCAGATCCATGCAAGCAATGTGGACAAGCAGCTTCGCTATGGCAACCTTGACGAAATGCGGGATGGGCCCTGCAGGGAGAAAGCGAGTGAGACGAGGAAAGAGAAGATAGCTCCTCACCCGAGATGTCGGCAGAGACTGTAAAGAACACTTGAGTAGAGTTGGAGGATATCTCTTTAAGAGTATATTCGCCCTGTAAAAGACAAAATCAGACAAGTCGAGAGAAAGACAGCGGACGGCAGAGCAGAGGAGAGAGCAGAGCAGAGCACAAGGCTGAATGTGCATCTCATGCGCAACAGCAATGAGGCAGCAAGCTCGATTGCGGGTTCCTCCTCCTCACCCTCAGCATCTTGATCAGCCTGGTCGAGTGGACGTTGCGGAAAGCAACACGAGAAGGAGCGTTCATTGCCCAGTACCTGACATGAAGTGTGACCACAAATGTCCTCCTACCTCAAACAGCCTCACATGGAGAAGTAGAATTTGAGGCCGAAACACCCCGTGATGTACTGGATCTCCCAGAATGTCGGGGAGCTTTGCTTGATCACCATGTCTTTGATCCCATCCCCCGACCAATCGTTGTAGTGCTTGAAGTCTGTAATGACCTTGTAGATCTTCTTGATGGGCGCGTTGATCTGTCCCATTCACAACTCAGTCCCGCTAGCATCAGCGGCTGCTCTCAGCAGCCTTGAGGTCAGTCGCAGGTCACCGTGATAGTTCGCTCCATGCGCCCTATCCTAGATTTCGTCCGTTTCCCGTCGTGATTCTCCTCCCCGTGCTGGTGGGTAAAGCAGGATCCGAAGCACTGGAATACCGAGTCCAACCAGCCCCCCCCTCGCAGCCGCAAAGTCTGCGCCGTCATGAGCCGAGAAGCCAATCTGCACGGGACATTAGAGGACATAAAAGGATTTTGGACGGCAATAGCTCACCTCTCAGAGTCGCAGCACCCAACCTGCACGCACAACAGGGCCAGGGCGAAGAGAGCGAAATACTGCCTCGCCATCGTGCCACCACGTTCTATGTCGAGCAACCTGTTACTCTCCCCTATCGTTCATCCTTCTCTCCGCTTTCTTCACCTCGTCGGGGGGGCAGCAAGCTGTTCACGGCCCACGGGGAAGCTCCATCTAGCGATCCGCCTGCTGCTCAGCGGGGCATAAAAATGGTCAAAATCAGCGCCATGGCTCATTTTGCACAACAATCTTCATGCGCATCCTTGATCTATCATCATATCCTTGTCTGCCTTCTCCTGTCTGCCCTCTCCCCCTCCCCATCTCTCAGCCCCCAGCCCCTCGCCTGGTTGCTCCCCATGCTGTGCATTCCGCCGGTTCAATCTTTCGTTACAGATGGCTACAAAAAACCGTTACTTCATGGGGCCGGGCCGGGCCGCCCGGCCCGGCCGGGGCGGGGCCGTGTACTTCCGCCGGGTCCGATCCGACACGGTGGAGTCACACCGTAAGACGATGGCACGCCGCGGTGAGTCGGGCCGCCGTGGCGCAGTCTAAGCTCAGTGGGACTCGCAGGCTCTGCCGACGGTGACTCAGTGACTCGCCGCATCTAAGGCTCAGGCTCAGCCCCGACGGTGCGAGCCTGTCTACTCGCGCCCGATCCGATGATCAACGGTCACTAGCAGCGCTGTAAAGTGCTGGGGCCACTGCCGCCGCGCCGAGGTGGGGCGTGCCACTCAATTTCATGGCCCATGCCACAAACGATTCACGGCGGAAAAACTGTACTCACTCCACTGATCGGACCTCTACAGGCTAAGCGGTACGATGCACGGGCCCATTTCGAGAGACGGATGGCACCAGGAATATCATATAAAGGATCCGAATGGGCCCGCGCCACTACCACCCACCCAATACAAAAGACTACCCTACCTTTCAAGAGAAGAGTTATGATCTGAATCAAGAATACCCCGAAAATCGTGAGTATTTACCCGTCGTTTGCCCCAAGTACCCACCCCCCTTTATCAAGCTTTCCTCCTGCTACCCCCACCACAGCAGTTCGCTCACATAGAAGGGACCGGTCACGCACGAGAAAACCCTCTTTTGATACTTTACTATAGAACGAACTGGAGGGAGGAAGGCGAAAACATTCCTTTTCGAGCAATTCGCACTTGCAAGGCCCCCCGGGGGGGTGTTTGCGAATCGGGTATGCATCCCTACCTGCCAGTATCAATCTTCTTCTATAGGCAATGACCGGTATCTTCATGACCCCCACCCCCCCAGTTTACCCTTTACCTGGCCTCCGATTTAATAAATAAATCCCGCGCCCCCATTTATTTTATCACTCCTTTACAAGTACTGCATCGTCACCTACCCCCACCACCTTCGTTGCCCCCACCCCTACCTGATGGAAATTCAAATGCTCAATCGATTCATGTGGTACTCTAGACCCCTCCTTGAGAGCTTCAATTTAGGGGTCCATGGGTGGTACTTGCAGTTTTGGTACCCGTGGAAGGATCTCAGACCAACCCTTCACCCACAATCATGTAGGGGATTTACTACCCTTACCCCCTTTTTTAGCCACCCCTACCCCCATTCGCTGACAACGTCCCCCATCCCCCCGTTCGAACGAGCGAACATGTGAACGATTTGTTCGGGAGAAACGACGGAGCAAAACATGGGAGGAGAGAGGAGGAGGAGGCAGCGAGATGGAGGAAGGAACTGAGCAAAGGTTTTATGTCAAAGAAGCACGACCAGAACTTGAAAGGCAGTCTGTGAGTGAGGAGAATTGCTACCGCCATGTTAGAGGGTGGTAAGAATAGCATAAGATGTGATGAATGCCGTATGAAGCTGGATTGTAGAATGAAGTCAGAAGTAGGTGGGGTTAAAAGCGATTGAGGAGAGGGTCATTGTTTGTGGTCTTACTTCAAGACCGCCTTTCCCTTTATCAGTAATAAGCCTGCTCTTCTGATAAGATGTAGCTGGACATAACATTCCTCTTCACATCAAATAATTGTTTTCCATCGTTTTAACCAGCAGACATCAGCGTCTGACACAGCTTCAGTCGTTTTCGCAACCTGACGCAAGCGTCATTGTGCAGATCTCGCATGGATACCGCAGAGCGACAGCTGCCATCAGTTTCCTCCTTGTTGCAATGGGCTCGAAGTGAGAACCAAAATGCAGCGCAGAGGAACTTTCCTCTTTCGTTTCACCTCAGGGGAGACGTGAAGGTGCAGCAGCAGTCTCTACTAGGAGGAGAGGGGGAGTGGAGGGGCCTGCCGCTTCCCGAGAGCGTCATAGATCAGGCGATGCAGGAGCTCCCCCAGGGATCGCGCGTCGCTCTTCATTCTTGCATCTTTGCTTATAAGGTGAGGAAAGAAACGAGGGAGAGGGAGAGAGGAAGAGCCGTGTGCTAGCAAGAGGGCGTCTGACTGTGCGTTACCAGGAACGAAGACTGTCCGACACGGACTTTCTTCACTTCGCCAAGTCGCTGTCAAGGTGATTCGCTGCCTTGAGTTCTGATCAGCCCTGACCCTTGTCGATGCTCCAGTCAGAGCATGTCCCTCATGTCAGCGCTCAACCCACAGCTGCTGGGGCAGCCAGCCATGGTAGGAAAAGTTTCTAGTGGCTCCTTAAGCTATGGGCTGACATGTTGCCGGCAGGGCTTCTTGCATCGTGGGTTTGATCCTCGCCTGACCCTGACCTCTCAACCTCCGCCTCTTCCTCCTCCTCACGCTCTTTCCCCCCACTCCCTCGTGCCAGCGGTCAGCGGCTACTGTCCTGATGCCGCGGAGAGCGTTTACCCAGCAAAGAGGCAGAGGGTCGGAGAACAGCAGGTAGTTGTGGAGGGAGCTATTAGGAGTCTGCTGCAGCAGGAGGAGCACGGAGTGGCTTGGAAGAGACCAGCTTTCCCCCTCAACTTGAATCTTTCCTCGCTCCCCATGCAGCTGCTCGCAGAGAACGCGCAGGTTTCCATGCAGTCCAACTCCTCCTCTTCCTCCTCCACCTCGCCCGGAAGTCTATCGGGGGTTATCACCCCCACCAGCAAAATCCTTGCTCTGCGTCAGATTGTGACAGCAAAGGAGGAGGAGCCGAGGGAGGCTGGGGAGGAAGAGATTGAGGACAAACTCAAAAAGCTCGGGGAACTGGCATCGAGCATGTCAGCCAGCAAGGAACCTCCGAGCAAGCCTGCGGAAGGGAAGGAGGAGGCGGAGGGGAAGGAGCTAGGGAAGGAGGCGAGGGAGGAGCGGGTGATCAAGACTGGGGTCGAGGCTCCTCTACTTAGCATGTGGGTCGGAGGCTCCCATCTCGTGGAGAGCTTTGGGTCCGAGGAGAACAGCGCGCACAACAAGTACTGTCACTTCTGCCAGCATATCAAGGTGAGTGGCTGGTTGAAGGGCAGGATGACAAAGCGGGAAGGGAAGAGGAGGAAGAAAAGGGGAATCCAGGACAAGGAGGGGGGAGGACGAGGACGATAGAAGTGAAGGAAGCAGCAGCAGCCGTAAGTTTCCCGTCGCTGAACCTCTTGCTCCAGGTCAAACGCGCCTCGTCCATGCTGGCGTGCGAGAACCGTGGATGCAACCGACGCTTCTGCGAGCATTGCCTCAACACCCACATCGCTGACCCGAGCTCGACAGTGGAGTGGAGGAGGAGGGGGATCCCCTGGCACTGCCCCATCTGCAGGAAGACCTGCTGCTGTGCCATGCGGGAGTGCGGGAAGTCACATCGACATTGCAAGGCTTACAGGTTGGCCCCTCAACCTTCCTCCTCCCCCTTGGCTTCCTCCTGTCCAGTCCGATCTCATTCTCCCAGAATCTCCAATACTCCCTACCTCCTCTTTGTCCTCTCCAGCTCTCACAGCTCCTTATCCTCTCCCCCCCCACCCCCCCCTTGAACCTACCCTCCCCTTCTTTAAGAGATGACTTCTCTCCACACTGATATTCTCTCCCCAGGTATAGGAGGAAGCGAGCTCAACAAGCCGAAGTCGATACCTCTCCAACTCCTGAGCTACCCTCCATGCAGGTTGCCTGCTGCTCCTCCCTTCCCTGCTCTCAGCTGTATTCCTCCTTCCCTCTCCTGACCCTTTTCTCCCTCCTCCTCCTCCTCCTCCTCCTCCTCCTCCTCCTCCTCCTCCTCCTCCTCCTCCTCCTCTTCCTCCTTCTTTCCTCGCTGTTGCTGACTCTCTCCCAACAGAAGGAACCACCTCTTACTCACTCTCATCTTCACTTCTCTCACCCTCACTTCCCCCACCCCGCCGGCCCATTCGCTCTTCCCGGCATGATCGGAGGTTTGCGCCTTCTTCAGCTTCCCAGCTCTGACCCTTTCCCCCAGCCATCCATCCCCAGCACCTCATAAGGCCCTTCTACTCAGCTGGGATGTAGCTGGTAGGGGGCTCTGGACTTCGCACGTGGGAGCCTGCTAAACTTTGTTGATTATTTTTTTTGACTGATTATATGCATGAAAACTTGTAAGGACGCGAAAATACATCTTTCCCCCTCCTCCCTCCTCCCTTCTCCCTCCTCCTCTATTTCTTTCCCGCTCTCAAGGTGGTGGAGGTGGTGGTGGAGGAGGAGGCGGAGGCGGAGGAGAATTGTTGCAAGGAACTGCTGGTAGTCACATGCTTCACTTCCTCAACTTCTGCTCGAGGTCTTTCTTCATCTCGCTGATCCGGAGCTGCTGATCGATCTGCCGCAGCCTCTCAGAACGGGAGGAGGAGGCGGAGACGGTCACCTGTGCTGCTGCCTCGCTAGGCAGGCTGGAGAGGGCGGCAAGAGCAAGATGGAGGCTGATACTCAGTCAGTCCCATCCCTCCCTCCTTCGTTGCTCTCTCGTCATCCTCCTCCACCTCATCCTCCTCCTTCTCCTCATCGATCTTCCCCCGCCTCCTCCCTCACACTTTCTCCCTCCCCGGATGATCTTCTGCTATGTTCAGGCAGGGAACTCACTGCTCTATGGCCCTCCCGCCTTCCCCGTTGTTTCTGTACATCACAGCAGCGTCCTGCCCAACAAATCAGCCCCAACTTCTTATCTTTCCCTCTCTCCCATCCCTCCCCGTCCTCTCTCCTCCCTCCCCTTCCTCCCCTCACACAGTCTACTCTTCTCCGTCCCTCTCCTCCCCAACTCACCTTGAGCGAGATGGCGAGCAGCCCCCACTGACCGAGCATGTGTCATACTCTCTGCAGCTCCGGCCTCCTCCTCACCTGCTCCTTCTCCCTCCAGATCTTGCTGCACCGCTCGTAGACCGGCCCTGCCTCCGTCACCTGAGCATCCCTCAGAGGAAATGGAACCCAAGCAGAACCTTACCTGCCCGCTGTTGCGCAGTAGCAACGCGAAGTTGTGGAGAGTCTGAGCGACCTCGGGGCTATCGGGTCCCTTGAGCTGGAGAAGGAGGAGGAGGAGGAGGAGGAGGAGGAGGAGGAGGAGGAGGAGGAGGAGGAGGAGGAACTTATTTCACTTCATGAGCTCTTGTGAAGCAGAGCTACCTGCTCACGGATGGCCAGGGCTCGCTCGAAGCACTTTCTGGATTCCTCGTACCTTGGTGCTGGTCAGATGAGAATGAGGGGCAAGAGAAGAGATGAGAGAAAGATGCGAATAGAAGAGAGGGCGGACAGAATGATTGGGAAAAATACAAAGTATTGAGGAGGAGGAGGAGGAGGAGGAGGAGGAGGAGGAGGAGGAGGAGGAGAAAAGGAAGGGAACCGGCTGAGAGGTCCAAGAGCAAGGCCAAGGTTACTCAAAGCAGTCGCGTACTCCAAGCTCTCAACCCCCTGATACATGAACAAAGTCAACCGGCACCTCCTCCCTCGCCCTCCTCTTTTCTTCTCCCTCCTTCCCTGCTCCTTCCCGTCGCTTGTGCTTCATTCACCCTCCCAAGTTCCTTCCCTTCACATCCCATCGGACTCCAACTCCTCCCCTCCCCCAACCCCAGCCTTCTCCTCTCCTCCTCCTCCTCCCTCCTCCTCCCTCCTCTCTGGCAACATGCAATCCTCACCTTTACGTGCTTGCTCAACGCCTCCCCTTTCTCACACCACACCAACATCTTCTGCCAATTTCCTCTGAACCCCAGGACGAGAAAGCAGCAATACACGTTCAGGTGACAAGAAGACATCGCAAGGTGTCGACTGACACTGAAGAACTCACAAACTCTTGTAGAGCATGACGTAGCTCTCGATGAAGACAATGAGGGACCAAGAGTTCTCTCCCGCCTGCAATGGGCTACAACATCATCGCAAACATGTCACACCCTCACACTGGACCTTCTCCTTCAGTTTGTTGTACATCTGCTCCAGAAGAACCTCCGCTAGATCATGCTGATTGACATTGAGACAGGGAGGGACAGTGCATAGTGAGCCATGAGGGAGCGAGGAAGGATTGCAGATGAAGGATGGTAAAGGTCAACAAAGGGAGCATGCATACGGAAGAGGACGAGGAGCAGGAGGAGCAGGAGGAGGAAGAGGAGGAAAGGAGGAGCAGGAGGAGGAGAAGCAACAGGAGCAGGAGGAGGAGAAGGAGGAGGAGAATGAGGATGATAACAGTAAGATTCGAGCAGCAGCAGAGAACAACTGCAGCTGACCTTCCCTGACATCATGAGCTGAGAAACCATGGCTGTCAGCTGATGGCTTGACTCCTCGACACACTGACAAACTGAGTGAATGATCTCCAGAGCAGCAAGTACAAACTCACAACAAGGTTTGAATCAAGCTTGATCGCTTGCGACATCGACTGAATGGCCTCGTGGAACTGTTGACAAGAATACCATCAGAAACGCAAGAGAGGAGACAAGCTGAGATGTTTCACTTCACCTTCCCCGTTGACAGTTTGTTGCACGCTTGCTGAAACGGAAATCAGATGATGCAGGTAAAGACATTCCAAGTAGACAACCCCCCCCCCCCCCTTCAACCCCCCCTTCCTCCTACCCTTTCCTTGCTCTCCCCCGCCGATCCTTCTTCTCCCGGTGATAACAATCGCTCACCTTGACCAAGGTTGCAGCTTTGTCGTTCACTTTGATCTTTTGACCATCGGCTAGCACAAACAGTTGTCAACAATCGTCAACTTGGCAGGTATGCCAATTCCCCTCATCCCCCTTTCTCAGCTCTCGAACATCCCACAAACATCCCATCTCCAAAACAGTCCAGCTCTCTTTATCTCCCTCCTTCTCCTTCTCTCCCTCCTCTCTTACTCGTGTGAATCTCGACCGGGCGGCTGGAGTTTTCGGAGAGAGGAGCGTTGTCTTTCCTGCTTGAGCTGAGGGCGGCGGAGGGGATCAACGCCGTAAGGATTTCTTGCAGCCCTTCTTGCAAGCTCTTGATATCCCCAATAGACACCTCGTGCTGTTTGAACTGAAAGAAACACAGTGAGCAGGAGAATGTTTCTATGGGGGAGGGAAAACACATCGTACGCGCAGCAGCACGCCGGTGAGTTAGAAGTTGAGAAGGAAAGAAGGAATCATACCAGGTTTGACAGATCCTCGCCTCCCAATCGTATTGCAGACGATTCAACCTGAGACAGCAGAATGAAAATCTTCTTGTCCGTTGCTCCGGTCACTCAACCTCCTCTTTCTTGACGAGCTGACAAGCTCCGTCCACCCCCAGCTCAACTCCAAGAAATCTCGCTATCATCTGCACGATGTCCCAGTCTGTCCATCCCCCCTTGTCCTCCGGGTGCACAAACCTAGAAGCCGAACGAAGTAGATGCACAACGGACTTCAGAAGGGAAACCAACGAGCGCAAGTTTCTCACCCGTAGTGCCAGACCCCTCTCACTTCCCTTCCTGCCTTCACTCTGATCTCAGACAAAAACACACAGGCTCTCGCCACGTCTTTCGCAAATGCTGGGAACCGCTTATTCGTCCCATCGACTCGCTCGCCTACCTGCAACCTGTGTCGCCACCAACCACCCAGCAAGAAGCCCCAGCCCTTACCTTCACCCTCGGGAAGACAGCCTTGGTCAAGATCGTTATGGGCGATTCACCTTGAAGACTATCAGCAATCCCTCGCATTCCCATCAGATAATAGTGCAACCGATCTTTTCCAATGGCCCGTAGAGAGCCGGAACCCTTAGAACACCGCAGTCCCCGCCCGTTGCCCTCACTAGCGCAGCCTCGCACGCTACCTGCTCATCCGTCCCTTGTCACTTTGAAGCCGCAGGAGGGAGAAGCTACAACCTTGCGTGCTGCTCCTGCTGAGATCGGACAAACCTTGTCTGCTGGGGACAACGGAATTTCTCTCCCCTGCAGGCGAGGCAGTCAGGAAGAGTCGAGGTAATGAAAGGGCAACCTTGCATCCTTCAAAGACCTGGTCGCATGATACATATAGGATCCAAGCTCCTCCTGCTGCTGCTAGTTTGCCGAACTGTGCATAGCATCAGAGCGCGGCGACCGTGCCCGGTAGACCGTACCTGCTCAATGTGCTGGGTATCTGGTTCGCCGGAGGAGGGATTCTCGCTGTCTTGACTTGTAAAGGAGGAGACGATGAGTTGTATGCTTCCCGTTGTCATCACAACTACTCACTCTCTTATCTCGTTGATGCACATGACGACAACTTGTGGCTCAAACTCCACAAACATCTGAGAGACCTGAGGGATCCACGACTAGCAGTCAGGAGCAGCGTGACCTTCCACACGAGAGAGAAACCTTGTCCGTATCATGCACGTCTAGGTGAGTCAGAGCATTCTTCACCCTCGTGCACGCAGTCCCTCTCACCTGCACATGAAAAGGGATCCTCAACTACGAAAAGGATAGTTGCCAACAAGACATCAACTAGAATCATCACAACTGTATGGGATCTCCCTAGGTGATCGCATGTCTAGCTTGTCATCTGTTACCTCGTGTCCTTGACATCTGTACGCCTCCACCAGCTGCCTCCCGAGCAGCCCGCTCCCTCCGACCACAACAACTCGCATTGTCTGGGATAAAATTTTGGTTGAGTCATTCCCTTCACTCAAAGTTAAGTTAAAAATCAGTACGAGCTGCTACTTTTAACTTTCAGTTCAGTATCCAACTCTAAGGCGGCACCGGCGACCCGGGCCCCGGGCCGAGTCGGCGGCGGTGTGCGGCAAATATTTTTTACTCAAGTGATCCGACCCGGCGCGGGCCCGGGCCCAGCGCCGTTCAAAAATTCATCTGCACGCGCTTTCACGATGGCAGGGTGAGGAGAGGGAGAGGAGCAGGAGGAGCAGGAGGAGCAGGAGGAGCAGGAGGAGCAGGAGGAGCAGGATAATGTGGGTGGTGGAGGAGGAGGGGGTGGTGGAGGAGGAGGAGCAGGAGGAGGAGGGGGATGGTCGGAATAAGCTCAAGAGATTATTTGATTGGGGAAAGAGAGAAGAATCGGCGAAGATGCAGTTCTTGTGCGGCAGGGAGGGAGGGAGGGAGGAGGGGAAGAGGGATGAGCAAGACACGAGGGCTCTGACTTTGGGGTTCTGAAGGAAGAGCGAGTGGTGAAGAGCTGTGCTTGTTGTGAACTACGGAAAGGGAGCGAGAGAACGAAAGAAGCTATTGCGAGAAGTCCTGCTTGAATCGACCAGGTGCTCCTTCGGTGCTGCATGAAAGAGCTGGGTTGATGGGATGGGTTGCAGCGTTGTCTTCCACGATGGCTTTTAACGTGAAGATGTTCATCACTCCTCTTCTGGTCTACATTGTCAACTCAGCCGACATTGACTGGTGTGTTGCTGCTTGCTCGAGGTCTTGCACGTTGTTGTGAAGCTGTTCAATCCACCAGGACGGACGAGACTTACGTCCTGATCGTGCGGTCTACCTTTGCTGCGGTCATCGCCGCTGTCGTCTTGGTGAGGATGCTGCTTCCTCTATAGCTGGGGGTTGAACAGAAGGCAGTTGAAGCTCTGGTTGTTCTCCCAAGTCAACAAGGCGGCTGACGAGAGGCGCGTCAAGATCAAACCGACCAAGCTCGAGCCCGAAGGTGGGGAGGAACGGCAGAGTGCTCCGACTCGCAGCTGATGGCGAAGCAGGAAGGGACGTCTCTGTCCGCGAGCATGACATCGAGAAGCTGTCTCAGGCGCTGAGGTTGCCTTGACCTGAACCGATCGATGACGAGCCTGACTGCAGGGCAGGACCCTGGTCATGGGAGTAGGCATCACCGGTGCATGCTTTCACTCGCGCTCCCCCCCTCTGCTCACTCTGCTCCAGTGATCCTGCACATTCGTAACCAGTGGGTCCTCCCCATGATCATCCAAATCTTTCATCAGGTCCCCCCCTCCCTCCTCCCTCTCCCATGACGTCCTGGCAGCCGCTGGCTCTCTATGACTATCCGCTCTTCAAGATCTTCGTCCTTGGTTACAAAGGTCCCGCTCCCGTCTTCCCTCCCGTATGGGGCTGAACTTCCCGCAGACACTGGGGACAGCAACCCGTTGAAGCGACCCTGGGCAGGTGAAAATCCAGGTGGGCGCGATGAGCAAGCAGGGTGGGGGGAAGCTGAGGCCTTGCCGTCAGTGTTTGCAGACATCTGGAAGCAGGCTCAGATGATGAGCGATCCGAACTATCAGGCTGTCAGTTCCAACGGCAGGCTGTGAGGTGGTTGGTGATGTTGGTGTGCAGAATGAGAGGAAGGCCGAGAAGAAGAAGGCTGGTAAGCTCAACAAGCAAGTGAGTCCTCTGCCGTCTCTGTTGGTCGCCTCCCTTGTGACAAAGAGACTATGTCTGCAGCTGCAGCGATCTAGGCGGTGAGCAAGGGTTGGCGAGAGGATTCAATCATAACACATTAATGAATGTCAAGATTTGATCATGCAAGAAACCTTTCGGCGATAGAACACACATCCTGAATCATGTACATAGATCTTCTCAGGCTGTCTTCCTCTTCGGCTTTCCTCGCTTTGCCAACAGCAAGGTCATCGAGTGCATAGCAGATTAAGGAGAGTTCACCAGCAAACGCCAGACCGCCTTGAGAACCCAAAAGACGCATGCTAAAGGAACCACAAGCACGATTCCTGCAGCACGATGATGAGAGGGCGAGCACGAAAGATCTTCGAACGAGTTGCGTGCGCCGAGACAGACGTCAAGAGGAGGAGGGGGAGGAGGGGATGGTCGGGATAAGCTCAAGAGATGGTTTGATTGGAAAAAGAAAGAAGGAGATGGTGCAGGGGAGGGAAAGGAGGAAAGGGGGAATGCGAAGAAGGGAGGAGGTGGAGGAAGAAATTGACCGATGATGATGGTGTCGCTTGCAATGACCTCAACCTGCAAGTCTTGTCACAGGCCCTCAAACAGTGTCGAGTGGATCAAGTCACTTACAAGTAGAGGATCTCCTCGATGAGGTTTGCAAGTCCACCCGGCGTCAGCGGCGTCATGGCTGCCGAGGAGCGAGACGAGAGTGAGTGAGAGGAAGAAGGCGATGACGAAGAAGGCGGGAAGGCGGGAAGCGAGGTGGAAGAGAGGAAGGACAATAATCGGGAGGGAACGAGGAGGTGGCAGCGAGAGATTAGAGGGAGAGGAGAGCAACAAGCAGGAGGAAGGCTTAGGGGATGACGACGGGAGGAGGAGGGAGGAGGAGGGAGGATGACAGGGAGGGAGGAAGTTTGAGAAGGACGGAGGACGTCTTCCTCCTTTCCCTCCTAACTCCGAGGCCTGGAAGTCTCACCGATGGGAAGAGCTTGTGAGCGGGACTTGATGCATGAGATGTTCATTTCCCGCTGGGTCTAAGATCCTGAGGACTAGTGAGCCACAAACAACAGCAGGGAGGGAGAAGGGAGACTTGAGGACGGCCATGCCTTCCGCTTCCTCCTTCTTCCACTGGAAGTCAATCTGCACTTCACCTCAGCTGCCGGACCTCAACGATCCTCCTCTACCAACCTGCGCGATGTTGAGCCCGGTAAAGATGCCCTCGATACTGATTGCAGGCATCAGATGGAGAGGAGGAAGGCAAGGGAGTTGGGCGGAGGTGGGCGGTGAAAGTGAAGTGGTGGAGCAGGGAAGGTGGAGGTGAAGGCTGAGGAGGAGTTGGCGGTGGGGTGGAGACGGAGAGAGGTGGTGGTGGTGGAGGAGGAGGAGGAGGAGGGAAAGTAAGGCAGAGGAAACGGCACGGAACCTTTGGAACCGGAATGGCATGATCCACATCACGAGCGCTAGAAGGATCCTCCCATTTAGAGGTCCCGTCCCCCACGAGTGCGTCATCCCTGCTAAGGCTCAGGTCCTCTCTCCCTCCCTGTTCCTCCTCCTCCTCCTCCTCCTACCGCTCGACGTCATCTCAAGCAGCTCCCGCGTCTCGTCCGCTCGCTCGCCGTGCTGGCAGACAGCCCTCGAAACTTCTGCGAAGTGAACGTCCCCGCTGAAGAGGATGAGGTTCTTTGCTCCCGAGGACAGCAGGACGTCCAGTAGTCTCTGCCGGGATTTGGGGAACCTCGCCCAGTTCTCGCCGTGCCACCGATGCTCTGTGAGGATTTGGATGCCGGAGACGACGATGTTGGCATCGCTCCTGCTCTCTGCCAGCGTCTGCTCCAGCCACTCCCACTGCTCCTCCCCGAGGAAGTCCTCGCCTCCTCGACAGAGGGAGCGGAAGGGCCAAGAGCAGTAGGGGGACTTGTTGTATCGGTTGTCTAGCAGGACTATCTTGACCTCTCGATCGCCCACTCGAACATCATGAGCAGCATAGACGCCGTTGCGCTGCCTGCGAGCATCGGACTTGGAGACATCGAGAAAGTCCAGGAAGGCTTGCTTGCTCTCTTCGCGGAGAGTGTAGCGGTAGTCGCCGTCGTTGATGCCGTAGTCGTGATCATCCCAAGTGCCATAGATCGGGATCTTCTCCCTGAGCTCCTTGTAGCCCGGGTGTGCCTTCTGTGCTTCATACATCTTCCTCAACCTGGTCAGGTCCGATGGCTCGAACATGATCGACTCATAACCCGTCGGCTCCTCTCCCCGGAGCACCCTGATGAACTGAGCAAGGACGTTGGGAGAGCTCCTCTTCGTGTCTGCATAGACGTTGTCGCCCATCCATACCCATGCGTCAGGCCTCCTCCCTATGATCAGCTCCCAGAACGGCTGTTTCCTCTCGACCTTGTTACATGACCCGAGCATAATCCTCACCTTGTCTTCGACAGCTCCTTCCGCAGCGTTGCGAGCGCTGCTTGTTCCAGCCAGGATCACCAGCACAATCAGCTGTCTGAGAACAGAGATCTCGAGTATGCTGAACGATGTTGTCGGCATCTCGCGCTTCCTCTCCTTCTCTCCCGCCCTCATGCCGCTCGCCCCTTGTCAGGCCGGACCATGTCGCCTTACTACACAAATATGACCGACATAAGTAAAAATGAGCTTGATGAGCCTTAGGATCCAGCAGCGGCAGGCGTACTAGCCTAGTAGCCGAGCTGCTGCCCTGGCACTCGGGGGCAGATGTCCCTTAGAGTGACTTGGCAGACTTGGAGTAGGTGAGGCCCCGGGCCGTCGCCCTTGTCTAGCATTCTGGGGGGCGCCGCGAGAACCTGTCACGAGCCACTCTCAGCCTCACTAGCCTTCCTCGGAGTCCGGTCGGAAACTTCGGCGAAAGGTTTGGCGCTGCGGCATCATCAGTGACATGCCCTGGGAAGGCTAGGGAATTCATAGTGTTACAGAGTTACAGTGTAGATTCATTCACAACGCAAGCGCACTAGCACGTGGAGCTTCGGAAAAAATAGTTGAGTAGAGAGGAATAGTCTTGAGTGTAGACACGGCTACGTCTTCCTTCAGGGCGAGATTGTACGTGGGGGACCGTTTCCCCTTGATAACAGCGACGCCAACCTTGAGGATTCCGAGGTCCTTCAACGGAGAAATCAGCTCCTTGACAAAACTTTGAGACAAGGGCGCCATGTTGCTCCTTCTGCAAGTCATGACATAGCCTGTTGTCAACTCCTGCGCCGTCAGGTCTTTGATTCCTTTCCGGTGGGCCAGAACGAGACTGCAGACAATCAGAGCTTGATGAAGGGGGAGCTGCTTCAGGCACTCTCCCATCTTGTTGGAGTTTTGGAGGGTGCTGAGCGTTTTTGCTATGATTGGGATTCCGACAACAGTTTTGCACTGACTGAACACGGATCGCGCAGCTTCACGACAGGCTTCCATTGCCTTCCGCATATCACCACTCTCTGCTGAGATCCTCCTCGCGCATAACTCTAGAGCGCTCCTGTCAAACCAAATGGTGTTCTTGTCCTGTGCTTCTCCACCTGCCTTTTCAACGTTTCCATCATTCACGTTCAGCCTGCTCGCCAGAATTTCAACGATCTCGGATTCTGAATATGTTGGGAACGACAGCAGCTTCGGAGCACATCCTTTGGCATGCAGTAGTGGAAGGAACCTGTGTGTCAGATCCAGCGCGTTCGCAATCCCCATGACAATCAACCTTGAGTCCTTGAGCTGAGACCAAAGAAATAGAGTGAGGAGTACATGGTTCTCAACGCAGTTCTCCAGAAGCGCATCTATCTCGTCCACCACCACCAAGTACACCTTTTGATCTCCCTTCACTCGAGGGGCAGTGAACAGTTTCTGTAACGATTCTTCAGCCACCAGGTCGTGTTTCTCTGCACCGGGGCAGATTTGCCTCAACAGCTCATCCCACAGACTTCTGGCTCCATCCACCAGAGACATGCCGTTCAGAAAGCAGGTCTTGCACCTGCGGCTGACTTGCTTCAAAACAGACTTGATGGACATGGTTTTGCCTGTCCCCGGCCTCCCACACACGTACATGGACCCGTGGCCTGTCTCTAGAGCCTGATTGAAGAATTGAACCATCTCCTCACGTTCCTTCTCTCTTCCAATCAGGTCGGCCTGCCCATGGGGGCTGAGCGCTTCCAGCATCTCATCGAAGGTCATGTCGCCATTCTCACGCTTTTCCTTGACGGGGATCGCCCTGTGCTCCACTCTTTGCTTCTTGCAGGCAGGTTCGCTTCCTTTCGAAGATGGGGGGGCTAGGAATGCCGAACAGTTCCTCTTGGTCAACTCAGACGAAGTGGAACGAGGAGCAACAGGCTTTCTGTGAGATAGCTCAGTCAACAACTTGCAAGAACACTGGCTGGTATCACCGGCTGCGCAGCTTTCTCATGATGTCCTCCTGTATCGCTTCTGGCATGACGACTGTTGTTCTGAACTAAAATGAAATGTCATCGAATGATAGCTAGCTAAGGAGAAGTTAATCAATCAAAACTTCAGCAAGGATGTTATTCAGGGGACAAGTGCAAGAAAATCTTTCCAGAAATGAGTAGCCATATTCAGTTCCATGCATTCGTCTACCATGACTTGAATAGTGAGAGGAAATGATACGGAAACAGAAGCTAGATGCATCAGGCAGTGAAAGGAAGGTGAAGAATGAAAGGACTGCTGGAGAAAGAGCAACCATGAAGCGAGCGAGCAGCTACAAGGATATGTGGCATGTGGCATGGCCATGGAGCCAGTGATGAAGAAGGGCAGGATCTCATCGAACCCCTAAACAACCCAGGGGTGCGAGGATAAAAAGTACCCACCCTTTTTACAGAATCAATAACTAAGAAGTACGGGTAGTAAAATATAACAAGGGGTACCAATACATCGGGCCTGTTTTGGCGGGAACGGCACTGCCCGGGCCCGGCGCCGGCTAGCCCGCGCCGGCGCAAGGAAACGCCGGGCGGCGCTGGACTTCAGGCCAAGAGGAGTTGCTTCCTACCCGGGCCCTGCTTTTCACCGGCGATCCCCCAACGAATCATGGGTACTCGGGGGCCCTAGTTTTGACCGTCAGCGGCCAAATCAGTGGGTCGATCCTTGATTCACTGAAGTTAATTCAGTAAGACAGTCGGGCCCTGGACAAGGACTGTCGGGCTCGAGCATCGACGAGTGCTGCATCCGTCGGATCGCAACTCCAACATGAAGGACCTGCCGCAGTGGCGGCTGGCAGCGGCACCTCTATCACGGAAGTACAACCAACCAGTAACTCCCTCCTCCCTCCTTTCATGCTTTGTAGTGTTAGCCATGATAACGCAGACAGCGCGGGCCAGTACGGTAGTCCTCACCACCACCACCGCTGCTGTCTTCCGAGTCTCAAACTGCGTGTACCGAAACGAGCCACCAGCGAGGTAATGCTTCGACATAATCTGCTCTTCTTCCGTAACATTCCTCTTCCGTATCCTCATACCCTGGCAATTTGTACCGTACTGTAATCGTCAGCGTTCTCTCTAGCAGCGGACATGATAGACGCTTCTCTCTGTCCGGCCATTCTTGTGGTCCATTTCAGCGTGCATTCCACTGATACCGTGCACGACCTTCTCTTCAAGTAGTGTCTACGATCTGAACTGATGCACTCAGTCAAGTCAACTGAATCAAGCTGGAAGAAAGTTGTGCTCCACGGCTTCTTCTCCACTACCTTGAATTTCAACTTGAAACGCTGATGCTCGAGGAAGGATTCCCGGCAGTAAAGGAGTATCTCTCCGTCTCCTTGTACACCCCCTCTGTCTCTGTAGATGAAGCCTTTCTTTGTGAAGCTCCTTGAACCTATCTTAAAGCTGTATCTCTCGCTCGGTCTCCAAGATGCTTCTCTCGATCTCCAAGCCTTTTGTATCTCTTAAAATGGACCGCTTTTTTATCATTGAGTCCTGGTCATTGTCGAACTTCCGAAGTTTTTGAGCACCAGCTTCATCTCTCGTTGTATCTCCTTGATGTCTTGTTGTACTTCTTTGATGTCTCATTCTACTTCCTTGTTGCTCGACCTGATCGGTCCTAGTCTGTGATCCCCCATAGACCATCCGATCCTTCCACTGAGCCAAAGAGAGCACCATCTGAATCAACTCCCCATCCGCCCCGCCCCCCCTCCTTTTCACGTACATATAACAGCCTTCTCGTGCTAGTAGCACAAGTATCCGCGCCCTGCGCCCCGCCGGCCGATCAATCTTGATAGGAAAGCCGCAGCCGACAAACAAGTTTGAATCAACCCACGAACGAGGGGCTGGGGTGCCCACCGCGGGGTGGGTACTCCCGTGATCGAATCAAGGGTGGTCCTCCTACCCACCCTGGCTTGCCTCCTACCCCCTCTCTGTCCCCGCTTCTCCCCCTCCTCCTCCTACAACCCTCCATGATACATCTTTGCCTACCCTACCCCTTCCCCAGACTTCCTGCCAGTATAATGCTGTTTTATAAAGCTTTCATAAGCCCATATTGGGGGGTCCCCGAGTTCCCCGTCATCCACCATGCCTTCTCCCCCCCTCAGACCCTCCTCCGCCTCTTCCTCCGCCTCCTCCTCCGCCTCCTTCCCTGCTCTCCTCCGTACCATGTCCCAGTCCTCCCTCACTGCCAAGCTCCTCCGCAAGCTCCTCCGTCATGATCCTGCCTCCCACGCTCGCCGTCGTCCGACCCCTTCCTCACCCGCCATGCAGCCCGATTATCCCAGCGACGTCGTCAAGCACCTCTGTGATGCCATCGGCTCTATGACGGGTCACTACGCCTCGCTCTCGCGGCGCGCTGCCAAGCAGAGCAAGTCCATCGTCGCCATGGCTGATGCCGTCGCTCAGTCCAACATGGCGGTCTGTGCCATGGTCGCCGAGCTCGCGGAGATAGCGAGCGGTCTCTCAGACGTCTGCCAGGCCGTCATGGCTCAGCAGGAGCAGGTGCTGGTGCTGCTGCAGGCCCAGCCTCTCCCGCCGCATGCCGTCTCCTACAAGGACGTCAAGATCAAACAGGACCTCTATCCCGCTCACTCCCTCCCGCCCGACGAGGCACACGCCGCTGTCACGCTGCCACACCACAGCGACGTCAAGCCCTGCTCTAGCCTCCGTGTCGAGCCGGCCATGCTGTCTCCTGCTCCCTGCCCTCCAGTCGAGCCCGCCGCGGCCTTGCATGAAGCAACGACATGCGTCTCCCCGACTGCTCTGGCCAAGACAGACGAGAGGATCGAGCTCGACGAGCCGCTGGCGGATCAGCGGGAGCGAGGAGGGCCCGCCAGCTCGAAGCGCGAGGGCGCGGCCTCGAGCTTCGGCTTCGCCTCTACCGTCGCCGTGTATCACCCGTTCCGAGGGAATCGGACTGAAATCAAGTACGTCGACTGGTTCGCCGTCAGAGGGCGCGTCGCCGCCCTGTGCGACGGAGGACGGCACGGCCGGCTGTCGGAGCGGCTTGCCCGGAAGATGGCTGCTGCCTTCGTCTCTATGAGCCCGCCTTCTGAGGGCCCGTACCTGGCCGAGGACAGGTACTCGCAAGCCATCGACCAGACCAAGGCGGAGCTCAAGGAGAGTGACGCCTCGATCAAGGAGAGCATGAGGTCAGCGTCTTTCTTGGGGCTCGAGCTCTGCCCAGAGCATAGCAGCGGCAATGTCCAGGTACGCGCGCTGGTGATCGGGAGCCCCCGCTGGGCCGTCCTGTCCTACAACCAAGACGAGTCGAGGTCAGAACACGCCCCCAATGCGAGCATGTCCCTGCTTCTGACTGACCGGCCGTGTGGCAGCTTCGAGTGTCGCCACCTCTCCGAGCCCTGCTCGGATGTCACAGGCTCCCGCGGGCTGGCGGCCCGGCCGTCCGCTCTCAGCATCGAGGCGCGGGACGGGGACATCCTTGTCATCGGCAGCGACGGCTTCTGGCGCAACGTCTTCTTGCCGGGGAGCGGGGGCGGCGAGTCGAAGCTGCGGTGTAGCCTGGTGGAGAGTGCGGGCAAGGCGCTCAAGTACGTCTCTACCCAGAGCACTCCAGGACAGGACTGGTCCCAGTGCACCAAGTTTGTTGAGCAGCTCGGCAAGGACTTGTACGGGATCGCCATGGGAAACATGAGCAATGTCAAGGGCTATGAGGACGACATGACCGTCCTTGTGACGCGGGTGAAGAGAGGAGAGGCCGGCGTCGAGCTTGACGCGAGCATCGACGCAAGACCGATGCTGACCGGCGGGTACTACGTCGTCAGGGAGCCGCCACTCAGCAGCAGGTCCGAGGAGCGTCCGGCGCCAGCGCCGGTCTCTCACAAGGAGCCTCAAGAACTCGGAGGCAGCTCAGTCAGGGCCGAAGGACCCGGAGGTCGCATCGTGTCGATGAGCCAGGCGGCTTGCGCTGATTGTCCTGGGCCGGCACCAGGAGCGCGGCGCTTTGGCGGCGGCGCCAAGCGGCAGCAGCCTGATGAGTCCGCCGCTGACAGCCACGGTGAGCCCCGGGAACAGCCCCGGAAGGTCGGCCCCGGAGCCGGGTTGCAATTTGGAGCAAAGAAGCCTGTGAGTACATTGTGTGCGGGGCTCAGAAACTGGACCGTCCGAGGCTTGAGGGACCCGTGCACTCAAGACTCTCAGTAGTCGGACCCGCCGCCGGGCCGCACGCGGGGGGCGCACTGAACTGTCCGGGCCGGGCCCTGGCAGACTTTCAAGTTGGCCTGACTCACAGCGGCCCGCCGCCAAACTTAGCCGCACTGCGGCATCACAGTTGGCGCCGCCGCTGCTGGCCTCTTTCAAGCCTGAGGAGTACGGTCGGCACTGAGAGTGTCTGAGCCTGAGTCATGCAGGTGCCGCCTGGGGGGGCGCCGTGGCTACCCAGTCTTCTTAGTCTCTACGCTGCCGGGCTGTGGCATCATGATGCGGGAACTTTGAAATGACAATCAAGACTCAGTGGGACGCTTGGCATCCGATCATGTCGGGGCCCCGTGAGAATCAGCCACGGTGCCAACAGGACCGGCCGGCCGGGCCCCGGGGCCGGGCCCCAATGATCTCAGCCCCGGTGACCAAAAAAGCCGCGGCAGGTAGGAAAGCCGCAGCCGACAAACAAGTTTGAATCAACCCACGAACGAGGGGCTGGGGTGCCCACCGCGGGGTGGGTACTCCCGTGATCGAATCAAGGGTGGTCCTCCTACCCACCCTGGCTTGCCTCCTACCCCCTCTCTGTGCCCGCTTCTCCCCCTCCTCCTCCTACAACCCTCCATGCGACATCTTTGCCTACCCTACCCCTTCCCCAGACTTCCTGCCAGTATAATGCTGTTTTATAAAGCTTTCATAAGCCCATATTGGGGGGTCCCCGAGTTCCCCGTCATCCACCATGCCTTCTCCCCCCCTCAGACCCTCCTCCGCCTCCTCCTCCTCCTCCTCCTCTGCTCTCCTCCGTACCATGTCCCAGTCCTCCCTCACTGCCAAGCTCCTCCGCAAGCTCCTCCGTCATGATCCTGCCTCCCACGCTCGCCGTCGTCCGACCCCTTCCTCACCCGCCATGCAGCCCGACTATCCCAGCGACGTCGTCAAGCACCTCTGTGATGCCATCGGCTCTATGACGGGTCACTACGCCTCGCTCTCGCGGCGCGCTGCCAAGCAGAGCAAGTCCATCGTCGCCATGGCTGATGCCGTCGCTCAGTCCAACATGGCGGTCTGTGCCATGGTCGCCGAGCTCGCGGAGATAGCGAGCGGTCTCTCAGACGTCTGCCAGGCCGTCATGGCTCAGCAGGAGCAGGTGCTGGTGCTGCTGCAGGCCCAGCCTCTCCCGCCGCATGCCGTCTCCTACAAGGACGTCAAGATCAAACAGGACCTCTATCCCGCTCACTCCCTCCCGCCCGACGAGGCACACGCCGCTGTCACGCTGCCACACCACAGCGACGTCAAGCCCTGCTCTAGCCTCCGTGTCGAGCCGGCCATGCTGTCTCCTGCTCCCTGCCCTCCAGTCGAGCCCGCCGCGGCCTTGCATGAAGCAACGACATGCGTCTCCCCGACTGCTCTGGCCAAGACAGACGAGAGGATCGAGCTCGACGAGCCGCTGGCGAATCAGCGGGAGCGAGGAGGGCCCGCCAGCTCGAAGCGCGAGGGCGCGGCCTCGAGCTTCGGCTTCGCCTCTACCGTCGCCGTGTATCACCCGTTCCGAGGGAATCGGACTGAAATCAAGTACGTCGACTGGTTCGCCGTCAGAGGGCGCGTCGCCGCCCTGTGCGACGGAGGACGGCACGGCCGGCTGTCGGAGCGGCTTGCCCGGAAGATGGCTGCTGCCTTCGTCTCTATGAGCCCGCCTTCTGAGGGCCCGTACCTGGCCGAGGACAGGTACTCGCAAGCCATCGACCAGACCAAGGCGGAGCTCAAGGAGAGTGACGCCTCGATCAAGGAGAGCATGAGGTCAGCGTCTTTCTTGGGGCTCGAGCTCTGCCCAGAGCATAGCAGCGGCAATGTCCAGGTACGCGCGCTGGTGATCGGGAGCCCCCGCTGGGCCGTCCTGTCCTACAACCAAGACGAGTCGAGGTCAGAACACGCCCCCAATGCGAGCATGTCCCTGCTTCTCACTGACCGGCCGTGTGGCAGCTTCGAGTGTCGCCACCTCTCCGAGCCCTGCTCGGATGTCACAGGCTCCCGCGGGCTGGCGGCCCGGCCGTCCGCCCTCAGCATCGAGGCGCGGGACGGGGACATCCTTGTCATCGGCAGCGACGGCTTCTGGCGCAACGTCTTCTTGCCGGGGAGCGGGGGCGGCGAGTCGAAGCTGCGGTGTAGCCTGGTGGAGAGTGCGGGCAAGGCGCTCAAGTACGTCTCTACCCAGAGCACTCCAGGACAGGACTGGTCCCAGTGCACCAAGTTTGTTGAGCAGCTCGGCAAGGACTTGTACGGGATCGCCATGGGAAACATGAGCAATGTCAAGGGCTATGAGGACGACATGACCGTCCTTGTGACGCGGGTGAAGAGAGGAGAGGCCGGCGTCGAGCTTGACGCGAGCATCGACGCAAGACCGATGCTGACCGGCGGGTACTACGTCGTCAGGGAGCCGCCACTCAGCAGCAGGTCCGAGGAGCGTCCGGCGCCAGCGCCGGTCTCTCACAAGGAGCCTCAAGAACTCGGAGGCAGCTCAGTCAGGGCCGAAGGACCCGGAGGTCGCATCGTGTCGATGAGCCAGGCGGCTTGCGCTGATTGTCCTGGGCCGGCACCAGGAGCGCGGCGCTTTGGCGGCGGCGCCAAGCGGCAGCAGCCTGATGAGTCCGCCGCTGACAGCCACGGTGAGCCCCGGGAACAGCCCCGGAAGGTCGGCCCCGGAGCCGGGTTGCAATTTGGAGCAAAGAAGCCTGTGAGTACATTGTGTGCGGGGCTCAGAAACTGGACCGTCCGAGGCTTGAGGGACCCGGTGTGCACTCAAGAGTAGTCGGACCCGGGCGCGCCTGGGGGCCGCCACCTGAACTGTCCGACCCTGGCCGCCTGGCAGACTTTGGCCCGTGATAGCGGCCCGCCGGCGCCAAGCTAGTAGCGGCCGCATCACAGCCCTTGCGCCGGCAGTGGCCTCATTCAAATAGGAGTACTGTCGGCACTGAGAGTGTCTGAGCCTGCGTCATGCCGGTTCCGCCGGGGGGGGGGGCCCGTGGCTACCGAGTCTTCTTAGTCTCTAACGGCTGCCGGGCTGTGGCATCATGCGGGAATGAGCATTCGAGGCTGGGGACGCCCGGCATCCGATCATGTCCCGGGGGGGTCACTGCCGTGGGCCCCCGGGCCGCCCCGGACCTGACTTATGCCAGTCCTCGGCCGATCAGTACTTCCAGTGACTTCTCTCCGTGCCAACAGGACCGGCCGGCCGGGCCCCGGGGCCGGGCCCCAATGATCTCAGCCCCGGTGACCAAACTTGAAAGCGAATCAAGGATGGTCCTCCTACCCACGCCGGGGGCTGGCTTGCCTACCCTACCCCCTCTCTGTCCCCGCTTCTCCCCCTCCTTCTCCTACAACCCTCCATGCGACATCCTTGCCTACCCTACCCCCTCCCCAGACTTCTTGCCAGTATAATGCTGGCCGGGCAGCGTCGAAAAGTCGGATCAGGCTTCCGAGGGCTCTGTAGTAACAGGCCCGGCTGCCCGTGAATGAGAGTCGGAAAACTATCTGCGCTGGGATCGGACCGGTCCTGTCCTGGAGTGCTCTGGGTAGAGACGTAATGCCCGCTCTCTCCACCAGGCCTCTTACAGTACTCTAACGCGATCGATCTAAAAAAAAGAAGTTGCTGTCCGACTACCCCACGTTTCAGTGCACCCCAGATAGTCGAGGCAGGGGGGTGGAGTGACACGAAAAGGGCCGTCCCTCCGCCTGCTCCGCCCCTCACAGCGGCAGCTCCTCGCGAATGATCGATCGTTACTGCTCCATGCTCTGGTTTGCACAGAGATGGCAGCCAACGCTGTTGCTGTTGCTGGCTGTCTGTCTTGTGTTCCCTTGCCTGTCTCAGAAAGTCCCCTCATGGATCGACATGGATAGCACGTTTCGAAGAAACAAAAGAAGCACGGACAGTTTCTGCATGACATGCGTCCAACGCACATTATTCAGTGAGATACAAGAGAACATGTCTGCTTTCCTGCCCTTCGACATGTGACTGTGCTGTTTCAGGTTACAACAGCAACGCAGCATTTCAGCTCCTTGACACATCTAACAAGCTCGAGTATTGGACAGAAATCACAGCCGGGTCAATGGATGGTCCTGGACCGAAGAGCGGGTTTCAGCTGGTAATGACAAGTGTTGGAGATTCCTTGTATGTTCTGGGCATCTACGGTGAGTTTGACGAGCGTGCCTGTCCTACCTGATGAAGGAGCTTGATCTGCAGATATCACGGTCACTCAATCGCGAACTGTGGAGCTCTACGAGCTAAACATGTCTACCAACACGTGGACAAACTACACGTCGGAGATGAGAGGATCGGTGCCTGGACAGCAATATTCCTACAGCTTTTCACCTTACATCGTCACTGTCGCATCCTGTCAAAGATCGCTGTTTGCTGCTGGATTGACAGCAGTGCTTCAGCTGGACTTGGACACTTTGATATGGAGCGACGTCACAAGTGAACTCCCGAGAGTTTGGTTCGAGTCTGCGCAGTGGAATGCTCCATACCTGTCGGAGTATCAGGGAGACATCTACATGTCCGCTGTAGATGTAGGAGTTTCACACATGTTGGTCAACCGCGGATGCGGGACATCGGGATGGGAGGTCTATTTCTCCCTTGCAGAAATTTACAACAGTGCCATGAATATCATCATGAGCGGTGTAACCATCATCAGCAATGCAGCTGGAGTGATTCCTGTGGTAGGTATGCTACGATTCAACCGGAATTACACGGATGTCGCAATGATGCTATCCGAGCTGGACAGCACTAACACGTTTGTCCATACCCCCTGTGATGACGGAAACATCTACATCGTCGACACCAGCAATGAAGGTTTATGAAGCTAGTTGCTGATGTCGATATGACTTCAGTCTTCAGATATGTACATCATGCGTCCCGAATACCCCAAAGTCCTTAAAGTGTCCAACTCGGGCGGGGCTGGGATATTACCGGAGGATCAGCTGACCGGCATCACAAACTTTGTGTTAAGCAGATCCTTGATTTCCTGGGGCAGCAGTCTTGTGACTCAGCGCTATGATGGTGGAGGACATCTTTGCGGTGATGTATCGATCTGACTTCAATGCAGGGACTTATCAGACTTTCGATATGCACAGCCTGACGTGGTCTCAGATCAACATGATCGATACATACAGCCAGATGTCTCAGATCATACCCCAATACACAACATCCTCCACTATCTTCTCTTGGAATGGCGACTTGTACGGTTTCACCGATCTGCAAGGTGGCAAGATGTACAAATACGGCGGCAATGGAACATGGAGTCAACACCTACCGGATGTGAGTGTGAGCTTGGATTCGTATCTGCTTGCAACAGTCGCCTTCAATTCATATAATCTACTCCCGGACTATGCATCAGCTGTATCGGATTCATTTTATGCAATACAGTTCTCCATTCAAGTTGAGAGTAAGTCTTTGCCTGAAGTGACTTGGATTCCTGATGTTCTTTGTCCTTCAGATTATTTCTATGGAGAACCTGTGACGGAGGCAGATGTTTCAAATGGTGGAGTATATCTCTACTATCCTGCCACAGGAAATTGGAACAGGTACAGCGTTGCAAAAGGAGCTCCTTTGAAATATCGCAATTCCATTGCTGCCACAGACAGGTTTGTGTATCACTTTGGAGGAGCCAACGTGGAGGTGGGCAGTCAGATTGCATGGAGTAAGCAATCACAACATGTTTGTTGAATCTTTTCTTAGGATTTGTTTTACAGATGTCGACCAAGTCATGGACAGCTGGTTGTACTGCTTCGATCTTGAAGGTCAAGAATGGATCATTCTGTCTAAGTCGCAAACCAACTCTCCAACCCCAAGGTTGCATCCCTCCATGGTTGTGTACAAGACAAAGTTGTTTGTTTACGGAGGAATCATCAATTACGATACTGCAAATTTCTGGGTTGATCTCTACAGCTTTGATCTGGAGACGTTGACATGGACGGAGTTGTTCAGCAAGAATGATCGTCAAGACGGGGCCGTCTTCGTCGGGTTGGTCATATCGATGGAGCTGCACAGCATGATCGGCTTGTACTACATCCCCTCTCCCACAACCATCGACCTGATGCTAACTTCTCGCAAGCTCCCCATGGACCGAGAGTCGACAGGACACATCATGCTTGACCTCCTCACCTCCTACGACTGGGACACCATCCTGCTACCTCCCTGCTCTCACGCTCAAGCCTGCCTCAGCCTCGTCAGTCAGCTCACCTTGTGCGATCGGTCCTGGATGCCTTGTTTCCTGTCGCTCAAGGGCAGCAACTCGGGGATAACGCTCTTCCATGACGCTGCCATCCTATGCGACGCCAAGCAAGGATGCTCCGGCATCTCAGCCTCGAACCTCACTCTCTTCTGCTCCGGCTACCGGCAAGGCACCAACGCCGCTCTCCGCATGCTCAGCGTGGGTGCGCACCTTGAGCTGGACCGAGTGTCGGTGTTTGGATGCTCCAGCCAGGACGACGGGGGCAGCGTGCAGCTGTACGGGGGAGCAACGGGTGCGCTTGCAAGCAGGCGGTTCGTGGGATCGTCTAGCGCAGGGAGCGGAGGAGCAATCATGCTGCAGGGATCCACCATGAGCATCGTCGACTCAACCTTCGAGGACTGCTGGGCCTCAGCTGGGGGAGGAGCGATCGCCCTGCGCAGTCAACCGGTCGACTACTTTCCTACTGTCATGTCTCGCCCAGTCCTGCTGGTCGACCGCTCGCGCTTCTTGACAAACTCTGCAGTTGACGGCGGAGCTCTGAGAGCTGAGAACGGGTCCATGATCACGATCAGGAGCAGCGTCTTCAGCAGCAACACGGTTTCGCGCAATGGCGGGGCGATGTACCTGCAAGCAAGCGATGCGCGCCTCGAAGACGATCAGTTTCTGCACAACGAGGCTGTTGGAGGAGGAGGAGGAGCTGTCTTGTGGGAGCAGCGGGAGCCGGTAGTCGTCCATCAGAAGGAGTTCATGTCTTCTTCCTCCCTCTGCACGGACGACCAGCAAGGGAATAAGGCCTTTTACGGCCCCTGCATCGCCTCAGGTTTCCACCTCCTGCAGCTGGAGGCAGCTGAGAACTCTTTCTACCCTGGAATTCTGTTCAGCCTCAACGTCACCAAGTTTGACTTCTACCGCCAGCAGGTTCGAACAGATTCGCAGGCCTCGCTGCAGGTCCAGACAGTCCGGCTGTCGAGCAGCAGTGGAGATGCGCTGGTGGTGGAGTCAAAGAGTATCAATCTCAAGGAGGGAGCGGCAGTCTTCGACATGTCAGTCAAGTCCTACTTCATCGCTTCCTCTCGCTTCCCGTTCGTTCAAGTAAGCGGCAACCCAGCGATCGAAGTCTTCGGACTCGACGCGGCCTCGGGCCTTCAGATCCAGTCCAACCCCATCGAGATGGAGACTTCTCCAGCTGTATGCCCAGCAGGGTACGTGCTCAAGGCGGACAGTGCCAGCTTCCCAGCCTTTGCGGTCTGTGACAGGTGCTCTCCTGACTCCTACGCTCTCAACGCCTTCAGCGGGAGCAACTCTACCCAGCTGGCTTGCCTCCGCTGCCCGCACGGCGTCTCATGCCAAGGAGGAGAGGAGGTGTTCAACGAGGCGGGGTTCTGGTTCAATCGAAGCATCCTCCTTCGCCCGGAAATGCAGCGCAAGACCTTGAGGGCGTACAAGTGTGCCGAGGGATCGTGCTTCTCCCACTTCGTCTGCAAGGAAGGGCAGGAGGGTCGGGTGAGAGTCGATTGCTCCTCTGCGTCTCCTGACCCTTGCCTCTAGCTCTGCGGCCTGTGCAAGCAGGCAGGCCCGAAGGACGACTATTTCTGGAGTCTTCATCTTGGTGTTTGGCTTGCTGATGTTTCTTGCCGCCTGGTTCGACATGTTTACAATGAGACTGTTTGTGATGGCAGCGGCAGGATCTGGATCTTTCTGTTGCCTCTTCTCAAGTACCTAGGAATCGTCTCAGCGATAACGCAGATGGTGGATGAACCTGAGAAGAAGGAGGAAGAGAAGGGGAGGACAGGCTTTCTCTTCCAATGGCTAAGGGTACATCGGACGAAGATCGGATACATCAAGATTCTGATCGGTCCTCACTGCCTCGTATCTTCCCCAGCTGACGAGTCCCTCACAGGTTTCGTCCAGGTGTCCTCCAGCCTCATCTCCATCTACAACATTCGATGGCCCGACCTCATTGCTCGTCTCCTCACCAACATCGCTTTCATCAGCTTCGACTTCATCTCGCTGCCTCAAATATCTTGCACCGCCTCTGACCTCTCCTTCCTAGACCGGCTGCTGCTCTACACAGTCGCTCCGTTGGGCCCCCTCCTCCTCCTCTCCTTCCCACACCTCATCACTGTGCTTGTCAAGAGGCCCCATTCGGAGGACCTGTCGAGGGACCTGCTCTACAAGCTTATGTTCTGGAGCATGTATGTCACCGGAGAGGCAGGAGGGAAGGTTGACCTGGAACAACAGGTTCTTCATCTACATCATCTACATCCCTGTATCTGCCATGGTCGTCAGCACCTTCCTATGTCAGGATCTCGGAGACGACGGTAACTGGCTTGCCCGGGATCTGCGCGTTCCCTGCCCTCGCACGTCGGCGAGCTTCTCCTATGGATGGGCCATCTTGATGACGCTCGTCTACCCCGTCGGGTTTCCGCTCGTCATACTCACGATCCTCTATCGGTTGAAAGTGCCGAGGCTGGCGCAAGCGAAGCATGAGCACGCCTTCTTTCAGACCCTGAGCATGATGACCGAACTTGAACAAGTCAATGCTGACTGGAAGGACATGTGAGCGGTGCAAGAGCGATGGCAGGAAGAGTGGGAGACTTCGGTCTTTGAGCTGATAGACATCACAGATGTGATGAAGTTGCGACAAGTGCTGAACAAGTTAAAGAAGGGAGAAGACCACGATTCTTTGAACTCTGTACCGGGGGCCATGTTTACAGCCGTGAGAGAATTCTCCAACGAAAGTCAAGCTGATGAAGTCATCAACAACGCGTTTGAACCGCTCCAGGCCTGGATCGACAAAGCAGACGAAGAAGAAAAGCGAGAACACCCAGGGGAAAACGCAAACGAGGAGCAGCGGAAGGAGAAGAGGAAGTTTACGACGAAGAAGGACAAGGCGGAGAAGGACAAGGCGGAGGAGGAGAACGCAGCAGCGGCGGCAGAGGAGGAACAAGACGTAGAAGCGCAGGAAGAGAAGGAAGCAGAAGCGATGGCGAGGAAACAACTTCGATCCCTCTGTGACAACCTTGTCAAGCGGGGAATCGTGCAGTTGCCTGTTCTCAGCTGGAAGCAAGCGGAGGGGGCGGTCAAGGAGGGCTCAGTCTTCGCACAGTCCGAGAGGCACGCGATGCAGATCGCCGGGTTCTTGTTCTCCATGTACGAAGTGAAATACTGGTGGTTCGAGGTGCTGGAGCTGATGCGGCGTCTGCTCACCTGCATCATCATCAGCTTCTTCTTCACCGGCACCATCTTCCAGGTCGTTGTGGGTCTCATGCTCTTGTTCTTGTCTTTGGCAGCTCACAGTAGCCTCAAACCCTTCCAAGACATTTCGCAAGACAATATGATGTTCTATGGCCTCATCGCCAACTTTGCCACGCTGCTGTGTGAGTCATGGGGAGGAGGAGGAGGGGGAGGAGCAGGTGCACGAGCAGGTGGAGGGGGAGGAGGAGGGGGAGGAGCAGGTGCAGGAGCAGGTGGAGGGGGAGGAGGAGGGGGAGGAGGAGGGGTAGGAGGTGGAGGGGGAGGAGGAGGAGGAGGAGGAGGAGAGGATGACCTAGGTGTGCAGATGGAATCAGTTTAAGGCTGATGGAGGTCAGCGAGCTTCGTATCGATTCAACGACGTACGAGCTTGACCTGGTTCAAATTCTTCTAGTCGCCGCAAACATCTTCGTCCTTGTCTTCCCAATCACCCAGACACTCCTTGACCTTGTCAATGAGCTAGACTCAAAGTGGTTAGACAGAATGGAGCAGCAAGTCGACAAGGCCCTGTCAAGGATAGCGCACAATTGTCCACACCCAGGACACAGGAGGAGGACGAAGTAGACTGCAAGGAGGAGGAGGAGAAGGAGAAGGAGGCGGCGGAGATGGTTTGTAGAATGCAATCACTGTTGCACACTCACAATGAGCTTGTGCTTCATGTCATCGGTTTCTTCCACATATTCCCTTACAGTGTCCTGATGAGGCGTGGTTGGTACCCACCCCTCAAAACGTGAGCAATGCTGAGTTCCCTCGGAAGGACGGAGGAGAGAAGATGCTCACATTTTGAGGGGTTGATACCTTTCAGGAGCTACCATCTATCTTTGCATTGGTTTCTTTGCAGCGATTCGGCGTAATGTCCCCGCAATGATTCATGTTCGACACATAAAGTTCATTTCTCGTTTTACAGTTCCACGCCGAATTAGCTTTCCTCGCCAAACGGCCATGTCCCTGCGCGGCGTACAGTGACTGTGTTGCCCAGCATCACCCACAGGCATCCAGGACTTACTCTGTGGTTACTTGTACAGCGGTCCACCAACTCTGAGGGACATTGTACCAATATTGGTCCCAAGGTTTCAGCTTAACAACTCAATCCTTCATTCATCTCAATCTTATGCAGTAAAACCAAAGTATCTCGTTATTAATCCTCTCCTTCTGGAGATAAGCATCGAGAAACGTTTGATCAGACCAGAGCACAGTCCTCTTCTTACATGATCCCTGCTTCCCATCTTGATTGCGAAGCAGTGGGCTGCCGCAATCAGAAGGCGAGCTGTGTGCGATTGTGGTTGTGGTGCTGTACATGGAAGCAGACGAAGAGGTCCGGGTAGTATCGCCGCCGTTGAGCTCGAGCTGCAAAGAGATTTGCATTTGTTTTGCCATTCCTCTATCTCCTTATTTAGCGAGTTGTTGGCTTTTGATTTCCCGAACTCCATGTAATCGTTGCCGTTTGCCAAACGGTGTTTGTAAGACTTGACTGCCATGATCTGACAGAGGGCGTTAACCTCTCTACGGCGCTGTTTGGCTGAAGTCCAAGACTGGCTGAAGACCTCATGGTAGTTTTGCTTGTCCAAACGGGAGGAGGATTTCACTGTCGACTGTTCTCTGTTTGATATCCGACATTTCAAGTCACGCATGATGCATTGAGGGAACAGAGGACCAGTGTTGTCTAAGATCTTGTGCTCAAAAGCATAAGGGTTGAGTCCACAAATAAACATGGTTTGTGAACTGAAAAATTGGCTTTATTGGTACAGGGAGTTTGGTGGGAAAGGGCACAGCAGGAGAAGGGGAAGGGACAAGTGGTGATCAGAAAGCTCGTACAGCAAAGGGGAAGCAGACGATTTCGGTGAAGGAACAGGGAAGGAGAGCTGCGACGGGAAGCGTGGTCGCAGAGGAGGACAAGTAGAGGGTTCAGCCTGTAATAGAACTTTGAGGTGTAACCAGTGAGTAGCCTCGGAGGTTCAGTATCTTGAAGGGGTGGTTGGCCGGACCAGAGTCAGTTTGTGGATGTTTATCACTTAGACTAGGCTCTGTGTATAAATCACGCAACTCAACGGAGCTCGTTTGAAGATCGCTTCTTCCAAGTTGGAGCTTGCTCGAGCCTCGCGGCCTTGAGCGAGACATTCCGTGGGGACAAGTTGTGTCAATCCGATGATCGGGTGTCGGTGATCCCAACAGCTGCTACCATGGTACTACCGCACGCATCGGAACCCAAGTTTCCATCATCTAGATATCTGTCACGACTATCCCTAGAATCTTGTATCAAGAGTCAGGAAGGACTTTGTTATGTGGCAAGCATTGATCGCCGGACAAGGATTTGAAGTTGCCAGACCCCTCTTGAGGAGATCAAACACAACTCACGATGATGATCGAAAGTGGCATCCTCCCCTGCGCCATGGAACGGAGATACAACCTTTGCATGGACCGCATACAACGTCAAGGAAGTACCCTTATCCTCAAACTCAACCTCCTCAGCCTCCGGGAATCAGCTTCCTGGGCATCCGACCGTGTCGGACGAGCCGCGAAGAACCGGTGAAATCAGTACCCTCCCGCACTCGGCAAGGTCCAATGGAGGCAGCCTTCTCGTCCCAAACACAAACAAGTCACACCGTGACACCACGATCACATACATATGATTTACGGGACTAGTGTCAATCGGGCCCGGGGTATCCGACGGTGATCCCAACGGCTCTGCTAGCCGCAGTGTGCTAGCCGCCTCTCCAGTGATTGCGACCTCGTACTAATTTTAACTTAACTTTGAGTAAAGAGCTCCAACCCGGCCCGGCGGGCCCGTCTACCGTAGTACCGCCTCCCGGCCGCGGGTGCCTTTTCGAAGGTCACTGAACTGTAGACTCATCAGAGCTGTCAAGGGGGTGAAAACCGGCTCATATAACAATTTAAAATAAAATGTATTTAAACTTATTCTTACCACCAACCGTGACAAAAATGGTTTGAACACCCTACCCCTGGAACAATTCAACATCCCGATGTTCCTCACCCTACCCCCTACTTTCAGTCGCTGATGTGACCGCGGGTCACTGCCTTTATGCATCAAGATCCTGAATCTACCACCCCCTCCTCCAACTTCGAAAAATATCCCCAGTTAAGGACCCCCACCTTCCATTTTGAAAGATTTCATGTCACCCCTACCCCTAAAATAATGGAAAAGTACCCTACATTTTTCCCTTTCATTATTTCTGTCTGTACCCTCATCAAAGTCATAGTTTTTTTTCAACAACCCACCCCATCAACGCCTGATTCGACATTGAAAACTACCCCACCAAGGTGGCGGTTCCGTTTTGAAAAAGAGTCCTTTGAATGTAGATTTCCTTTCTATGACAGATGTATGTTTTAAATAAGTTTTAAATAAAACAAGTATTTTGAAATTCAGAACAATCCTAGTTTGGTATCTTTCTGTCGGTATCCCCCACAACAAGATCGCACATTTAAAAGAATATGATTTGAAAATAATACTTATCGCAAAAGTACTTTTTTTAAGTATCTGGAGGTTTCAGAGGATCCGTCGCCGTATGGCAGTGCGCGATACAGGAGGTGGAGGGCACGTGGCAAGAGGAGAGAAGAGAGGAGGAGAGAGGTGAAGAGAAGAAAAGTAGAGGAGAAATCTTGGGAAAGGCAGGAAAATGACGAATGAGTGTTACAAGTGTAGACTGAGACCCAAGGGTGGTATTGAGAGACAGGAGAGATTTTGATCGAGGAGGATCCGGATTAGTCGAGGGTTAGTCGTCAAGATGGCCAGCAGGTTTGTTATGGTTTCTATCCCTGCGTACGTGCTGTATGCAAGTAGGTACTGCACAAATTGCATGAGGAAACACTAACAAGAAAGGCAAGTATGTCAAAACGATGATCTAACAAGATCGTTGATGATTACAGCTGCGACTTTTGAACGACGCAGATATCACGCTTGTACAGGAGTGAAACTAACCTTTCCTTGCAAACCTATTTCAACATTGTCCCACCATAAGATATTGAAACGGACTTTCAGGTCTCAAATGGCGAAGAAGAAAAGTAAGGCGCAGCAGCAAACTGGATCGCCAGCAATCTTCGATCGCAGACATTCGATCAGTGCAGCCGGTGAAGATGAGAGCCTTTCTGGTTCGATGCCATGACAGACCATGCAGGAGTACCCTCTCCTAAATCCCTCCCAGGCACCTTTGGGACAGGGGCGAGGGTGGGCGGGAAGAACGCGACGGACAGGCAGTCTGGCAAAGATTTGTCAAATCACAACAAGTAACGCTGAGTGGGAAGGAGGAGAGGGTTGACATGCTTGCTTCAGGTACTGCCACTTCTGTCAACATGTCAAGGTTCGATCAAGCAGCATGCTTGCCTGCGGGAACTACGAGTGTAGCCGCAGATACTGCGAGCAATGCCTGTTGATCCACCTCAACGAGAACGCAACCGAGCAGCCGAGCGAGGGTTGGTCGATCGTTGCTGGCAAGGTGAGTGAGAGCTTGTTTGTCAAAAGAGTTGAGATTGTTTGTGATGATGGTGGACCTTCTCGAGTGTTGTTGGTCTGCAGTACTGACTTGATGGCAGTTGCGTTGGTTCTGCCCGATCTGCCGGAACAAGTGCTGCTGCGCCAAGTCAGAATGCTTCTCCAATCATCGCCATTGCAAGGCTTTCCGCTACCGCCTCTGCCGCGCACAGAAGGCGCAGAAGCGCCTGTCCTCTCAGGGCGGCCCCTCGCGCAAAGCAAGGGCTGCCGACGGGAAACACAAGATGCCCTTTGCTGTGAGCGTGGAGAGGTTGGGGACGGCGTCGAGCACTGAGAGGGAGGAAGAAGTGCGAGAAGAATTGTGTGCAGCGAATCCGTTCTTTGGACAGGAGCACGAGGAACCGTTGGACGAGGCCCTGGACTTCACCAGCAGCCTGTGCGGGGATGGGATGGCGAGGCCGAGCGATACCCTGGATGAGGGAAGTGAACTTAGGTTGTGGCAGGCGGGAGAAATGAAGGAGGAGACTTGTCAATCAGACATCCTTAGCCTGGAGCATGTGCTGCCAGGGGCGCTGGAGGGAACCGAGGCTGACGAGGACTTCGAGGAGGCAAGGTGGCTCAAGAGCACGTTGGAGGGGCTGGGAAGCTCGCCGTCCTGTTTCTTGGAGGATGAGGGACTGAAGGAGGAGGCGGTGGAGGAGCCGGGGATGAAGGAGCTGGGAAGTAGCTTCCTCGAGAGGTTCCAGAGCGAGCTGAAGCCTCGCAGAGGGTGTACGGTGATCTACGATTATGTGTGAAGGAGGATACGGGGTGAGTTCGTCTGTTTGTAGATTAGCAATCAGTTTCTTCCTATACACTATGTACATCTCTAATAGTACTGTACTTTCTCCCTCCCCCTTCCCCTCCTCTCTCTCCCTCCTATATACATCCCCCCTCTCAGCCTTGTTATCTTACATTCCTCCTCCCGGCCATGATAGCCTGAGATCCGCATACCTTCTTTGCTACCACAGCTCAGTACTCTTGGACGCTCGAGCCCCTTTATCTACTGGTCGCCCAGGCCTTGATCAGCCCGTCTCCTGCCGCAGACACAAGCATTCCTCTTGCTTCGTTGGGGCTGTCCTGAGTGAGAAGATCGTCGTCCTCCTGTATGAGCGATCACCAAGTGATCAGGAGCGAGGACAAGAGAGAAGAGAAGTTCAAGGAAGAGATGGAGGGAAGTGACGAGGAAGGAAGTAAGAGAAGAAGGGGAGGAGAGTGGAAGAAGGGTAGGAAGAGGAGAGCAGGAGATACCTCGATGGCTGCAAGCGCTTGGATAGAGCAGGAATGAGCGTGCGGGATCTCGAAGCGGGGGGAGAGAGAAACTACGTCCCCTTCTTCCTCCAGCCTCCAGCACTGCAGGGACCCGTCCCAGCCGCCAAGGAAGATATCTGTGCGGTAAGAGCCGATTCGCGAGCTCCTGCTGCACCAGTAAAGGACAGCAATGCAAGGAGAGCAGGAGCTGCTGCCTCGCTCACCTCCGCCTCCTCGCAGCTTCGAGGATCGCAATCGCACGAGGCGCCTGCTGAGGGTGAACTTGCGCGCGAGCAAGCAGCTGCCATGCTCCGCTGCTGCTGCCGTCCATTCTTGCTGACCACACATACAACCCCTGCACTCAGCGATAAGTATGCTCTTCTTTCCTCATCTGCTTCTCCTGCCTATCCTCTTTTGTCGCTTCTTTCTCTCCTTTCCTCTCCCCTCCCTTCTTGAAATTCCTACCGTCCTGGTTCTTATTGCTCTCCTCCTATATACCCACATCGCTTACCCCTTCCTCTCACTGCTTCCTCCAATCCATCCTCTCGCACTCCCTCTTCCTATCGCTATTCTCTTCCTCTCCCTTCTCTCCTCTCTCCTCCTTCCCCTCCCCCTCCCCTCACCTCTGAGCTCGCGCAAACCAGATGATCAGAACATGCTGCAAGGCACTGCACAGCTCCATCCTGTCGCAGGCGAGTGGTGACGGAAGAGGAGAGGTCATCCCACACCTGCAGCACCCCAGCTGCTCATCAGCTGGCCCCGAGTTGTACAGTGACCGACCTGCACGATGCCATTGTTGGTGCCAGCGCAGAGGAAGCCACCGAACCAGCAGAGGCAGAGGACGAGGCCGTCGGAGGAGTCGCAAGAGGGTCCGAGCCTGAGACGATGAAGCGGTGAGGAACAAGGGAAGAGGAGGAGGCAGAGAAGGAGAGGAGAGAAGAGCGCACAAAAGGAGAGGGCAAGAGCAGCAGGAAGCTTGCGAGTGATGAACAAGCAGCAGCGAGCAGCAAAGAAAAGATGTAGAGAGGAGAAAAGGGAAAGACAAATGCAGGGCGAGTCAAGAAGGCGAGAGAGAGAGGAAGAGAGGAGACGTGCTGGCAAGGGAATCAAGCTTACTGGTTCTTGGACCATGTGACCGGGCCGTAGCTAAGAGAAGAATCGGAGGGCGGGTAGAGAAGCAAGACTTCCTCTCCTACGGAGCAGAAGAGCGCGAGAGGACTGAGAGAGGTTCAGGATAAGCAGAAGAAGCAGGAGCAAGTGACCTTCCGACAACGCTAGGAATTCTCCAGAGGAGGGAGGAAGGAGGAAGGTCGAGCTGGTTGCGGGAGATGCAGGAGGAGGTGACAACATCCCAGACCTCCACTGAGCCCTCGGCCATGCTGCAGGCTAGCAGGTGACCACCGCCTGTCCGATGGGATGGTGAGAGGAGGAGAGGAGAGGCGGCAAGAAGCAGCATCGAACAGAAGGAGAGGGTTGAGGAGAGGAAAACGGAGGAAGAGAGCGGAAGGCGGAAGAGGAGAAGCATGGAGAGAGGAGAGACGAAGGAGGGGAATGGGGAGGCGGCGGCGTGTACCTGGTGTGATGGCAGAAACCATAAGCTGAATGGGCACCGAGGAGGAAGGTGAACGAGGAGCAAAACTGCTGACACATCTGCGAGGTCTGAGATGAGAAAAACGAGGAGACTAAGGAGAAAACAATGTAGAAAGCATTGAGAGGAAAACAAAAGAGGAGAGGAGGAAAAGAGGAGAGGAGGAGAGGAGGAGAGGAGAGGAGAGGGAGGGTGGACAAGCAGCACCGATATCTCTTCCCCTCCTTTCTCGTCTCAGGGCTCAAGTTCCAAGTGTCTGTCGTCAGGTCTTGGCTCAAGTCAACAACTCGATCAAAAACTTCCAGCTCCCTTTCTCCTTCCCTCCTCTCCCTCTCCTCCCTCCTTCCCTGCCCTCCCTCCCCTCCCTCCTTCACTCCCCTCCCTCTGTTTTCCTCCCGTTTTCTCTCCTCCCCTCCCCTCTTCTCCTCTCCCTCCCTCATCTCTTAATTTTCTCTTCCTCTCTCCTCCCCACCCGTCATGACGCTGAGCGCAGTGAGCGGCCGATTGTCCGAGAAACCTGCGGGACGGGAGGCGAGTAAGGAGAGCAAGCAGGAGGGTGACCGGAAGGATGGAAGACCGGCGCATGAGAGGTCAGCCATGACCGACGGTCGTTCGGTCGTCGAATCATGTGGAGTCCCAGGAAGAGAATCTGTGAGTTGATTATGACTTCCTCAATCCTCCTCCTCTCCTCCTCCTCCTCCTCCTCCTCCTCCTCTTCTCCTCCTCCTCCTCTCCTCCTCCTCCTCCTCCTCCTCTCCTCCTCCTCCTCCTCTCCTCCTCCTCCTCTCCTCCTCTCCTCCTCCTCTCCTCCACCTCCTCCTCCTCCTCCTCCTCCTCCTCCTCCTCCTCCAGCCCCTCTCCCTCCCCCCTGTCTCTGTCCCCATACTGCCCCACTTGCCCCCTGCCTTCTCCTCCTCCCTCCCCACGTCCACCACCATCACCCTCCCTGTATCCTCCTGCCCCGCTCACTCCCTTCCTCCTCTGGTTCACTCACGATGTTCATCGATCGGCAAGCACGGGTTCGACCTCTTCGTCTTCCACTCCGACACTTCTCCTGCATCTTCTGCTGCCCCGTCATCTCATGCAGGAAGCCGATAAGAACAGGAGCGACCTGTGACAGGGAGGGAGGGAGCAGCAGCTGCAGCAGTAGCATCCTTCACATCAGCCCCGTCAGCGACTGGGTGCAGGTCGCAGCAGTAGGAACTCACTTCAGCTCTGCCATCCCCTTCCGCTGCCTCCTCCACCTCGCCGCACACGCTGTCGTCCAAGAAAGTCTTCTGGCTGGGAGGATGAGGAGGAAGGAGACACTGGGATAAGTTCACTCACGACTTCAGCTGCAGTCTTGGTCCACACGCGGATTGTCCCGTCACTGAACTCCACCAGTCAAGATCATGTCAACAAAAAGCAGAGGACTGAGGCTGAAGCAGAAGAAGGAAGCAGGAGGAAGAGGAGGATGAAGCCGGTAGAGTAGTAGTGGAAGAGCGGAGGTCGGTGGAGAGAGGAAACGATTGAGGAAGTAGCAGAAACCCAAGGATTTAAGAAGTTCAGGAAAGAATAGTTTGACCTCCCTCCTGTCAGAAAAACCTTTCCGACCGCAACAAGAGCATTTACACTCCCTGAGAGAGAGGATATTCAGAGAGAGAGAAGATGTAGTGGAAGGGGCGAAGTGAAGAGAGGAGAGGAGAGGGGAAGAGGAGAGGGAGTGGGGATGGAGAGGAGAGGAGAAAAATGAGAAGTACTGAGTTCACGGAGGAAGATGAAGCAGGATGAAGGAGGAAGAGGTGAAGAGGAAAACAACTCCAAAACTCCAGTCCAAGAAGAAGAGAGAAACGAGAGAAAGGGAGGAGAAGGAGGGGGAAAGAAGGAAAAGGAGTAGAGAAGGCAAGGACGAGAGGAGGAAGCTGGCCAATGCATACAAACTTCTCATCATGTTTCCGTTTTTCTCTCACCTGGTTGATGCTCCCTCAACACGTAGAGGGGCTCAAGAGAAGTGACGGGCTCGTCCACCACGTCCAGCTCGAGTGACGTCAAGAGTGACCAGCATAGCAAGAGCAGAGCAGAGCAGAGCAGAGCAGAGCAGAGCAGAGCAGAGCAGAGCAGAGCAGAGCAGAGCAGAGCAGAGCAGAGCAGAGCAGAGCAGAGCAGAGCAGAGCAGAGCAGAGCAGAGCAGAGCAGAGCAGAGCAGAGCAGAGCAGAGCAGAGCAGAGCAGGGGAGAGGAGAAGAGGGGAGATGTTCATAACGAGGAGGCCAGCGAAGGCTTCACCTCATCATCATCACTCGACTGTGCCGCAGGAGAGCACTTGCTGAGCACCTCGCTTGAGGGAGACTACAAGTATCATATCTCATCATGACCCCGACACTGAAGATGATGGAAAAAACTTACAACTGCTGAGTCAAAGGTCTGGTCCGATCTTGCAATGAGCAGCTCGTCTACGATCGGCCCCCAGATCGTCAACATCTTTTCTCCCTTGGCTGCTGTGCAGATGAAAATCTTGTCTCCCATCTCTGCAGGATCGTTGGTGAGGACCAGGAGGCGGGAGAGAAGCAGGTCACCAGCAGCATGGAGGGTCCTGATGCGAGTTTTGTGCATCTTGGAGGCACTGGAGACATGGCCTTGTAAGAAGAAGTACGTGTGCATGCAGGAGGGTCAACTTGGAGGAAGTTACGACGAAACGATGGTTGATGTCACAACCGATCTCTTGGTCGATGTTGGCTCCATCTCTGGTTGCAGGTTTAGGCAACAATGACTTCATCGTCATTTCGAAACATCATCATCATCATCATCATCATCATCATCATCATCATCATCATCATCATCATCATCGTCATCATCATCATCATCATCATCAACATCAACAGCAGCAGCCTTCAGTCTCTGTTCTCACTTCTCGACGTCGATCCGCTGCAGGTTGCCGCTGGCAGGACAATGAGCATTTCACCACTCACACACTAGCACTTCACCTCTCGCACCCTACCCACAAGTGAAGGTGCGTGACAAACAGGCATGTAATCGCTCTCTTTCCCGTCATCTGACGACAAGTACGCAACGAGTGTCAGACAACGCACATAAGGACGTCTGTGCATGAAGAAGTAGCAGCTAGATCTCTTGCACCCTCTAAAACACCAGCAGGTCAACCATGAGGTTTTCTGCACAAGTGGACAAGTTCACAACCAAGTCCGTTCCTCACATTCGCATCGATCGTCTCCCGGAAGTTCTTCTCAGAGTAGCACCTTACATGCCCATCACCCGACCCGCTCCATACATGATCGTCTGCGTTCAACTTCAGCCCCACAGCAACAAAGCAGGGCAGTCAAGATTCCTCCAGCGGCAAGGCAGTGAACAGGGGAGTTCCCCGCCTCGTCTTGAAGCTTCACGATGCAGACAGCCTGAGGAGCAGCTCAACTTTCGTTCTTGTCATCGGATACGTGACGATACAGATGCTTGGTCGAACAGCAATAACCTTCCATCTGCAAACCCTATCCAGACCTGATACCCAAAGATGCTCGTCAACCCTCCACGAATCTGAACAAATTGCAAAGATCTCCTCACTTTCCCCCTGGAGGACAGCATGCACAAAACCTTAAAGAATTTCAGGCACAGAAGGACAGCAAACAGGTGAAAGCTGCAGCAAGCTTTCTATCGGGTAATGCTCCACTATCCTCCCTCCCTCTACTTTACCTTCCCAGCATGGGTTTGCAGGCTTTGCCGCCATTCTCCTTCGCTACTCCACACCCGAACCTTGTACTGACTTCAGTACACGCAGACAGTCTTCACATCCCTACCGTCTTTGCCCCAGTCCACAACGTCTTGTTTGCTGTCGCAATCATCGCATTCACCTGCATGGGAAGGAACTATCAACAAGCCGTTCACACGTGCATGTAACAAGCTCATCGAAACGAACAACACTCGCCAAAAACACTTGAACAGCAGACATTTCACGTGGTGATAACGAACAGGCAGCGCAAAACCTTCTCACCTCAGTGTTATGAGCATTCTTGCGTCCAGGAGCCTGGAAGTAACGCACCATTACCACTCTATCTTCTGCCTTCCTAGCTCATCTCACCTTTGCTTCTATCGAGGTTTTCTTTCCATCTTGGGATATGCATCGTACGCTGAAAACCCTTTGAGACAGACTCTCATACGCTCTACACAGAACCTCCCAGCCATGCTCGCTGTCCATATCGCTCCTTCATCTACGAGGATCATGTCACTACCATGCCTCCAAGGTCAGGATGACGAACAATCTTCCACGAGGACGGTAATGCCTGTGTTGTGCATCCTGAGCTCTGCTGGCCAAGATTCGCTGCATCGCAGGTCATTCCGATTCGAGCGTTGCTCCCTGATAGCTCTGCCATACCTCTCCAGCTTCGTGCCGTCCAGGTTCCATGCTCGGACATAACCTGAGCTCCATAGAATGAGCAGGCGATAAGGCACGAAAGGATAGCAGCTCGTCACCATCAATGTGCCCTGTCAGGACAAACCCATGGCGTGTCGTGGCCATGCACCTGACTTCGTTGGTCGCCCTGAGCCAAGTGTGATTGGTTGAAGAAGTATCACTCCCCTGCTCGCTCTCATCCTTCTCCCTCATTCCTTTCTCCCGAACACCTTCAGCATGATTCTCTCTCGTGCCCTTCCCCCATGATTTCTCCGCTCACTGCCGTCGTAGTAACCATGCGCATTCCCCATGGATCCGTGAGAGTACGGACTGTGCAAGTCCTCCTGCTTCGATTCCTCTCTGCTCCTCTTCGCTCATTCCTCAATATCTGAGCATCCCTCCCTCTTCCTCCCGCTGCTGCTCCTCCTCCTCCTCCTCTCCGCGTCTCACTGGCATCGTCGGCAGGGCAACGCAGTCGGCATGTCGGAGAGCCTGATGAGGGCGACCTTAGCGTTCAACTGGGCTGGGGTGATAAAAGTTAGAAATAGGGGGTGGGGTCATAAATTTGTGGGGTCATGAATTGGGTCATGGGTGATATTCTCTAGCAACACAGTATCAAAGTACCCTACATTTGAAAACATCTAGGGTCATCAGTTTTCGGGGTGGGTGATGGGAAGGGGGTTGTGATGTATTTCGGAACGGGGATGGTAGGTGGTACTGCCATGGGCGGCATGGTGAAGATGACGGTATGAGGAAGGCTGGAAGAGAGTCACGCATGCAGAGTCGCGCGGCCATGCAGGGTCTGACGATGGGAGGCTCTTTCATGGCAGGGTTCGTCTTCTGCTACCTGCTCGTGGCTCTGCTGTCTCCCGGGGAGAGGCTGATGAAGAGGGAAGAACGAAGAACCTACCATTCCTCCGTGGAGCCAGAGATTCGGTTCTGCAATTCGTCCTTGCTGACTTCCTCCTTCAACAAGGAAGAGATACAGGCATCCTTTGAGAAGAGCTGGCGGCATACACTCGGACTTCACTCGAAGCTGTCGAGGATGCTCGACAAGGAAGTTTTCACGCTGCAATCCCCGTGGGCACACTTCAACCTGCTGCCTCCTGTTGGCCCGAAATGCAGAGCAGGCATGATGACGATGGGATCAGCAGGAGGGCAGGACAACGAGAAGCGATTCTGTGGCCCTCGTGCGCTGAAACGCCGTGACTGTGTTGTGATCAGCGTGGGGAGCCATGGCGAATGGGGATTCGAGATCGGGGTGTTCGAGTCGACTAATTGTGTTGTACACACCTTCGACTGCAACGGGAACTACTCTGTTCCCCCCAATCTCCAATCGAGGGTGTTCTTTCACAAGATCTGCCTTGGCCCTGTCGACGATGGGGACTACAGGTCATGGCCTTCCATCCTGAAGATGCTCGGTTACTCCAGGCCCCCCACGTTCCTCAAGATGGACATCGAGGGCTGGGAATACTCGGTCCTTACCTCGATCATCAACACGGGCTACATGCTCCCTCACCAGATCGCCGTCGAGCTGCACTGGTACACAGGAGGAGTTGGGGGGGTGTACTGGAGGGGGCCCTTGCCCACCATGATGGAGAACGCGCATCGGTTCTACATGACCAAGGACTACGTGGCTGCTGGGTACATGCCGGCAGACAAAGACCCTCCAACGTACTCCTACAAGACGCCAGGAGAGATCGCCCTCTTCGGAGCGTTCCTCTTCCTCAAGGGGGGGTACATGATCGGTGAGTGACAGCCGTGCTACTCTCGCAGCCTCAGGCTCGCAGTCTGCTGACTTGCTGCTGCTCAGTGGACCGCAAGGACAACCCAGACTGCAAGCACTGGTGAGGATATGAGTCGTGTGCTGAGTGCATGCCCTGATGCCTTGACTGTGCAGTACCGAGCTCCTCCTGGCGCGTTTGATCTGCTCTCCGCGGTCTTTCCACGGCGAGTTCACCCTGTGATCGGTTTCGAGCCCCTGCAGCATCTTCACTTGTCTTTTACTGAATCTCCTTGGTGGCATGTTCATAGCATACCCCAGCTGCCACTCGGCTAAAGTTCACCGTTGGCGCCGAGGCTCTGGGGCCGGGAGAGTCTTTGAGGGTAACGATTCGACTGAGTTGCCGCCGGGTGCCGCATCTTCACTGTGGCCGGGCCGAGGCCGGCAGTGCAGGACTGCCAGCCAACGGACTCGAACTCAAGGCTGCAATCATTGAAGCCTGGGGGCTGATGACAGTAATTATCTTCAGTTAATATGCTCGCCTTTAGTCTTTCACTGCAACCCGCGGATACTCATCGAAGATGTGCCGCCTCCTCTCCCTTCTGTTCCGTTACCTGACTCCTTCCTGCTCCCGCCCTCTCCTTCCATCGTTCATTGTTGCTACCGCTGAGAGCAGGTCACTGTGAGGTCCAGCAACCTTCAGGCCCCCGGGCATCTTCTCCAGCAGGATCTTCTCTGCATGCTCTACAAACGGCTGGTACATTCGCTCCAACTCCCTCCCAAGCTCCTCCAGACGCTCCATCCCCTGCTTCGACTTCTGCATCCCCAAGATTGTCTCCCCCTGCCCCCTCGCAGCGTCAGCCTACAGCAGGCCGCCAGCTCGTCATGCTCACCGCGAACACGTCGGACTCGAAATCGTTCATCCACGTGTCGTAGTCCCTTCCACCACTGATGTGATGGTTGAAAGTCGAGAATGGATCATGCGGATTCTCCAGCAATGACTCGTAACTTTTCTTGTCAAGCTGCAGCAGCACAGTCAGCTCCTCCATATTCCTTCTCCATCCTCCCCCTTCATCCTCTTCTTCCTCCGCCTTCCCCACGCCACCACCACCTCCTCCTCGAGTCCTTCCTCTCAGTCTCCTCTCTTCTTCTTTCAGCTACTCTTACTTCCCGCCATGCTGCTGCTGCTGCTGCTCTTGAGACTGCCTTCCCCAAATTCATTGTTCTCTCCTCCTCCCATCCTCCCCACTTTCTCTTCTCTCTACTCTCTTCCCTACCGGAAACATGAAAGTCTTCATCGACCTCAACCGCCCGTGACAGTCGAACTCCGGCTGCTGTACATATCTTGCCATCACGCCACCTTTCTCTCCCTTGCTCCCAAGATCTCGGATACAGCCAACTAGACTCAGCGGACGTCCAGGTCTCGTCGCAAAGAACCAGGTCCCGAACATCACGTAGCAGAAGGAGTTAAACTCTGTGGTAACCAGTGACAGCTCCCTGCTCGCTAACCTCGCTAGAGCCTCTTCCGCATGCAGCCCTAGTATCCTGCATGTCGCGTCCGATACGTACAGATGCGCCCGCTGCCCAGTAGAAGGTCGCAGGTAGTGATTGACCATCCCAAAGTTCTCATTCCCGTACAAGGCCCTCTCCAGCTCCAGGTCGTACTCCGATACTGTCTCGTTCTCCATCAGCAGCCGCGCTGGGACAGCCCGAGCTTGCTTCTCCGAGACGAAGATGTTCATGAGATCCTTTGAGTTGTAGCCAAACTCCCTGCTCGCGCAGCACGGACGGCTTGTCGAAGGAGAGGTTGCGAATACAGAAGTCGAGCGGCCTTTCAACCTGCAGCTCCAGCATCGAAGCGAGTTCATCGGAGTGTGTTAGAGGGGCCTGGACAAGTTCTGTCCCACTCCCACTGTCCCATCCTTGCTCTTGCTCTTGCTCTTGCTCTTGATCCTGTTCTTTGAATCGTGCCTTCTGTCTGGCGATAATCTGAACTTCGTACACACAGTACTCTTGCTTTTGTTTCTGCTTACAACGCGAGCATGGGCGACCTTCGTCGCATTTGACCTTCGATTGCTTGCAAAGGACACACGAGTTTGATCCCCTCTTCCTACACTCCTTCTCTTCTCTTTCTCTGATACAGCTCCCTTCCATGCTCAGCCGAGTGCATCTGAGTAAAACCCTCAGAAATTTCAGGCTCACGCCCGCCCAAGACAGAGAGGCGAGATGATGCACGTGTAATGCGTCAGGCTCATCCTCTCCATCCCCTTCTATCCCTTTCTCCCTCAGACTCACCGCGCGCATGGCTGGAAGTTGTCGCACTTGAGCTCTGCATCCTTGCACGGCTGGCAGGCTAAGCGGGTTCTCTTCATCGACCTGGCAGTCAACATGGAGTTACTCGCTGCTGAAGCACGTTGAGGATGAGTATGTCAGAGATGGATGGAGCTGGCCGTGTATACTGCTTCTCCTGTTCTTCCCTCCTCTGCCCCCACCCCTGATTTTGCTCCTCACAATGCTGCTGATCCTGCTTGCTGCTGCTTCTGCTCCCTCCGCTCCTCGCTCCCTGCACCTCGCTCGCTCCGTCAGCTAGGTTTAGTTAGGACCTGTTGCTAAAATGACCTTGCAAAAATCAAAAAAAATTCTCCGAATGAGTATCGTAACTTTTAGTCAAAACGGTTTCAAACCGTTTAAGATCAGTTATTAACGGCCTGAGGCGCACTTGAAGCTGATGGAAATTTTCTTTTCCACCATGAAGGCGCTGGCGGGAGCTTTGTTTCTTGCTGCCATGAGCAGCGGGGGTGCTGAGAGAGGGACTGGAGTAGGAAGAAGCTTCAGCCCTAGGGAGGTCTGTAAGAGCTCCTGCTTCGTTGGCTATCGTGGGATTCCCCGGATACGCAGTGAGAGGGGCCAAGTGAGAACAGGAATGTGTAGTTCCACGGGTGGGTGGAGCACGAAACAAGCAAGCAGCCCAGAGAAGATCGGGATTGGAAAGCTTGTGAAGGACGCATATTCAAAGGAATCCTCGAGTGATTTCTGGAATCTGCGCGACATCTCTTCTTCGTATCAAGACAGGAACAACTTCTTCATCAAATCGCAGGACTTGACGTATGGAGAGTTTGACATTGAATTCTTCCTTCAATTACTTGATGCAGCGGAAATACGGTGCAAGCCTGCCGGTTGCATGATTGTTGTTTGACGGCAGTGTAGGGATGGCGAGACCTTTTGCGACATTGGATCAGGAAGCGGCCGATTGGTGTTCGCGGCTGCCCTCAGGTTCCTAACTTCTCTCCATCGCGTGATTTGCGTGATATTATTCCCTTCTTTCATCGCTCCTCTATTCACAGCTACATCCACGTGAAGTGACTCGTTCCAGATACTCCAACGTGCTCAAGAGGTCCAAGGGCATCGAAATCATTCCGGAGTACATCGAGGTTGCCAAGAGGGTCAGCCTACACGTTCAAGAGATGAGGTTTGCACCCTCTGACCAGTGTTCTCTTTGCGTGCTGTGATGGCTTCTGTTCGAATAGCATTTCGAATGGAAAGGATCTATGCCCTGTCTTGTTCTTGGAAGGAGACGTGCACTCTGATACAGAGCTTCTCAACGACATTGATGTGTGCTTCTGCTACAGCACAGCATTTTCGACTTTCGGGGGACCATATCTTGCTCAGCTGTCCTACACGCTGGGTAAGCAACTGGACCTGCTTGTGCTAAAGTAACCACGAGGTCATGCAGGTCACAGTTTGAAACCGGGTTCAAGGGTCATCACAGTCGACAAGATGTTGGTCAGCGATGGTCCATGGGAATTCCAACTACTGCACAGCATAGACGGCAAGAACGAAGAAGTTGGGGGGAGCACGGGATACATCTGGAAGGTGGTAAAGAGCGCTGTGGTATAGGATTCCAGCATCTGCCATCTACTCTCTCCGGCGGTTACTGAAGAGTGTTAAGAGTTTTCGTGTAACTCTCCTCAGAGCGGAAAGAGTTCCGAGTGCTGCGGCTATCGGCTGTTGATCGCACATAGACTGGGACAATTCTGTGCAGCCATGTGCTGCTCTTGTAAAATATTTGACTTGTCAGAAGAATGAAATTTTTTTTATTGTCGCGGTTATCGTCGTCGTAAACATGAAGGAAAAGCCTGGTCGCTGTTAGAAGGCTGCACAATCGAACGAATGCACATCTACTTCCAGTCAAACTATGAAGCAAGAGTGACACTGCTCTTGCAACCTGAGCAGCTGAGCTCCATCTTCGTTTTGCGCTAAAGGGCTTTTGTAGATTTGCAGCAGCGTGGCATAGCACTATCTGGAAAGCAGCTGCTACATACAGAGAACTAGCATCGATGGAATGCATGTCAGCATTTCAGAAGATGGAGCAGTGGTCTTGAGAAAGCGACATATTTAGAGTGTTGCATACACAAAACAGAGATTGAAAAATCTAGCAGCAGGACAAGACAAATGTTAACATCAAGAATCCGTCGGAGTATCTGTGAAACACACTACAGAGATCCTTTTGGAACTGTACAGAGATCTGATCAAGTTCTGTACCACACAACCTCAAAGGCCGAGACACAGCACACAGAAAACCAGGAGCATGAAGAAACGCAAGAGGCAAGAAGCGACGTCAGTGCCCTAAAGGTGCTTGAGAGATGTTCGAGCGCAGCGACATGTCATTTCATAGAGGAGGTACCCCCCTCCTCTAAGTTGCATCACCACCCCACCCACCGGAAACCGGCGGACAAAAAAGATCAACAATATTGAAATTTATACTGCGTTTGTGGTAGTATCTAATGTACTGCAGTACGAACCTGTCCTCTTGAAGTACATTATTTATATACAATTTTACCAGAGTCGGTAGTGTTGATATTCTTTACTACTATTACTATTAATATAGTATTTCTTTAGTTAGTACCTCCCCACCCCTCTTCATACCCGTTTCCAGAATTTGTACTACCCTACCATACCCTTAAGATTATTTAGAATCTCTCCGAAGGAGTCCCAGCCAGGTCGTATATTTTAAAAAAGGTATTTTCAGAAGTACCCACCCGTACACCCAATCTATATCTTTGTAAACCACCCTACCCTTTAGAGAGTCCGACGAACATGATTTTAATATTGGTCCACCGCACACACGTCCGCTACCCCTATCCAGGAGCAGCCACTACCCTACCCCTAGCACCTCCCCTCGGCTGTCTACACCAGAGCTGGAGCGTTTCCTCCAGTGGTAGCAGCAACTCCTCCGCTCCTCCTCCTCTTTACACAGCTCCTCCTCTCCTGCTTGCTCTTTCGGTCTCATCTCTTTCACCTTGCAATGCATCTTTCTATGATCTCCCTTCTCCGCCATGTCCGCCAACCCGTTGTGAAACTCACTGTTGCCCCAGTTTCATGCATGCTCAATGTCACTGTTCCTGCGACACTGCCTGAGACCTTGCTTTCATTTTCCTTGAGATCGCACGAGTATGCTCATGGTAGCTCTGATATTGTGCTCATCCCCTCTCGCACAGACGTGCACATCCTCATTTCGCTGCCCCACTGTGGCTGCTCTCCCCATTCTTGCAACCGCAACCAACGTTTCTCCTAACAAATCGGGCTCATTCCGCAACCCCCCTCCCTGCCAAAGCCGCCATATCGATTCATAGCTTCATCAATTTGTTTTGATGTTTCTGTCTACATTCTCCCTCTCTATGCTGCGAATTTCATCTCGACTTTGAAGTTGCCTGGTTCATTTTGTGAACGCTTGCGGTTCGTTGCCTGTTGTGACTTGGGCCTTCCCAAACTCGTCTGAATTTGTTTTGAACTCAGGCGATTGCTTTCAACTCAGGCAATTATACTCTTTGAATACAAGCAAGCGGGCGTGAGCCCAGATCTTTCTGTCCTTCTGGAGCCTTGCGATCAGGAGCGATGACCCTTTCAAACCAGGAGAAGGAGAAGAAGAAAGTCGAGAACAAATGCAGGCATGATCCGTCACAATGGCGCTCGTCGAACCAGCTGACTCCAACAATCTGCACGGTGATGCTGGGAAGGAGAACAGAAAACGAAGTAAGCCAGGCGATCGAACACTTCAGTCAAGTGGGCCAATGCCAATGTGGCAAGAGGGTGATTCTATGCAAGTACTGCCCCTTGTCGGGCGACAAGTTGGCCGAGAAGCTTCCAAAGAATTGTGGACAAAGAACTCCCAATCCTATCATTTTCGACAACAGAGCTACTAAGAATGCGGTTGACTCCCATTCAAATGGAGCTTATCACAGGTATTGGAAATCTCTACATGACAGGATGGTTTCTGGACGAGGGCTGGACATTGCTGAGGCCATTGATGACTTTCCTGACTACTCGTTTGGGTCACCATCAGTGCTTGACTCAGAGACATCGTTTTCCACACCTAACAGTGAACTGTTCCTGAGTAAGTCGAATGGACAACAGATGTTCAGCCAATCGCCGATTGAAGGGATCATGAACGATGATCTTTCATCGAAATGTGATCAGGTCGGCTCGACGGGATCAAGCCTTTCTAATGTGAGCCAGTCCATGGATGGGAGCGTGATTGAGAGCAAGAACCCTACCCCAAACTCAGAAGCGGGGATGAGTGAAGATGCATGGTTCGAGATGCAAGCAAGGTGTCTCAGAGAAAGAAACATGCAAACAGTTGCAGACAACTCTTGGAAACCGTTTCCGACTGAAGTTTTGAATGAGAGAGCAAGACCATCGTTCTCCAACACTGCAAATGGACATTCTTCAGATCCCACTAAGATTTTGCCGGCGATTAACCTCGAAACTGATTACATGTCATTTGTCAAATTTCACGGACTTACAAATGGCTGGCCAGATTTTGTGTTTCAAGAAGACTTCATCAAGCCATCCTTAAACGAAGTGGTGGCGTACGCCAAGAAACACAAACACCTTCCAGGCGTGATACCAGAGAAAAATGTCAACGAGGGTGATTTTTCTTGTCAAAGGGAGATCGCAAGCGTGCTTCAGTATGTAGAAATGCTGGTCCTGTGGGCGAAAGAGCTGAGTGACTGTAATAAGCTGTTGGAAGAGCAGGTTGGTGAATTTAAGAAAGCTCATTCGACTGGTGATGAAAGAGAACTGATGATGAAAATCTCAAAGTTACTCAGCAACATTGTGACCAAGAGGTGCATTCAGCAACTTCAACTTTCTAGGCCGCAGGGAGCTGAACTTCTTCAGTGGATGAGAGAGAATGGTTTGATTTGCTTCGCTCGCGTGTTTGCTAAGAACGGCTTACATTCCTTGGAGCACGTTGCGAACCTAGACCAACAAGATTGTGAGAACTTAACAGTGTCGTTGGAGAACCTGGGTTCTGTTGGAAAGCGTATTGAATTGCAAATAGCCGTCCAGAATCTGCAAGGGGATATAAGAGCGAAAGACATGAACTACAGACTGCAGCGATTCTCCGACTGTCAAATACCCTTTTGGTCGGCCTGGTCTAGCGCAGGTGCGGTCGAGGTCCTTTTAACGAAGAGCTACGTGCAACTGCTGAGCTTCGTTCTCGGCATGTCGCTGATTGTGAGCACCCTCTACTCCCTTGCTTCGGTGTGCATGCCTGACTCCTTGGGAATCGCCCGGTCGACAGCGCCTCCGACTCTAGTAAGGCTGACCAGGTGGCCGCTCAATCTGTTTGAAGGGTTGCTGTGGCTCAAGACTGTATATGACGCGAGGATGAAGTGCCCCATGGCAGCTTGTGGGGTTGCGACTTTCAACCTCAGGCTGATGACAATCAACTTATACATCCAAGTGCTGCTGGAAGTCAAGAACAGCCTCAGCGGCGACTCCTCGCAGTCATGCCCTGGGAGCATCTGGCAGGGAGTTCTGCTGCAGGATACTCTGGCCCTCCCAGTCATGACTCTGATATCCTACGGTTGTTCGAATCGTCAAAGACAGCTCTTGTCGTTCTTGTGGATCATTGGATGTTACCTACTGTTGGTCGCCGTGCCCATCTACTGGAATCAGCACATGTTCAAGGCCCTGGTGGGTGCGGTCCTTGGGGCTGGTCTTGTGATCTTGTATCTAGCTTGTAAATGTATCGGATGGGTTGTGCTGAAGAATCAGCTGTGGAAGGAAGAGCAGGACGCGAAAGAGTACAGACGGGAATGGGAGTCGCAACTACAGCAGGAGGGAAACAATGAGTTGATAGCAAGACTCAAATCTGATGTGGACAGGATCGATAAAGTGATCAAGGAGCAGTTTCAACGCTGCTTTGCTGCCGCTTCCAAGACAGGGAATTGGCGCCTTCGAAGTTTGTTCGCAGAGCCGGTGGGAAGGTTTTCCTGCGTGGGCAAAGTCCGTCAATGCACCAACGACTTTGGCCACCTCTTCTCAGAGGCCTCGAGCATTAACGACCACTTCCACGAGTTCATGTCGGAGCTGCTGCAGAACAAGTTCTGTGGAGGCGTCAACTTCAACAAGGCAGCCATGGCGGGCGATGACCAGGTCAGGGAGAAGCTCTCCTTCTTGCAATCAGCTTCGATGCTGGGCGAGGTGAAGGTAGACCTTTGCGACAAGCTCATCTTTGTCCGAGGGCCCATCAAACAGCCCGAGCGAGCGATCCAGAAGTGCGTGAGGGCGTATGGGAGAGACCCGGCCTGCTTGACCGACCTTGTACGTGCAAGTGTTGTCGTGGAGACCCTCGAGCAAGTTGGAGAAGTGATGCGCTTCCTTGAGAGGAGCTCCGTCGTGGGAGCAGACAGCTACGTGAAGGAGGCATGCCAGGGGGATGCTGATTCAGAGGGCGCTGAGGAAACAGTCTACTTCCGGATGACGCGCGTGAAGAACACTTTCGATGATACGAGGGAGGACACCAGCGCCGGCCTCACTCTCAAGACTCTCTCGATCAACCTGGAGGTCGGTTGGATCTTTGAGAATGACAAGTGCAAAATTCTGCCTGTGGATGATTGGGTTCTCAAGACAGCAGAAACTCACATCTGTGAGCTACAGGTATGGCAAGATGTAACGCGTTGCTCTCGATGTTGTAGTAGTTGTTTTTGTCAGTGTTGCCAACGCATCCCTTGTGCGGAGGGGTTCTTTTCTAACGCCATTGGCAGATCCATCTTCTTCCTCTCTTCCAGAAGCATCACGAGATGATGAAACATTTCGTTCAGAATCGTAACGTCTTAGCTCGATGACGCGCCTGGATCCGCCTTTGTACATGCGTTTGTGCAGTAGTTAACCCTGATAAAGTGTTTGTTTCTCTCATATTACAGTGTCGTCAAGACAAGGTCAACACAGGAGGTTAGACATCCCCCCAGCACTGCCGCTCGCGGCTGATCTTCTGCTCCATCGCCATCCCTGTCACCTTCTGTCAGAGAGCAAGCGCGGCCGATGCGAGGAGGACGACGAGGAGGAAAACTCACTCAAAAATGCGCTGACGATGTGTGCCTCGGAGCAAGCGGCTTCCATGGCAGCCAAGTAACTCTTCTCCTGCACGAACCCTATCGAGGAAACGAGATGAGAAGCAGGAGGAGAACTGGGCCAGAGAAGAGTGGGGGGGGGGGAGCGGTGGAGCTTGGGGGGGGGGGGTCAACGAAATCAGGAGGCAGGCAGGCAGGAAGGCAGGCAGGACAGAACGAGACCTGACGGTATAGAGCTGACAATCTCCTCGTTCGGAATCCTCACGACGAACGTGCAAGTCCCTACAGCCTTGGTCTCTTGCTCCCTGCCAGGCCTCCATGGTGAGAGATCGGAGGCGAGCAGAGGGCAACCGTCACCTGCTGGGATCGGAGACGATTGTTCCATCTTCCATCACAGCACAGCAGACAGCAGCGGCTGCATCACTTCAGCCCCTAACTCAAGTGACAGGACAACAGCTTCACCTGCAAACCGTAGAGGGACCCCAGCATCGATGAGAGCGGCGATCTGCCGACTTGCTCAACAACCTCACGTGGGGAAGGGAGCTCCATTTGCTCACCGCTGCGTTGATACTCGCCGCCATGCTGCTTCCGTCGTCGGAGAGAGGCTGCGGGCCAGTCACGCGAGGTCTCTTGGTCCTCTGCTCGAGTGAGACTACCTGGATGGTGACATCGATCACGCACATCGGGTTGTATGAGCGCATGATAAGAGCCTGTCACATGTCAATTTCAACCAGCCAAGACTTTTCTCAACAAGCTGGGCTCTTCTTCACCTCTAGAGTTTGACGTACAACTTCCTCTGTATCTCTCCGCCATCCTCCTCCACCTTGCGCGCTCACATGTACCACCACCCGGCTCTCGTCGCTGTCCCTGCTCGACGCTTTTGCCTCTCGGGGCCCCACGATCCCTGCTATGCTGGTTGTTCTATGGAGGAATCATCAACGAAGAACATGAGGCAAGGGGAATGATGCGTGCAAGGAGATCTGAAAGAGCCTTTGGTTCGTTATGAGCTCTTGTGCACACGTTTCATATCAACAAGAGAAAAAGAAGAAAAGTTCATACAAGACATTCATGATTGTCATCAGTATCATCATCATCATCATCACTATCATCATCACCATCACAATCGTCATCATCATCGCCTTACCCTCCATGGCTCAATCGCGCAGCTCCATCGCATCCTCCCAACCCTCCTGCCTCGCACGCCATTCCTCGCATCCTCACGTGCCCCCACCCCCCTCCAAGACTACCCCCTAATGCGGGTTGGGGTGCCATTTAGCATCATTACACCCTACCCGTACCATACAAATATTACCCCCATCTTTCATAACTTTTTGCCATTCATACTACCCCTGATCTATAACCCCTACCCCATACTTCAATTGCTTGATGCGACTTCCTAGAGATGGGAAAGGCAGGGCAGGGGAGGGCAGGGGCTAGAAATAGAGCACGAGAACACTGTGAATCTTCGAACTATGAGAGTATGAGAAGACGAACTTGTCGATCATGAAAGATACAGAATCAAAGTCTTTCCCGAAACGCTGGGGACATGTTCGTATACCCCAGATCGTGTGAAGTTCTTGACCCAGGAGTTGCTTGCCATGGACGAAAAATCGCGCGCTTGCAAGGCCCAGCTTGAACAGGTAGGATTGCTCTTTCCCTCCGCGACCGGCTCAATTTGCTCCCATGTCAGTCGTTGCAATCCCTGGAAGAGGGAGCTAGTCAGGCAGGACAGAAGCGATGCATCATCCTGAGTGGAGGAGTAGACACCTGCGCCATCGTCATGGCTTGCAGGGACCTTGGGCTCCACCTAGACCTCGCAGTCTCTGTGTCAGTTTCCAACGAGAGTGGAAACTTTGAAGGAACGGACGAGGAGTTCGTGAAGGAGCTTGCAGCAGCATGCGGTCTAGAGCTACACTACTTGCACACGAGCGCGATGGAGCTGGTGTCCAACATGCTGCCCTTCTGCGTGAAGACCCTCGAGACCTATGATCCTATGGACCTCCGGAACTCCATGGTGGTTGCTCTTGCCCTCCACAAGGCGAAGGAGCTCGGGTGTACTCAGGTAGGAGGGAGGAAGAGACGAAGAGACGAGGAACGATGAGAGGGAGGTGGGGGAGAGAGAGGTATATTGAGTTGTGGCATGGCAGGTCATCACCGGGGATGGAGCTGACGAGTTGCTGGGGGGATACAGCTTCACGTGGAAGGGTGAGGAGCCGACATGGAGTCAGAAGCGGCAGGAAATGTGCTCTGCCTGGAAGTTTAGCGCTATGGTGCGACTCTTGGGCCGCTTGGTTGATCTCACGGTTGCACAGAAAATGGCAGTAGCACTTGGAATGAAGTACTTCAGCCCTTACGTTCAGGTTTGATAGCCAACAGATGTTGTAATCGTGGACTCTGCAATCGGTCAAGCTCATGGATGCCATCACCATCATCATTACCATTATCATTATCATTATCATTATCATTATCATTATCATTATCATTATCATTATCATTATCATTATCATTATCATTATCATCGTCGTCGTCGTCGTCGTCATCATCATCATCATCATCATCATCATCATCATCATCATCATCGTCATCATCATCATCACCACCACCACCACCACCACCACCACCACCACTGCCATCTTCGTTTTCGGTCTTTGATCTGGCATTGACGGTATTCCAGCCTTCCTTCAAGGAGTGGGCGCTGAAGGAAACCGACAAGTCAGACTGTATCGGCTCGGCTCGCATCCACATCAAGGTCATGCTCTCGTTCGCAGACGGTGACGTCATCACACATTGTTTGACAGCTGGGCGATGAGAAGGTCGATCACGTCACTGGGAAACTCCCTCTCCGACGAGCTTACCCCGATGCCATCAGCGCTTGGCGCAGGTAGGGAAGGAGATGAGAGGTGATGAGGGTCAAGCCGCTGCCTTCAGGAAGGACCCGATAGAAGTCGGCAGCGGTAGCACTTGCTTGTCAAGGAAGGACTTTTGGGGACCACCGCCCGATCCGGAAGTCGTTGACAAGCTGAGAAAGGAGGTACTTGGAAGAAGGAGAGAGGGGCTGAGGGGGGAAGAGATGGAGAGCCAAGGCAACAGAGATGAAGAGGAGCAAGAGGAATGCATGGAGGAGTAGAACACGGTGGAGGAGGACGAGGAGAACATGAAGGAGGAGAACATTGAGGAGCTTCTCTTGAGCTGTTCTTGATTCGACTTCTTCTTTCTTGCAGGACCACGTTGTGATCAGAGACGCCGAGCACCTGACCTACTACAAGCACTTCGCTCAGACGTTCCCTGATGGTCTGCCGAGTCGCCGTCGGCAGGAGGGGCATTGTTGCAAAGACTGCGGCTACGAGCTTGAGTACAGAAGGAGGAGGGGGAGGAGAACAAACTGCTGATACGTGTCCAGTCGTCCTACTGCGACTTTCTGCTTGGTTTGCGGCTGCTTTCCAGGCATGAGAACTTAAGTCTACAGAGAGATTGTTGACTTGTATTCAGCGCAAGATTTGGCGTAAGGGGACCTGTAAATCAAAGTACTCCGTCGTGCACGGAGAAGTTGACATTGGTTCATATTTATTTCAGGCAAAATGTAGCTATGTTATAGAAATTACGAATAGGAAAAAAATACTGGTAGGGGAGGAGAGAAATACAAGCAAGGGGGGATCTCAGTTGAGAGAGATCTCAGTTGAGATATTCCTCACGTGCGCTGCTGTAAACCTCATGCGCTCGAAGACGTCTGTGTGTCCCTCCAATAGGCCATGGCCGGCACGTATCGGGTCAACAGCGGCCGTTTCTCGTCCTCCTCCCTCAGCAGACGAACGTCGCTGGTGTAGAGGAGGAGAGGCATCCCCAGAGTCTCTCTTGTGTGCAGGACCGAAGCGAGCATGGCGCTCAGGGCGACCAGAGAAAAGATGTAGTAGACCGCGTTGACTCCTGCGTGAATGGCGGAGGTTGCTATGAGGGGAGACAGCATGGCAGCGATACGCCCGAAGCTGTTGCTGAAGGCGATGCTGGAAGCCCTCAGAGTGGAGGGGAAAAGCTCACCGGAGTAGATGTAGATGACGGTGAAGGGACCCGCGACCATGGCACGTGCGACGGCGTTGAGAGCCATGAAGTAGTGGATCTGAGTGGTCTCCACGCTTGCGAAGAGGCAGCAGACAGAGACGAGGAAGAAGCCAGTGATCATCGCTCCTCGCCTCCCAATGTACGATGAGTCCATGTAGAAGATGTTGGCGAAGATGACCAGGCACTCCACCCCGCTGTTGATCATGACGGCCTCGTAGGCTTCCTTGAGCTCCAGGTTAAAGAGTTGCTCGAGCATGACGGGATAGATGAAGATGTGACCATAGTAGATGAAGCCGCAGGAGGTGAAGGCAATGGTGAGATACAGGGTAGAGCCCAACAAGTCGCTGCCAAACATCTCCAGGAACCTCCAAGTGTTATCGTTGTCCTCGCTGATCGCGGGGTCGTGTGAGTGGCAGACCTCTCCACCCGCCTGCATCTCTGTCCCATTGACCTCGTTGAGAGTCGTCAACAGCGCCTTGATCTCCTCCTTGCGATCGTGGACGAAGAGGTAATGGGGTGACTCTGGGATGAACAAGAACATGAGCGGGAGGGAGATGAGACCCGGGACGATGCAGATGAAGAGCATATACCTCCACCATAGCTGGTCACCGGGCATGCTCTCATGGACTACGATTCCAACGACGCAAGCAAAGAAGGTCCCGAACGCAAACGCAACCCCGATCAGAGTCATGGCGAACCGAGCCCTCCACCGCGTCGGCGACCACTCGAGCAGCAGCGCGTCTGCCACGGGGATCATGGAGCCCACTCCCACCCCCGTGAAGAATCTCGCGACAGAGAAGGAGATGATATCGGTGGCAACAGCGGAGAGGGAGCCGAAGATGCAGAAGAGGACGGCCATCCCCAACAGTGTGTTCCTCCTTCCGAAAATATCTGCGAGGATCCCTCCGCAGAGGTTCCCCGTGAGCAAACCGGCAAAGATGGCTGACAAGATATGTCAGGAGCCTCCCATTGATAGCACATGACAAAGACTCACTGCTTCCGATGGCGGCAAAGGTCATCTCGCCCAGCCCCCACTCCTCAGAAAGCGGCTTCCTCAGCATGGAAATCACTGTCATCTCCATTCCATCCGCCATGACCAGGAGAGCGAGGATGAAGAACAATCGGAACTGATACCACCCCACCCCTGCATGATCTATATGCTCGTCCACGGTCGGAGCATCCTTTATGCCCGTCATCTGCATCAAATGCACGTTCAGTCCCCGAACCAAACGTCTGGCCCTCCTCCCTCTCAAAGCTTTCTTGGTTCCTCGACTGTCTATCTGGATTTTCACTTCTGATCCTTACTCTTGTGCCGCATACTTCAGGTCTTTCTACAACCACTCTCCTTTCTCCCACTCTCGACGGATCAGTCCCAAACAACAATACTTCCATTCCATCTGAGATCAAACCACATTCAGGTTCTAACCATCGAAATTCTATCCTTGTTCGCTCATATCTGCCTTCGTTCCTTCTCCCTCTCTTCTGAATCCGTCGCTCTCGAGCCACTGCCTACAACATGTTCCCTGTGTATGATGCCTGTTCGCCAACAACCCCACCCCCCACCCATTATTTTACCCGTCGGATCCACCCTCCAATGAATGGACCCACCTCCAGATCGCTTCTACCCACACCAGGTCATCCCTTAGATGGACCACCCCAGCAAATTCCATATCAATCATTTTCACCCCCTGAGTTTTAGATAAAAATACCCCTGTTTATCGACTAGTGATACCACCCACCAGGGATCAAATTCCAAGTCTAATATCCCCCGTACCCCTTTTGGGCCCTCACCCACCCCCACCTCTTCTCCTCCATCTGTCTAACCTTGAACTGCACCTGTTTGGGCTGTCCGTTATTCATCTTATGGTACGTTACTCTGCTGCAGGATGATGGAGTTCTATTCTTGTTGGTGACCCGGCGTACCGTCACTGAGCCGGGCGGGCTTGATTTAGGGCTCGGCCCGAGTCCGGGTCACCGCCGGAGTCCGGGGAGTCCGGTGATCGGACCGGCCGCTCCGGGGCGGCCCCCGCGGGCACCGCCGGTACCGCGTCACCAGGAGAGACTGGACTGTATACTGTACGTGAAGGTATCACGGTTAAGTTTGGGGGACAGCAGTCTGCGGCTGTCTTTTCTCTTCAAGGCTTCTCGCTGTTTGGCCAGTGCGACATTGTCAGGGTCAAGCCTCCTCGACTACTCTCCTGATTGTCCTCGCACTGATCTTTAACTTAACTTTGAGTAAAGAGGGTACTAGCGGTGCCCCAGTGGTGACCGGGCCCTCAGCGGACCGTCGGACCGTCAGAATTGAGGCCCTTACTAAGTCCCCTAGCGGCGGCGGCGGCGAAGCCCGCCTGGCGCGGCCGTGGCCTGCCGCCGCCCGGCCGCCCGGGCCGCCGATCAGGCCCGGGTGACCGTCACTGGCCGGGCAGTACCGTGGCTGGACGGTCCGAACACCCGGTCGGCTTGCCGGGCAGTCCACAAACAACTTTGACTCAGTCAAAGTCTGAACTTTGAAACAAGGGTAGGTAGCACTACCCACCCCTGACGTCCCGGAGTCACCAGCCATGAACCCTCCTTCCTTCTCACTCCCCCCATACCTATGTATGCCTGTAGAAAGATCGCATCTCACTGGTCTCAAACCTGCCCTCCCTCCTTCCCACCCTCTATCAGCTCCCTACCCCGGGTCTTTCCCTACCCCTCTACCCGTACTAGTTCCCTCACCCTACCCCGCAGCACCTCCCAGTTCTTACCAAAATCCCCGATCCCCCACGAATCTGCTTCCCGCGCGAGGCTCAGCTACCTTGCAGCGTCGTCCCTGCAGACCTCCTGTAGGCACTCGTACTTGCGTTTCATCGGAATCGTAGACAAGGCTTCGAGGCGCTGTGGAGTAGACATGGAGGAGGAGCAGCAGGAGCAGCAGGAGCAGCAGGAGCAGGAGCACGAGCACGAGCACGAGCACGAGCACGAGCACGAGCACGAGCACGAGCACGAGCACGAGCACGAGCACGAGCACGAGCACGAGCACGAGCACGAGCACGAGCACGAGCACGAGCACGAGCACGAGCACGAGCACGAGCACGAGCACGAGCACGAGCACGAGCACGAGCACGAGCACGAGCACGAGCACGAGCACGAGCACGAGCACGAGCACGAGCACGAGCACGAGCACGAGCACAAGCACGAGCACGAGCACGAGCACGAGCACAAGCACGAGCACGAGCAGGAGCACGAGCACGAGCACAAGCACGAGCACGAGCAGGAGCAGGAGCAGGTGCAGGTGCAGGTGCAGCAGCAGGCGCAGGAGCTACCAGGCGGCGAGTCCTTCTGCGTGATCTGCCTGGGGACAGAACGCGACATGAGGTATGAGGTGAGCTTGACCTGCCGTCACACGCTCCATGCCTCTTGCTTCAAGAGGCTGCTGGAGCACGTCCTCGATGACGAGCAAGAGTCCCTTGTGCCCCCTAAGTGCCCTCATCCCGGATGCAAGACAATAGTCGGCTATGACACCCAAGCTCTGCTCCTCATCTACGCAGACGATGAGCAAGCGCAGCGCCTGCTCAAGGTTTACGACAGCAAGAAGAGCAAGTACGACGCTTGGAAGATGGGTTACCTGCCTTGCTCCACCCCTTGCTGTGAGGCCGTCTCGAGGCTGGTGTGTGTTGGCACGGCAGCGAGCCAGGCCACGGTCAAGTGCGACAGCTGCATGGCGACCTACTGCGCTGCTTGCTCGATGGCGTCTTGAAGCGTTATTCCCTCCCACATTCTCGTCGACTGCGAGCAGCGAGTGCTGAGTGAGGAGGGGCTCCGAGCTCTCGACGAACTGTACGATGCAGCCGATGATCAGCACAGGAGGATGCGGCTGCGCGACCCGCCCGTAGAGCTCAGACCGTACCCTCGCCAGCAGCCTGCAGCCCGCGACCCTCGCCCGTCCTCACTTGAAGGCAGTCTGACCCATCATGCCCCGGTAGACATGAGGACGATGGGCACCGAGGTGCAAGCGTCCGAGCAGCTAGCCATAGGCGCTCAGGCCCAGCTGGATCTCCGCCTACAAGCACGACGACTTCGGAGGGGTCTGCACTGGGGAGGTCGACGTCTCGACGGCCAAGAAGGCCATCACGGCCAAGACGACGACGACGAGCTCGATGATTACCTGCGCTGGAGGATGCGGAGACTCGAGGATCTAGGCGGCCACCCGGACGACGAGCTCCAACAGGTCATACAATGCATGCAACACCAGCTCAGCACCGTCACGAGGAGGGAAGAGATGGAGATCTCCGCTATCTCCCGCCAGCTCCACACTGGTCCTGTCGACAAGGTCGCCGTCGAGCTGCTGGAGGCACGGCTGCGCATCATCCAGCAGAAGCTTCAGCTGCTCGAGAGCACGCGACAAACGCTCCAAGGCACGATCCGCGACCCGGCAGTAGACGCCCCGCAGCACATGATGCTCAGCCGGAGGCGACCCCCACGCTGAGCCTTGGAGACATTCACAAGATGTGCGACAGAGCTTTGCATCCCTCCTTGAAGTCGAGGATAAGCAGGATCGCCAGCGGCGAGGAGCGCGAGGAGGCCGGAGCAGACCCTACAAGCGACCAGGAGCAGATCGCAAGGACCACCAAGCCCTGCCTCAACTGCGGGTATCGCATCCTCAAGACGGGAGGATGCGACCACATGACGTGCGGGAAGTGCCGGCACGAGTTCTGCTGGAGGTGCCTCAGACCATCCAGCCACCACTCCTACAGCAGCTGTCGGGGGGAGCCAGACCTGCTGTCGTTCTCTCAGGAGCTGCAGCCTGCCATCAAGGACGTCATCGACAAGTACCGCGGGGCCGAGTCGCCTATGGAGAGCAGCCTAGTCGAGTACACGCACAGGCACTTGGCACCCGGCAAGCCTATAGACGAGAATAAGAAGAGGGCGGACTCGCAGCGGCTGTCCGAGATGCTGGAACACAGGCTTTCTATGCCCAGACGCCTCGTCTACCGCGAGGTCAGACGCACAGCGGAGATGAGAAGACTGCAGGACATGCAGCTGGAGGTTGAGCAAGAGAGGATCGCCTGCTCGTTTGTGCTCCGTCAAGTCCGTGACAGCGGTCGCAGCCCCATCAGCAAGGATGCAGCCCTCCGAGTCTGCTTGGACCCCTACAGGCAGTACCTCAAGTACCGGGCCGCCAAGCGCAGCCTCTTGGACGCGCAGGAGGAGCTGAGGAGGACAGTTACCCGCCAAGCCCCGCTTGACTTCGTCGAGGGTCAGCGCCACGTGGTCGACTGCCAGTGCCACGTCATCGACGTGGATCTTGCTCGCCTGGAGTTGCAGAAGCAAGCTTGCGCCCTCATGGGCATCGACGTGCCTCCCTGGCTCCTGTCATGCTCCGAGCGGCTATCAGATGCCAAGGAGCAGCAGCCCCAAGACATCAGTGAGGCTATCTGCACCAGGACCTTTCTGGACGCTCATCGAGACTTCATGCTATCGAGGATGAGCCAAAGAGTACAGCCGACAGGCACAGAGTGACCGCGCGGTAGGAGCAGGAGCAGGAGCAGGAGCAGGAGCAGGAGCAGGAGCAGGAGCAGGAGCAGGAGCAGGAGCAGGAGCAGGAGCAGGAGCAGGAGCAGGAGGAGAGTCAAGACTTTCGATTATACTGTCGCTGACGTCCATTGCTGTCCCGTACCGCTCAGCAATACTAGTTCAAGCTGGCCCCCTCCGCCGGCCCCGCCAGGCTAACTTGCCGCAGTGCCTTGCCGCAGTCACTGAGCCACTAGTGGTGCCGCCGATCGGACCACGGTCCTATTGTATTTTATTTGCGTGCAGCGCCGGTTCACACAGCAAGTATTCCGTACAATGGCGCAGTCCTGTAAGGTGAAGTGATCCCTTTTTGGCGCTATGACAGGGGATGGGAATGTGTATGGTCAATAGGAGAAGAGAGAATGGTGATAATTAAAGAATGCCCATTCATTCCAGATTGAGAAAAATGTTCTTGAGTGTGTTCAACACAACTGCACTGTTGTTGTCACGACGTGAAGATTCATCTTTGTCCTCGCGATGCACACGTGTGCTAGATCACCATGTAGAACATAGATATCCGTCTCATTGTTGTTCTTGCTACTGGGGCTTGTTACAGGATGTGCCGATTTCTTTGCCAGCCACCTTATTGACTTATTTCCCATCGGGCAGGCAAAGTAGTAACTGACAGTCGTCATGGAGGTATTTGAACCCTCTTTTAATGAGAGTCCGAGTCACATCAAACTTGCAGCTTTCTATCAGCTTTTGGGCCAGATGTCTGATCTGTATCTTGCTCATGCCAACCGAGATTGCAAGCTTCGCTGTCACCAAAAGCGTGTTGCACCCCATGAGGAGTAGAGAGTGTTTGTTCAAAGGGACGTTTGCTTCGAGAAAGATTACGAGCGGAATCAAGGTAGGGGTTGAAGGGCTTGTCTATGTCATGCAGATTTCAATGAAGTATTGAATGTTCTTGCAGTCGTTAAGGTGCCAGGACGAACTGGAATATATTCCAATTGAAGTGTTTGGAGACGTAATTTTTGTTGCGATTTGCTGCTGCTCTTCAAGTGCAAATGTTTTCGATCATGATATCTCCTACAGAGAAGCGACTCTCTCGTGAAGACAGTCGCTTCGTGGTGGAAACATCATGAGATGCACAGGAGCAAGGTGGTTTTGATTGCAAACAATGGCCAAGTAGCTCAATATCTTGGCAGGTCAGGTCCCAAGATGTTACTGTCCTGTATGAGAAGAGACTCGGCGATGGAACCTACGGAGAGGTTGGATAATACTCAGATGTGGCATTTGCCATCATCTCAAATATGCCGTATTCGTAGGTGTTTCTTGCCAGAGTTCACTCTGAATCTCAAGGCGAGATCCTCGGGGTAAACATGTTATTACTGTTTAGCGACTGTGTTGTGCTATCAACATGTTTGTGCTCCAGATTGAAAGTGGCTGATTCTGAGATGTATAGGTCGCCAAGAAGGCAAAAGATGGGCTCAAGGACACTGATGAACCTGAGGGGTAGACATGCTGACACTGAACAAGCCGATCCGATGATTGTGCCCAGGACTGAAAAGGTTCGCGCGCTAGACGACGTGGAGCAGCAAGACCTTGCCAAAGGTTTGTTTTCTACTCTTGGACTTCGTTGCCTCTCTCCCTCGCTTGCCCGATGTTTGAGTATGGACGTCAACTTGTGCATGCTGTCAAGAAATTTGAAGTCTCAAGTGCGAAGACCTGACGTGGAATCATAGAATACTTGCAAGTGGAAGCATACGTCAATGACCTCGTCAAGGAAAATTGTCCCGAGGTCAACCTATTTCCAAAAGGAAATGTGTGAATTGAATCGAAGTTGCAGGTCGCCGCGCCATACCTCGGAAAGATGTACAAGGGCGGAAAGGTTTTGAAATTGCGTCTAGACCCTGAAAGGATGATGATCTTTGACCAGAACTGGCTCATATGGAAATATCTTCAAGGAGAAACATTGGAGGACATTCTCATTCGATGCGATGAAATTTACAGGTGAAGTGATGATTGCTGTCACAGAGAATTTGGAGGACAAGAAAGGTGATTGTACTCATTCTCTTCCAGCCTTCGTCCCCTAGCAAGCGCGCTTGGTATTGAAGATTTTGAGGACAGAAGCATACTATCGCTGAGGTTCGCCTGCTTCTTGAACTCTCCTACATGTCGGCCCCTGACGTTCCTCGCACTTTCAGACAATTGGTCAACGCTGTTGCTGCGCAACTCCTCCAATGCTGCTATGTGAGGAAGAGAGAGATCTCAATATGATAGACCCGTGTATCACATTGAAACTGGAACAGAAACTCGAGAAGGCTGGTGTTGCCCACAGAGACATCAAACCCTTCAACATCATGGTCACCAACTCCAGGTAACCCCTTTGCCCGCGGAAGAAGCAGGTGTCGAGTATCGCCAGATGACAATGATGCAGGTTGATACTCATCGATTTCGGATCTGCTGCAGCGATGGGAGTGAGGTATGTGGCAGCGCCAGTGGGGTCTAACGTGGATACTTGAATGATCCTCGTCCAACCCAGGGAGCGAGTCGGCTACGACTACAACAAGTCGCCGTGTGATCCACGATATGCTCCCCCGGAGCAATTCATCGACGAACAGGTGTGGCTGAGAACACTCGCAGGCCTGTCTGACCCTGCGCGTCCCAGGAATGGGCCAAGTATGACGTGTATTGTGTCGGGCTGATACTAGTGAGGATTCTTTTCCCTCCCCTCTGGGACGGCCAGGTGAGAACGAATCGCACTCAATCGCTCCTTTGACGCTCCCTGCTCTCGTTCGAACTGGCAGCACTTTGATGAATTCTCTGATTCGTACCATGCGGCAAAGGTTGACCCGTTGGTTGTACATGTGCATGGCTGACAGTCACGCAGTACGACCTCGACGCCTGGCTCACTAGAATCATCTTGGCAGACAGTATGAATCCTGCCGCAAGGATGAAGTCACCAAGGGTTTGTCGTGACTTGGCTGTGCAGGCGCCCTGGGAAAGGGCTATGAGAAGCCGAGGTGGAAGTTTCCGATCCTGAGGTCGAGGGAGGAGGAGAGAGACGAGGTTGGCTTGCCTGCTGCCTCCAGCCCCCCTCACGTGGTCTACAGGAATATGTTGCGCTTGCAGAGATGAGCTGCAACTTTCCCGACGATGGATCTCTGCTGAACATGTGCAGCATCAAGGTAACAACCCATGCTTGACGGGCCGTGGCCTCACCCTTGTACAGGAAGGTCTGGAGGTTCTTAACGTGAAGGACGGGGGAGTCTGCTGGGAAACCTTGTGAGCAAGTCTTCGCTCCCTCTTCTCCCTACTCGCTCAACCTTGTACAGGCGACAAATCCTTGCCAAGAAGCCTGCCAAGAGGATGTCATCAGGAGTCGCGTGAGTTTCTGACTCCGTCATGCCACTGCCATGCTGAAACTGCAAACTTGGTCAGGTTGGATCGTGTGCTCAAGGCTGGGCAGAGGGGCGGGCAAGGAGTGAAGGGTGTCATCGACAAAATCATCCGCAACGGTGAGTGATGATGTGGACAAGTAGCCGCCCCTCACGTTGCTGGAACAGCGCAAAAGGAAGGATGATAGTGATCCCCTCCCCTTGAAAAATCTTCACGTCTGATTCCCCACGGATACGTCGACACCTGCAGCTTGCAAGCTTTGCACCCTCGAGGACTGCCAAACCTCAGAACTCCTTAACTTGGACGAGAGACAATTAATAGGACGTGTATTTGTTTGTGTGTACGAAAGCAAAAAAATCATCGAGTCTGCTCACTGTTGACGGTAGTCGCAATACGTGTGCGATCTCCCTCCATCGCAATGGTTGTCAAAATAGCCGCCCGAATGCTGCGAGAAGAGCATGTGAGAAGTGAACTAGCAACAGTCTTCAGGAGTACCTGGCCGTCCCAGTCACCGAAGCCATAGCAGATGTAACCGCATGGCTGGTTGGTGGACGTGTACGACTGCAAGTACACAAAGATGAGGTTCTGTTCGCGAGGAGGGGATGAGGCTAAATACAATCAGCTGACCTGAGGCTGCAATCCGTTTGATCCGGAGTATCCGATGTCGCCACTGCCAGCTCCGGCAAGCAGCTTTGTGCATCTTAGTCAGTATCCCTCTTCTTTATGATTCTCAGCTTTCACGAGCACATGGCATGAAACCATTTCTTCTATCTCTCATCTCTCATCTCATTCCCCCAATCGTCTCGCTCACCGCAAACATGTCGGGCAAAGAACCTACTACCCCTACCCATGTCATATCCACGTACCCACCTACCTGAAAGTCTAGAAAATGATAGGAATGACCCCTCCTTCACCAGTAGGACCCTATGATCGTCATACCCCGGCACATAGGGCACTCTTTGGGTCCGCCTCGGAGAGCTATTTCGGGTTGGTGAGCCATGGCTGCGCCGCCGCTAGAGGAATTCCATGCCGTGAGGCCGCAGGCTGCGGGGAGAAGACAGCGAGCAAGGTGAGAGAAGAGACAAGAGACAACGGCGGTTGCTTCTTCCCTGCTTCGCTGCCATCGTTTCTTCCTGCTCTCTGCATCTAGCCCTCTTCCCCATGTTCAGTGTTCTTCTGGTTTTGCGTCGCCAGCCACGTGTCGTACCTTCAAACTGATCCTTTCCTCTCACACGAGGAAGCATCGCGTTTGGCAGTATACCATATAGCTACTTAACACTTTCACTTGACTGAATCGTATGTGTTTCCATCTTGTATGACGCGTGATGGCCTGCGGATCAATTTGTACCGCAGTACCAACGGATATCCATCTGCTTCAATTGAACCTTGTTTCCCAACTGTCTTCCTCTGCACGTGTTGAACTTGTTTGATTGTGTGTTTCACTGTTGCCGCATTCTATTTAGAGCACAACTAGTTGGTGGATGCTGACGTTGTGGAACAGGGTCGTCTTCCTTGCGGGATCATTTGTGTTGGGACTCATTGCCGTCATGGCGCTCGTTGCTCCTGGCAAGAGTCACCCCGAGTCTCGTTCCGTCTCCAAGTTGTTTTCGATGCCTTCCATCTCTCTTGGCATCAGGTGCCTCTCACGCCGCCCTCATCACCTTCTCCTGACGGTCTGCGTGTCACAGGGAGCACGAGGGAGTCCCTGCTCCGATCGCCCCTGCCGATCGTGATCCCACCAGCAAGATCGCCAAGGGAACGAACCCCACTAGCCCCATGCAGCTTGACACGCAGGCTACCGCGTAAGAGGAGGCGCCGAGGAGCCGCTCGTGCTTACGTCTTGACGCAGGCGGTATAACTATCAGATGGGCAACGACCTGACATGGCCGCCACACGACACCGACTACATTCCCACCGGCGCATACTCTGCTGGGTACAAGGGACCGTATGACAACGACTACAACTGGCCGGACGACACCCAGGTAACATCCCGAGGTATTGCTCGTGCTGGTGATTGACTTTACCTTGCAGGTTCTCCGCAATGATGAGTGGGTGCAAGCTGGTGGCGTCGGCTGTGGAATGACAGGAAACAATTGCTGATGTTGTCATCAAGTTATTTTAAGCTCGGAAAGGGTTTCTTTTTTCCAACCTCGTGTCTCTTTGCTTCGCCGAGGGTTGTTGTTGGAGCTCTCTTAAAGTCGCTAGAAAACTCTCGTGTGGAGAATGCGGTGCGGTCGCTGTTTATTGATTGAAAAAGCCTTGTGTAGTATCTACGCCTCTCTCCCTCCCTGCTTCCCTCTTGTTCTCTCCTCCCGCCTCCCTACCCATTCTGCGGTTTGACCCCATGACCCACCATCGCACTCGTTTATGTCCTCTAGATTCACAGCCTGAAGTAAATGCTGCTGCTGCTGCTGTACACCAGCACCATCATGGCATGTGCGAGGAGTCTCTCAAGAAAGACAAGAATGTTACGAGATAATGACGGTTGTTGCTTTATGCCTTCATCTCGCAAGGAGCAGCACTTTTACGTTATCAGGATACGTTCGTGCTTTACTTTTACGTACAAAGATATCTTGTATAGGTACATGAATCAAACATCTGCAACTTTGCTAGCGCGTCTGACTGTGTAAACTCTTCATTTTTTATGAGTAGCAGGCTGAGAAGGAGCCAGTAAATCTTCGAGCTTCTTCTTGAACTCCGCATTTGACTTGGTCAAGCTCTGAACTTCATCCGCATGTTTCTTCTCGTCCAACTTTTCACGGCACATGGTCAGACACAACGCGCAGAACTTGCAAGCAATCCTCACCGTCCGTCTCTCGAGCTCTTTCCTCTCTGTAGCTTCGCACAGTTCCTTCAACTCTTGAACTTGCCTCTCGAGATCCGAGTTCTCAGTGACAAGTCTGTTTACATTCTCTTCCATCTCCATCTTTCTTTGCTCAGAGAGCAGTGCCTTGCGCATTCCAAATGCAATACTGGACAAAGGAGAAGGGAAAGGGTCAGGAGGAAGGGGATCGGTTCTCCTGTGGTTGTCTCTTACCAGCTCTCGTAAAGTGTCTGATACGCTGCTATCCTCATCCTGATCTCGTCGCGCACCCGGAGCAGCAGCAACCCTCGCTCCGCACAGTTGATCGTGACCTCCATCAGCATGTCAGCACCACTCAAGGGCGGCCAAGAGGAGCCACCTGTCTGATCACTTCGTCGAATGTCTGACGGAAGAGCTCTTCTCGGACCGGGCAGATGCCCGTCTCCCTCGCCTGCCTCGTCTGAAGCTTCGAGTCCAGCTCCTCCTGCATCATACTCATCACCAGCTGCCATCGCGTCTGCAAGCTCGGGGGACCTGTAGATTGATGACATCCAGCCTTGTCGCCGGCGTGCTGGACACAAACTGCACCCACAACTGTCCGTCCTCCGTCCATTCCCTGCAGGAGGCGCAACCGGCGTTATTCATGGATGAGCGCAACGTGAGGTGGAAGGTACCTGGGAGGAAGGATGGAGTTGAGGACGTCTGCTGTCTGACTTGCAACCGTTGGAGCCTTCAACTTGCCCTTGGACGATGCCACGAGCACGGGGATATCATAGCGAACCAGCGAGACGATGGGAGGAAGCATTTCTATCGAGCCCCTTACACCACCTGAAGCTTTAAGTCACATTCCCAGGATTCGTTCAATGTCTCAGGTCGTTCTCAATGGGCGAGCGTGTAAGTTTCCATCTTGTATGATGGCATGTTGGAAGTTGACCGTGGCAACCCAGCTACTCAGTTGCATCAACCTTTGAAACGCGTTCCCTTCCTCACAATGACACCCGTCATAGAATAATTCACTGCCTCCCTTACTTCCTCTCATCTAACCTGGGACTACCACTGCCGCAAGTTGCCATAACCAGGAGCGCACTGGTGGCCCAGAAACTCCGTCTGAGCAGGCCCACTGCAATGATCTCTTTCGAAGGTGGCGCCGGCGCGGCGCGCTCCTCCTCCATGTCCTCTTCCCCACCTCGTTCCTCCATGTCTCCTCCTCCTCGTTCCTCCATGTCTCCTCCTCCTCCTCTCGTGTGCGACTGTCTTGACAGCCCGCCCAGTGGCTGCACCGCCGCCACCCAGTCATCACCATGAGGCTACCAGCACAACGGCCGTACACCGTTACGTTTTCAGTTTCAACTATAACCGTTCAAGTTTTTAGTCAATTGCGTTTTTCCAAGATTTGTCCAGAAATAGTCCATATTAGCGCTCCATGCCGGTGCCTGTGCTGGCGGTAGGCTGCCTGCTCATGGTGAAGGGAGGGATGGTGAGCATCAGCATCCTTGCATGAGCATACCTCAGCTTGTGTCGCGCTTGCTGTCCAAGAGCTGTGTCGATGTTGTGGATTGGCTCCTTACTTTTCTGACTCCTGATTCTGCTTGCGCTCACTCCCACCCCTGTTGTTTCATAGTCGTCCCCCCCTTCGCCCTCCCCATTTGTTTGTTCTTGGTAGCCCCGAATGGATTGGGCAGTGATCTGTACTTCCTTCACATCCTTGAAGCCACCTGCAAGATCTGTTGACATTCATCTCATGTCATGTTTGTTATAGGTGATGGGTCATTACTCCGCAAAGAACTACGATCCGAACCCTAAGTCAGCCTGGGAGCGCGAGAATTCACTTCCGGGAACAGATGGTGTCCCAGTGAGTCAAAAGAAGAAAAAGACAGGAGAGGTCAAGTACAGCGCTGATGGGACTGCATACAAGACATAATTCGGCATGATGTGATACTGGCTTTCCCATCCATCCTCAATGTTTGGGGAGCAACTCGACCTCTGCATTCTTTGGCTAGGACTCCTTTCTGTTCAATGTTTCAAGCGAACATCTTGCGTCACGAGCATGACGATTTTTGCCACGGAATGACAAGATGATGTCCCGTGTATGGTGTCGCGAGGAATGTCTACAGGATAGGAGGTGGGTTGCTCTCTTATGCCATGTTATGCGAAACTTGTAATACAACACTTGCACGATTTTTGTATTCCCAACAACATGCATATCTTCTTGCAACACATCACAGTGTCACAGCTACATCACTACAAGTACGAACATGGGAGGGAAAATAACAAGACATAGGTGTAGCTATCAATCTTGACGGAGTAATTGTGATGCTGCTGGCACACACAGTGAACGACCTCCATCAAGACCAACGCACTGAAAGAGAATTAGAATTCAGTGACCGCAGCAACTATCTCAAGGTACCTGTCCGGTCATCCAGCTTGCGCCATCGCTGGCTATGAAAGTGATCATTGCCTGTTGGTGGGAGCAAACCATTACTCCCTATCAGACCACACAGGTATCTGTTGGAAGGTCTACCGCACAATCCTCCGGCTGCCCCACCCGTCCGAGGGGATGGAGCTTCGCGTTCTCCTTGACATAACTGTCGCACATCTCCTGGAGTTTCAAGTCATCTGAGTATACGGAATTGAAAATCATCGCGTACGTCTGACATCCCCGAGCGCTTGAAGATCTCCGTCATCACCGTCGCTGGGTTGATGCTGTTCACCCGGATGCCCCGATCGGCGAGTTCCAAGGCGGCGCATTTCGTCAAGGACTGTCGAAGTAGCGATCAGCTCTCTTCCTCGTCAAGTCAGGACAAAACAAGGACAGGGCCCACCTCTAGCGCTGCCTTGCTGACGCTGTAGCTCGTGAGGTTGGGGATGGTTCTTCAAGGAGTCAGAGAGACGATTCAGGACTGGTCAATGAACCTCGTTCCAGCCAAGCTCCCGACGTTGACGATCACAGATCCTCTTTGCATTCTTTTCGCTGCAGACTGGATGAGGAAGAAAGGCGCGCGCAAGTTGGTATTCATGGTTTGCTCGAACTCATCCACCGTCGTCGTTAGAACATTTTTCCCACGAGCGATCAAAATCCCCGCGTTGTTCACAAGAATGTCGAGCCCCCCCATCTTGTCGAAAGCCTCACTGACGGAAGTGTCGCAGGCTTCGACTCGAGAGAGATCAGCAACAGTAGTGAATACTCGACCAGTATGCTTGTGCTGCTCGAAAATCTGCTCCAGCACTTCCTTGTTTCGTCCAAGAAAGGTGACCTGAACCTTGAATCAGCCACCACAGTACCGTCATGTGAGTCAAACTTCACCTTCGCCCCGAGCTCCAGGAATCTGAGACCCGTGGCTTTTCCGATTCCGCTGGTGGCTCCAGTGACAAGGACATTCTTACCGGAAAAAGTGTTGGGCATCAGAACGTTGGTCGACATCGAAACTACGAGGTACGAACTTCACCGACGAACAACTGCAGAGGGAAGAAGGAGGAAGAGGAGAGGAGGGGAAGAGGGAGAGGAGTAAGAGGACGGAAGATCTTCAACCTGGAGCAATCGATGCATGGCAAGCTGATGCCCCCAGCAGCATCGACACCGCAAGCACAATGTACGACATATCCCCCTCCTTATATCCTCCTTGCAAACCAAACTAAACATTACCGTCCAATCGGTTTGAATCGGTTTCAATCGGGTTAGCTCTAGCAAGCCTTGAAGCTAAATCACATAAGGGGCCGGCTTAATGCTGCGAGGTGAGCGGAGGAGGAGGAGGAGGAAGGGCGAGGAGGAGGAGGAGGAGGAAGGGCGAAGAGGAGGAGATGAAGACGACGAATCCGATCATTCTGATGAGAATCATAGTTAGCATGGTATGAGAGTCAGAAGGAGCTGAAGGAGTGGAGGAGAGGAGGAAGGGCGAAGAGGAGGAGATGAAGACGACGAATCCGATCATTCTGATGAGAATCATAGTTAGCATGGTATGAGAGTCAGAAGGAGCTGAAGGAGTGGAGGAGAGGAATGAGCTTGGAGGGAGCAGACGATGAAGAGAAACTGAGTAGAAGCATTGACGACAATCCTTCGTGTTTGATCTGCTGCGATTGATACTACGACAGGAACGCTGAGGAGCCTTGCCTGGTCACTCCTGTCAGCATCCGTCTTTGTTGGTAGCTCCTCCCCTTACAACCCCTCGAGGTTCATCTCCTTGCTGCAGATCTTGCTCTTGCCTTCCAAGTTCATCCCATGAGGTTGTTGCGACCGAGTTTCGTCGTCAAGAATGCTGCCGTGTCCTTCCGCGCCCGATCAAGGCGCCTCGGATCCAGGTTGTTCCGATGTAGTAGTGCCATATCGTGACGTCGAGAAGGATGTTGGCGTCGGTCGCTCCATCCGACGTGGAGAAACCGATCCTGGAGGAGGAGCTCATCACGAGCTTCGACGGGAAGTCAAAGTTCATCAAGGTCATGATGGAACGCGGGTTTCTGCACTCGTGGTAAGGGGATGAGGATGGAGGGAGGGCGAGGGTTGAGGTTGTTTTGACAGCACCAACATCGAAGCTCTTGATGAGAAGATGACAAGCGAGACTGTCAAGGCCTACCTCGGCTTCGACGCGACGGCCAAGTCCCTCCATGTCGGCAGTCTACTGCAGATCATGATACTCCGGCACTTGCAGCAGTGCGGGCACAAGCCCATCGTCCTGCTAGGTGGAGGAACCACCAAGGTGACAGGGGAGCAAGTCGGGCGAGCAGCTCCTGACTCATCCTGGTAGGTAGGAGATCCGACAGGTAAGGATCAGAGCAGGAAGATGCTCTCAGACCAAGACATCCAGGACAACGTCAACGGCATCAAGACCGTCTTTGAGAAGGTTCCGGCAGCCTCTTCTGCTGACTTCTGACCGCTCGCCTGCTCCTTCAGTTCTTGAAGTTTGGCGATGGACCCACGGATGCACTGCTGGTCAACAACGACGAGTGGCTGTCCAGCATCCGCTACCTCGACTTCCTCCGGGAGTACGGTCCGCTGTTCACCATCAACCGCATGCTCAACTTCGAGAGCGTGAAGCTGAGGCTCGAGAGAGAGTCTCCCCTCACCTTCCTCGAGTTCAACTACATGATCCTCCAAGCCTATGACTTCCTCGAGCTCAACCGCCGCTACGGCTGCTCGTTGCAGGTTCCTCCTCCCCATCACCTCGTGATCCCCACCTCACTCTCCTCTCCTCTCCTCTCCTCTCCTCTCCTCTCCTCTCCTCTCCTCTCCTCTCCTCTCCTCTCCTCTCCTCTCCTCTCCTCTCCTCTCCTCTCTGCTCTGTTCTGCTCTCAACAATGTTGTCACCCCGATTCATCTCGCCTCTCTAATCTCTCTTCATGCTAACTTGACCGAGACAGCTCGGAGGGTCAGACCAGTGGGGGAACATGGTGAACGGAGTGGAGCTGACAAGGCGAGCGAACAGCAAGCAGGTGTTCGCCATGACGGCCCCGCTGATCACCACCTCCGACGGGAAGAAGATGGGGAAGAGCGAGGGAGGAGCCGTGTGGCTCAACGCCGACATGCTGCCTCCCTACGACTACTGGCAGTTCTGGAGGAACACCCAGGACGCGGACGTTGTGAGGTTCTTGAAGCTCTTCACTGAGCTCCCGATGGAGAAGATTGAGGAGCTTTCTAAGCTTGAAGGGGCAGCAATCAATGATGCCAAGAAGGTAAGGCTGCTCCTACCGCTGCCGCTGCCGCTCTTGCCTGCTTCTCACTCGCCCTCCACTTCTCGAGATTTTTCCTTCGACTTGCAGCCCTCCTTCTCTCTGACTCGGTTCGTCCGTCTTTCTTGACCCTCCTGCAGATCCTTGCAGACGAATGCACGCGCATGCTGCACGGGGAGGAGGTTCTTCCTTCGATCCACGAGACTGCCTCTGCTCTCTTCGCCGGTCAGCGCCTCCTCCCCTCGCTGCTGCTCCCCTTCCCTCTGCTCCTGCTCCTCCCTCTGCTGTTGCTTCTCATCTGCTGGGCAGGAAAGAGCGGAAACCTCGACGACCTCCCCAAGGTGTCGATCTCAAAGGAGGATGTCGATAAGGTGAAGAAGTGGAGGGGAGGGGCGGTTGGGAGGGACGATGGTGAGGAAGGATGGGAGGAAAGGAAGAGGCGGGAGGTCGTGGAAGGAGAAGAGGAGAGCGGAGGAGGAGCGAGGGGAAGGAGGGCCGGGCCCGGCAGGTCACTAAGTCAGATGTTGCATACAGGGCATTCCCCTCATCGACCTCTTCCTTCAGCTTGGCTTCGCCTCCTCCAAGAACGAAATCAGGAAGCTCATCCAAGGTGACGCGTTTACTTTCACCCCCTCCTCCTTGCATGCTCCTCCCACAACCTTGCTCTCCGCTCATCGCCTCCACTTCCTTCGTCTCGCTCCCTTCGTCGCCTCCTCCCTACCCCTCTCTTGCCCCCTCCCTCTTCCTCGTCTCAGTCGTCGAGCAGGAGGAGGCGTTCGCCTCAACGACGAGAAAGTGCAGGACGTCAACATGATGCTCACCGCAGACGCGCTCAACAACAATCAGGTCAAGTTTCTTTCCTGCTCGCGTTCTCTCTTCCACTCCTCCCCCTCTTCCTTCCCCTTCCTGCTTCTCTGACTTTGCCGGCCCTCAGGCCAAGCTCTCGGTAGGAAAGAAGAAGCACGGGCTCGTCGTCCTCGAGTGATCAGACAGTCGGGCGCTGCGGGTAGTTGGGGTTGGGCTGCTTGGAGGGCAGTCCCCCTACAAGAGAATAAGAGGCGGGAGGGAGGGAGGGGAGGGTCAAGAGAGAGGAGGAATGGAGGGGAAACTCACTTGGATCAGAGAAGTTGATAACCTCCCAGTTGTAAGGGTTGTCCCAGTAGTCCGGAGGGATGTACTGCAAAATAACATCACAACAGACGTCTCCTGCCCTCTTCACATCCTTTCCTCTTCATCCCTCCCTCCCTGCCCCCTCCTTCCTCTTTCCTCTTCTTCCCCCTCCCTCCCTCCCTCCCTCCCTCCCTCCCTCCCTCCCAGTCGTCTCTGTGCTTAGTCTCCTCCTCCCTCACCTGCTGGTCCAGTGGCTCCCACGTGCTCGACTGAAATTTGATTGAGGCGCAGAGGAGGACGAGCAAGAGTTTCACCTTAGGTTGAGGAGGACAAGCATCGTACGCTGACAGACTTGGGAAAATGCAGATGATGTCTCCTGCACGAATATAGTGAGGAGGTGCTGAGCAAGATGAACAGCGATGAGAAGGAGGAAGAGGAAGTTGGAGAGGGAGCAGGGGTTCAAGATATGAGGTAGCTCGACAGGGAAGAGCAGGGAAGAGATGAAAGGTGGAAGGTGAGAGGAGCAAGGGGACGAGAGAGTGTATGGGAGAAGAGAGCGGAGCAGGAGGAAGGGATACCAGGAGAGATAGAGGTGGCGGCAAGTTGAGGGTTTGCGCTGATCACTTGCGACATGTTCATACTGAACTTATGGCTGAGAGACTCGACCGTATCCTCGCCGCTTGCTGTGTAGAGAATTCCGATCTGCTCAAGGTTAGACAAGCAAGAAGGCTCCTCCCTTCACTCCTCCTCCCCCCCCCTCCCTCCGCCGCTTCCTCCCCTGCCACCACCACAAACACCACCACAAACACCACCGCAAACACCACAATTACCACGTCCTCTTCCTCCTACTCTTCTCGCTCCTCCTCCGCCTCCCTCTTGTCCTCACCTTCAGTGCTTGTCCAGTAGGAACGACGTCAAAGTTTCGCAACGTCGGGTTGATGCTCCAGAGTAGCTGCAGGTCGTCTCAGTCTTTATCGCCACCTCCGTCCCTTCCCCTCCTCCGCCTTCCACTGCCTCCTTCTCCTCCAGTTCTCCTTCCTCCTTCCCTCCCCTCCTTCTCCTTCCTTTTTCGTCTTACCTGCCACTCTATTGACAATGCAGTCGCGATGCTGTTCAGCGAGTCGTCCGTCACAGTGCAAGTGAAGCAAAGCTGCACGAGGAATCGGAAACATCTTTCAAGAAACATGTCAGCCAGAAGCCAGTTGGCAATGGTACCCTCCCTCCTCCTCCTCCTCCTCCTCCTCCTCCTCCTCCTCCTCCTCCTCCTCGTCATCGTGGTCATCACCACTGCCACTACCATAGTCCTCGTCCTCGTGGTCTGCATCGTCCCACCATGGGACGGGAGCGTGCAAGGGAGAGCGAGGAGTCTCACCTCTGGGAGCTGATAGTTGCGCCATGCACCTCCATCATTGCGAAGCATTGAACCAGCTCGAAGCCGCGGTGGGAGCGCGTGGGTGTCCACGTGAAGGTAGAGGAGACGACGGAGATCTGGGAGGAGGTGGAGCAGCCCCTGGAAGGAGGACACTGGTCCCCTTCGCACAGCTTCCTCGCCCCGTAGCTCATGGGCTGGATGTTTCCTCCTGGCACTAGCTTGCCTTGCGGAGGGAGGGAGGAGAGGACAGTGACATCCATCCAGTTGCTGGAGCTCGTCTCGGGAATGAGCCAGAAGGCAGAGGGGACGAAGACGATGGTGAAGTTGCTGCCCTCCGACGCGACGAGCGGGACGTCGACATGGCACAGCTCAGCGGTCTTGAAGAGGGAGGCGTCAGGAGGAGAGGGACTGATGAACTGCGGGCTGGGAGCTGGGAAGGAGCACACGACGAGCTGGGAGGGGAGGGAGTCGGAGTACTCGATGTGAAGGAGCCCGCCGTCTGTGATGACCAGCTGACCCAAAGTCCCACTCCTGAGGTCGGAGATCGGGAGGAGGGAAGAGAATCTGCCTGGCTGCTCCGACTTCGTCAGCTGCAGCAGCTGCTGGAAGTTTGCACTTGTCAAAGTGACGCTGACGGCCTCTCCCTCGGCGTCTCTGTCGAGCAGCAGCACCAGCAGGCAGGTTGCGTTGGTCTGCGGGTTGGTGGTGATGGAGATTGAAAGCAGTCCCAAGTTGTGTGCGGTGGAGTTGGAGGAGAGCAGTCGTGGTGGGTTGTCTTCCTTGTAGGATATGACGACAGTTGACAGCAGCGGCATGCCGATAGCTGAGAGCTGGTTCTGTTGCTCGAGCACGACGGTGCCATTCTCCGCCGTTGTCAAAGTCGTCGTGAAGATGCCGCTAGAGGTGTCGGTCTCCCTGAGTGACAGGACCAGCTCGACGCCTCCGACTCTTGCGCTAGTCAAGTTGGGCCAGACGTCAACCTGCATGTCGTTCACGTCAAGATCAGCGTCGATGACTGTAATAGAGATCGAGCCGTTGAGGGCGAACATGGCCGGAACCTCAAGGCGAGCAGGATAGAAGATGAACTTGGATATCGAGACAGACTGCGAGGCATCCATGGAGATGTACGAGATGTTGAAAAGCTCTCCCCTCCTGTACTGGATCAATCCATCGTTGCTCAACACCACAGACGAAGGGTCGAGCTGCGTGTAGGACGAGAACTGTCCTGGAACAGTCAAGGCCGGAAACATCTTGACATCTTCGATCTGTTTGCCATTGGAAGACGTGATTGTGACGTAGAAATCTTCGTTGGCCTGCAGCGGCGAATTAACAAAGAAGTTCTGCGCAACAACTTCCAGGACAGGCAGGTTGTCTTGCTCGATCAAGTTGGCCCTGAGGAAAAAGACGCTGGCAACTTTCACAGTGGCCTGTACGGTCTTGAATGGGCTGTTGTCGTAGTAACTGATGATGATGTTTTGCCCTGGTTCAACCTCTAGGATATTGTCTCCACTGACAGAGACATCTCCTGTATGGAGTTTCGTCTGCAACCTCCCCTCATACACGCCAAAGTTGCTGATCTTCACCATCATACCATTCGCAAACCCCGCGTTGTTGGTCTCAACTACCAACTCCTTGGTGTCGAAGTTGTACGAGGTGATCCTGAACGACTGGGTGTTGACCTGCATCAGCCCGTTGATGTACGACCCGCTCCCTCCCGTCAAGTTAGCAGGTGAAAGAATGACAGTGTTCACTCTCAGGATCTGCAGGACTGTAGCATACACCACTTGCTGGTACAAAGTCACCTAGAGCCAAAGTCGTCAGCGCAAGGGCAGCGATGAGTTTTCAAAATTTCACCTCCTCCGTCTCAGCATCACTGGAAGGATACTTGGTGACCTCCAACACCAGAGCGTTCATGGTCAGCCTCGTCTCAGGGTTGTACATGAAGATCTCCAGGGATGCGTTGGGGAAGATCGATCGCTCTGACGTAGAGATCTGAGCGAGTGCTGAAACCTCCAACGTCTGTGAAGCGTCAGGGGCAAAAGGGATGCATGAAGTGACTAGCCTGCGTCGGCTGCGTTGAAGTGGCGAAGGGCATGTTCTTGTCTACATACTGGAGATTCAGCTTTCCTCCGTAGGCGACAAGGACTGAGTTGAGCTGAGATCTGCAGCTGACGCATGTTTGAAGGATCCCAGTGAAATGATTGCTGTCTGCGCTGTTCTCCGTGAGTTTCAGCGTCTTGACCTCAACATCGATCGAGGTGATCAAGACGTCTACTGTCTCCACCACGTTCGGATTCGTGTTTGCGTCATCATCGACGACTGGAGCAAGCAGAGACAATTCAGCATCTGGTGATGTATCACATGCTTGCACTCACCCAAGAAGGAGATGTTGTTTCCGGGGAAGATTTCAGATGTCGGCCTGATCGACATGATTCCAGCTTTTGCAACCTGTCATCACCAGACATCAGTTGTCATCGACCGGCAGCAGAACAACCTTTATGCTCCCCGTTCGATCCCCGACAGGCATCGCGTCGGAGTAGGTGACCTTAAATTGATGACGTCATCATAGCAGCACACAAGAAGTCTTCTAGTCTCACCGTAAGTTGGTCTCCCGGCCTCACCGTCATGATCCCGTTGTCCGTAACTCCCTGTACGTTGGGGTCACACTTTCCACAGGACGACAGACTGCAGATCCCATCCCCCATGCCTGCAGAGCCAAGTCAGGGAGAGAGGTCGAGTGCGAGCACTGTGGGAGAGCAGAGAGACTCGTTACGGTAACTGAGAGGAGGAAGGGCTAAGGGAGAGACTGACATGTGTCGAGAACTCCTGTGTACACGGCGCTATTGGGGCTCGTCGGGTACAAGTTCACGTGTTCAAGCTCCCCGTCTTTGTTTGTTGAGACAACAACAGTGAAGTTCTCGACATGCAAGAAGGCATTGTCCGGGTCTACGACGCTGATGAATAGCTTGTCCTGGGCCTTCAACACATTCCCAACATCTCCGTTGCTCCTGATCGACGACATGGCAGCCTGCCCGGTCACTCCGATCGTCACGTTGACATGCACATCGTTTGAGGCATCTTGGAGGACTTGCAACCTGCAACGAGGCAGCAGCGTCAGGAGGAGAAGCAAGCATCTTCATTGCCGCAGCATGTCACCGGCTCATGTCAGTGTATGTCATAGTGAGCATGTCTCCTTCACGGACATGGACGACTTGTAGGTTCGCGAGCGGCTCCTGGCACTCAGGGTCCCCGCAGAGCTCGGGAGAGTGAGTGCCGCTGAGGATGATGCGGATGAAGCCGGTGAAGGTGCTCGAGGACGGACCAGTCTCCGTCAGCACAACAGACTCTTGACCTTCACCGACCCAGCTTGACGTCACCATGACAGCTGCGTTCTCCACCAGCAGTGGGTTCGTGTTGAGATCCTCGTCCGTTAGCTGAGGGCGAGCGAGTAAGAAGGGAGGCATGCGGAGGACAGACAACTTACTGTGATGTTGATCCTCCGGTCAAGTCCTCCGACCCTGGGAAAGGCGGCAAGAACTCCACGGGCACTGACAACGCTGATCTGTTGAGGTGTTAGGGTGCTTGAAATGTTTGAGCTGGATCCTTACGATTTCGTGAGATAGTACAGGGAGACTATCAAGATAGGTTGCCGATACGATATCTCCCACTTTCAAGTTCCATACGGAATACGTTGCGTTGCCAGTGAAAGTGATTCCAGTCTGGTTGAGATCATTCTTGAGATAGAAACAAGCACGATGATATCTGTCTGTTGCCGAGGCGTTGAACATCACCAAATCAACTTGGTGCGCTTGTTGGACATTAAGGGTTGACCAAGACAAAGAGACCTGTCGTCATTCTCTTTCACAACAAACAAACAAACAAGCAAACATGTAGAAGTGTACCTGTACAGTCTGTTGATTGTTTACAATGAGATCATTGTCGTAGACGTTGAGGCAAAACCAACCATCCTGCATGATAATTCTTGGCTGAAACGAGATCGACCCAATGCTCCCCCCAGCTCCTACAGTCTTCTGGCTCACGTGCAACAACGATTCTCCTCTGAAGTTCGAGAGCTCACGGTAGGAGAACGACAATGTTTCCCCCTCGTTCACAAACATCACCCCGTCATTGTTCGCGCTGTATCCGGTGTTCTGTCTTGTTGCGATCACTCCAGTGAAAACCCCCTGCCCATTGGAGCCTGTCAGGTTGGTAGAGACTTGGACCATTTCTCTCAGGACAATCTCCTCCGCCCCTTCAAGTGTTCTGCTGCTCTGCACAACGACGCTGACTGTGTCTGCATGCTCAAAGTCCGTGTCTGCGTCAGAGTCTACCACTGTGACTGTGACTGTTGCCCCGGCTCCGACATGCTCGGGGAGCACGTGCGGGCAGTCTGAGGACTGCGGGCAGGCATCGGATGCGAATCTAGTTTCGTTCCTAGGAAGAGAGGAGGAGGAGAGACGGACGTCCTCTACCGTGAGAATTATCCTGCGAGGTGACTCAGAAAAGGAAGAGAGAAGAGAAGAGAGAAAAAGCAACAAACAAGCAGGCTGAGGGAGACGACGAGACAAACAGAACTAGAGACAAAGAAAAAGAACATGAAAGAGTGACTTGCCTGGAATTCAACTGGACGAACAGGAAGGAATCTAGAGTCTGGTTAGAGCAGTTGATCGCACCATAGAAGACGCTGTTGGCCTCGTCTGAACGACATTTCATGTCAGCTTCTCATCATTCACATTCGCTTTTGCCTGTCTGATTCAAGTAAACTTGCAACCGACTCTCCACGTAGTGCAAATCTGAACCAACGTTTGACAGAGCTTCTGCCGTAACCTATGGAGGAGTATGCAAATTACAACACGACTATGATGGAGATGGAGATGGAGGTGGAGATGGAGGTGGAGATGGAGATGGAGATGGAGATGGAGATGGAGATGATGATGATGATGATGATGAAGAGGAGGAGGAGAAGGAGGAGGATGAAAACAAAAGAAGAGATGAATTCGTTGCTAGTGAATATACCAAGACTTGACTGAGCTTCAAACCTGTACCCCCATAGAAGGTAACGGAGATTTCCTGAGATTGGTTTGAGTCTCAACGCAATGGAAACACAGCAGAACCCCACCTTCTTGCTGATGACGTCATTCCATACCAACGGCTTCTTCTCGAATCGGAGGATACCAAGTTGCTGCAGCTTTACACTCCTCGTGACCTGTCACGGAAACATGACTGGAAGCTCGCAAGTCGAGCAAGGAAAGGACCAGGGACGAGGGGTACATGTCGTGGTATTCGATACTGACGTTGAATGGGTCCAGAAAGTCCATCGACTCTCCGTTACTCTCCACGATCCTTCTGAAAAGCCCGCCTGAGTCGACCACGATGGTGAAATTTCCCTGCTGGCCCGTGGGATTCAGCTGGAGTCTTTCTGCATACGAGCGGCAGCGGAGGGTCAGGACGGCAGTAGTCGTTGTTGCATCGAAGTCGAGCAGCACGATTGTGACTTGTTCTCCAGCTAGAATGACGTCTTGATCTTGGCCAGCACCAGTCGACCAGTTCAGCTCAGCGAAGGTTGCGATGGGAACAAGCTTGTCAACAGGGCCGTAGGCGCTGTCGGTGTATTCCACCTTGAGTTGGCAACGGCTGGTACCAGTGCAGGAGTACACCAGGCAGTCCGAGCGGTTGCAAGATGTATCCGATACAACAAGAGAAGAGAGGAAGACGTTCGAGTTCGTGCCGTTCTCAACAAGGTCTAGTACCACAGTATCCCCCGAGAGCAAGGTGGTGACTCGAAGGAGGTTCGGCCAGACTTGAGAGGAGGACACGTTGCTGTTGAGATCAGCGTCAACAACTTCCAGGGTCAGCTGGGCTCCCGGCTGGACAGGAGCGAAACTGGGAGCGACGATCTGACCGATCTGGATGCCATGGAGCGACAGGTTGACAACGTTATGACATTCATCTTGAGATGTCAACAAGAGGCGATCAGATGACTGGGCAGGTCCTAGGACATGGTCGTAGTGAGCGAAGGGTACCCCGGAGCCGAGGACGATACTTCCAGTGAACGTTCCTTCAGCTGCATTACTCACTTTCACGTTCACCAGCTCGCGATCAGTCCCCATGGCGCCTTCAAGTGTCAACTCGACCACCCGAGGGGTGAAGACCTGACTTGCCTTTGCTGTCTTGTCTATGATCTGGATGTTCAACAGCCCCGAGGGAGAGAACTTTTCGTTGACTATCGTCCTCCCCTCCACCTCGTTGCTGGCATTGAGCTGTATCCCCGCACAGATGAAGGTCCGGGTGACTCGAGAGACGTTGGAAGGAGGAGAGCTGGTGAGGAGGTCGACGTACGTGCTGGTGATCACCTCGGTCTGGTTGGAAGCGAAAAGCAAGTGACTTGCTGACGAGGCATTGGGAGCATCTGACAACTGTATCGAGCCCGTGAAGATTCCTTGAAGAGAAGATGAAGATGCAGTTTCCCGTAGGGTCAACACCTTGGAGTCCATCACAGTCTGCTGCTGATCGTACGACCTGACAACCACATCGATGGTGTCCACGTTGACTGTTGTGTCCACATCACAATCTTGCACTGAGATGTCCAGGAAGGAGTTGAGGTTGAGGCTACTTGGTTGGGTGACGATGGCGTTGCAGTAGAGGTACACGAAGTAGCTGACACGACCCGACGGGATCACATCGTCGTAGGAGACTTCTATCCGATCCCGGGGCAGGAGCTTGCAGGTAGGATCAGTGAGAATCTTTTGAACGTCAACAAGAGCGTTGAAGGTTCCCGACACGCTATCCACTTCCAAGAGTTGGACTGTAGAGTTGCAGAACGGCTGATAGAAGCCGTAGTGATAGTAGCTGAGCAGCAGCGAGAGAGTCCTCACTGACGGAACTTTATCAGCGTCGACATCCTGGAGGATTATGTTGAAGTTGTTCACCCTCCCGATGAACGGGTCAGTTCTGAGAGTTCCTCTCTCCGCAATGTACGTCGCTAGACTCTCCACCGTGTCACTTGCAGTGCAGCGCAAACTGCAAGCACCTGCTCAGCCAGTCATGTCAGCAACAGACAGACAGCAACCAAGATCGTCGATGCCTACCTAGAGCATCGCAAATCTCTGAACACAAATTCACCGCGTTGAGAGAGCTCGTGTAGGAAGCGACGACCTTCCTCACGTGCGAATGCCCCACGTTCAGACTCCCAGCTGAGCTGGAGCAGTCAGCGCAAAGTGAGATCGAGCCTGTGTATGTCGTCGAGCAAGAAGAGGTTGACGTCAGTTCCAGAACAGCCTCTGAGAACAAACTCGCGCTCGAGTTGTGCATGACTTTGACTGAAACATTCAACTTCGGCTGGCTCGTCTCTTTCATGTCTAAGAGCGTGATGGTCAAGGTGTCGTTCTCTCTCGCCAAAAAGGTTGAGATAGAGATCTTGCTGTCGAACGTGTAAGGGATACTCTTGGTGATAGTTCCCTGCGTCCCGTCAACCGTCCTCATGTCCTGCAACTCCCAGATCAATTCCACCCTTGCTGCTGTCAAACACAAAGTTGCACCTGATACTTGACATCCAACGTAGCTGCCTCGGCACAAGACAACGGAAATCTAACCTGAAGTACCTGCACGAATCTCTCAATACTTTGCCTTCACCTTCACGGACCAAAAGTCTACCTGATCCTGCTTGGCCTGAGTCCCTTGGGTCGTGTTAAGAACACCTGTGAAGACTCCACTGTCCAAATCATTCTCCAGCAGCGTCACTGACTCTGGTGAGCTAGTCTCGACATTAGAGGAGACGAGGACGGTAACTGTCTCAGCTCTGTCGGCGTCCAGGTTCGCATCCCAATCTGCAACCATGAGGTAGAGAGGGTTACCAATCTTGACCGTGGAGACAGAGTCAACCAAAGAGATCACTCCTGTCGTGGCCTTTCTGGCCAGCCTTGTTATGGTACCCATCGATGGATCTGTGTACTTGACTGCGATGGACACCTTGCTCTGATCCACCAAGTTGACGATGTAGTCGGCCAAGGTGAAGGTCTGCGAGAACTCGATTTGCTGGGTCACAGTCGAAAGCGTTATCTTGGTGTCCGCAAAGTACGGCGACGAGACTTGCACAGCTGGGAAGGTGCTGGAGCCGCTGTAGTCCGCATCAATCAGGGTGATTCCGAAAGAGGTCTCGAAGATCACGATGGGGTCGATTTTTCCCTGGACAAGTAAAGCGCCAGCTGTTTTGACACTGACGGAAAGATTGTGCGGGGTGTAACACCTGCTATCACATTCATCGCCAACACCAGGAAGAAAAGGAGGAGGGAGAGGAGGAGGAGGGAGAGGAGGAGGAGATGAGAAGGATGAAGAGGAGGAGCGCAAGGAGGGGAGATGCGCAAGGAGGAGAAGGAAGAAGGAAAGGAGGAGGAGAGAAGAGTAGGGCACCTTCCCACGCATATGGACTCGTTGAGAGTGCATTGGGTCTGCTGGTTGATGTCAATCAGATTTTCTTGGCACAACTTTAGATTCGGAAGCGACGGGCAATTGTCGTTGTAGAAGATCTGCCATGGTGGAAAAAGAAGAAAGAAGCAGTCGATTCAGCAACACATCAGGAGAAGGAGACAACTTTTCACATTCAGCGTATCTCCCTCAAGCACGTTGACAACGCCGTCGTCAGCAAGCCCCAGCGTCGAGGACCGAAACGTGTTCAGGACTCCGGTGAAATTTCCTGCAGTTGATTTGCTCAGCTTGGTTGGAGGCAGGGCCAAGACGAAATACCTGTAGACACGCCGACTTCAACCAAGTTCAAGTGCTCCACTCCCTCCCCGTATCTACTGGACGTCACTAGCACTTGTACCATGTCCTTCTGGAGCTGGAGACGTGGCTTGTCAAACAGGAACGTGAAACTCCTCGTTGTCAATCCTCACCGGGTCTGCGTTCCTGTCCGCGTCGACGACAGTGATGGTGAAGGATGTCCCTGCTGCGACCGACTGATACGCCGATGACAAGTTGCCGATGGTGCATGAAGTTAGGAAGACGCTCATGTTTGCTCTGGGTGCAAAGTCTACAGGAAAAGGCAGCACAGTTACGAGAAGAACCACAGTGTTGACTGTTACCGTAATACTGTACCGTAGCCTTGTAGCTAGGAACAAATGGCTCGATGATACCGTTGAAAGGAATCTGAGATGTCCACCAATCAGTGCTCTATCTTGCCAAAGACAGGATTCGACCGCTAAGGAGCCAGTTCCCGTGATCACAAGGCCGGTGAACACTCCTGTGTTGACCCCTGTCTCGGTAGCATACAGGTACTCCTTGTCTCCCGGCAAGGGATAGTCCGTGGACACCCAGAGGATCTCTGACGTGTTTGAAATCACATCAACCTGGTCGGCGTTGTGGTTCATGTCCGCGTCCAGGACTGTGATGACGGCCGTCTGGCCCCTGACTATCCTGTTGGGCAGCATGAGCGACAACGCAGAGCACAAGGAAACCTTACGCGCTCGATGACAGGACCAGTCTGGCCCTCGTGTAGAGGGTGACCGTTTGCACGATCGTGTCGGATGGGATGTCATCTTTGTAGGTGACCTGACGGGTAAAGGAGTTAGGAGCTCAACGTTGAGGTCATGAGGTGTCGAGAAGAGCTCAACGTTCAGTGTCAAGAAGCCAAGAGAACAGAAGGATCACACAACACTCTGACTCGAGGAAGACGAGGAGATCAAAACTCACAGTCACTGTATCTCCTGCCTGGCAACCAGACAGCGCATTTGGCGTGTTTGTGTCAGAGAGAAGGAGAGACCCTGTGAAGATTCCAGCCGACAACCCGATCTCCTTCAAGGTCACTGTGATAGCGTCTGAAACAGGCACCTTGTCCACGAAGATCAGCACAGTGTCTGCAAGGTTGGGGTTGCGATCAAGGTCAGAATCTTGAAGGGTGATGGAGAGGTAGTCATTCAGAGCAGGAAGGGCTGGTGCCAGGCTCAGCTTTCCTCTGGTTGCAACGCGAATCTTCTTCATCCTCGTCTTTCTTGGCCGCTGGTCTTGATACTCCACTGTGAGAATATCTCCTTCCAGCACGTTCAAGACGCCGTCGTAGCTCCTCCCTCTGCTCGCATCCAGCACGGTGTTGATGTATCCCACGAATGTCCCAGCTGTTGTGCAACTAGTGCACTTCTGCAGTGTTGCCGACTCCTGCTCCGAGTCCTTGCTCGTGCTCAAGGAGACTGCGAGCGTGTTGGCCGTGACATCCTTGTCCATCAGGGAGATCGACAGGGTGGATCCAGCGAGCAATATCGGGTAGGTAGGATCCAGACTTCCGGCATCGCTTGCGGTGGACTGAGTCTCCTGCACCAAGCGAGCTGTCAAGGGATATGGAGAGGAGGAGCGACGGGTGTTGGAGGACGAGGAAGGGAAATTTGGAGGAGGAAGGGAAGTTACCTTGGCAGCGCTGGGATAGCTGGCTACAAGGACATCGGAGTAAGAGGTCAGGGTAACGATGTTGTTGTACTTGACCACGTCAGCCAGCCCTGCGATCCTTGTGGAGATGGTACCGGTGAAGAGCGAAGAGTCGTGGCTGGTTTCCAGAAGGCTGACATTCTCGACGTCAACTTGATTCAGCACCCTGATATTGACAAGGACGACGTCGGAGATGCAGCTGTCTGTGTTGGCGGACGCATCAAAGACTGTTATCGAGACGTTCTCTCCCGCAGAAAAGAACTGTACATCTCTATCGGCCCCGAACGCACTCACATTGGGCTGGTCGATCATTCTGACGTAGGCCTCTGCCAGGCCTCCCCCAGCATGATTGACCGGTCCCTTGTAGGAGAAGCGATAGAGGGAGGGGGTAGAGAAGCTGGTGGTATCTAAGACCGACGTGAACTGAGAAGAGTTGTAGTTGGTCTCAGTTAGGCGCAGCTCTTGTACCGCTCCTCCTGTACATGTTGTTGAATCTGCAGAAGAGCAGAAGTAATATGAGCTGCCATCCGCCATGATCGATTGGTTGCAGTGCGGAAACTGAGAGGGAGAACAAAGGTACATGTCACGGTAGGCATACAGTCGGCCCCCAAGATTGCTCTGAACGGTGAATGGGTTGTCATTCAGATCCGCATCAACAACTGTGATCGTTATGGCATTCTGAACCCTAGAGACTTGAGGAGCGAGGTCCTGGCAGGGGAAACGCGTCATAGCCTGACAACAGAAAGAGGGATACCGTTACCTTGAAGTAGCCCGTCTGTTCCGTCAAGGTCAAACTGTCTCTGACGGCGTTGGGCCCGAATGATGTCTTGTATGATGCTGACACAATGTCGCCCACTTGCAGACTTCCAAGGAACTGAGTGACATGGGGGCAGAACGGGCTGACTTTGTCGTATGGATAGAGCGATGGAGCAATCGCCCTTATAGACCCTGCGAAGTGACCTGAACTTGCGCTGGTCTGGTTCAGGTAGACTTGAAGGCTCTGCAAAGGAGGTCTCAGAAGCTCGAAAGGATGTGGCAGTGTCATCACCTGGTGCGCAGACGAGACGTTTACTCTTATACGAGTCGCCGCTGGATCTTGAACGAGAATGTCCGCGTCGACAACTGCAAGACGTTTGACCCACAACATCTTGACTGATCAGACGAGCAAGTTTACCTGTGATAGCGACCGTTCCTCCGATAGTCACCAGCTCCTTATTGACGACAAGACTTGCTGCTTGAGAGATGCTGACTCTCTGCTGTACTGTCCTCACCATCGTCTGATCGATGTACGTCACGATGATCTGCCCATGTTCCGGCACGTCGAACAACGTGCCAGTCTGTGTGAACACTTGTGGCCAGTGCCACATCTCCATCGTCCCCGTGAAGACTCCTCCGGTGTTTGCGTTCTCCTTCAGGGTCAGGTACGTGTGGGTGTCAGATTCGATGCAGATGGAGCTGGTGTAGTTGTGGAGGAGACGACAGGAAGACAGCCGGACAGCCGTGGAGGATGTTGACGTCCAGGTTGACACGAAGTCCGGAGACTGTGAAGTGTCGAGATCGGGGTCTGTCAGGGTGATAGTGAGAGGGTCGTTGATAGAAACCAGTAGGGAAGGGCTGATGCTGAGGACCCCGCGGAACTGCAAAGCGTTGGGAGGCTGGGCAGTGACGGTCATGAAGGGAGAGGCGTCTTGATACTGCGCTATGAGGGAATAGCCCTTGCTGACTTCGATCACACCGTTCCCACGAGAGTAACTTGCATCCAACGACGCCACCGAGTTGATGGCGGCCCTGAACTGCTGCGATGCAGGATCGTACTGCAGGGTGACTTGCTCCTGATCCTTGATCGTCGTCCCTTGCAGACTCTGAAGGGTTACCGACACTGAAGTAAGCTTTGAAAGCACTAGGTCCGTATCCTTGACGATCAAGGTAAAAGGGTTCCCAACCACGTAGGAGTCCGAGCTGAAGGAGATGGTTCCATTCGTGGGGATGTTGAAGGAGGCGCTGGTGGCCTGCTGGGGAGAAGCGTCAAAGTAGACCGCTTGGATGAGGCTACCCTGCGCCACGAACAAGGTCCCATCGTTGGAAGTCGCGCAGCAGTCGGCTACGCTGCAGGGTAAGCAATTGCGACAGTTACAATCGGGGACGTCCAACACCTTGAGGCGGATGGTGCCTGTAAAGGTCTGCTGGTTGACTGAGATCTCAGTCAAAGTGACCGACTCCATCTCCGAGCTGCCGGACTTGTATGCGAAGACCCGGCCCGTGACTGTCTCTGCTACCTGCGGCTGTGCGTTGAGGTCTTGGTCATAGACGGTGATGGTGCAGTAGCCGGAGAGGAAGGAGGCGCAGTTGAGGTTGATCAGCCCGACGTGGCTGACATTGACGCTGGAGCTCAAGTTCCTTGATGGGAGGGGGCGCGAGTCGAGATAGCTGATTGTGAGCCTCGACCCCTCGGGCGCATAGAAAGACCCGGCGACCTGCGTCTTGCTCGTCTTGATGGTGGCCGTGAAAACGTTTGAGTTCAGCGACGTCTCCTTGATCTGTACCAAGGAGGAGGGCAAGAAGGAGCCATCAAGGGTGACGAAGGCGACCTCGATCGCAAGAGGATCCTTGTTAAGATCAGCATCCGTGACCAGCACCGACAGGTCGGCGCTGGGGGGGAGGATGGACGGCGCCACAGTGAGGGTAGCAGCACTGGATACCCTAAATCTGAGTGAGCTGACGACATTAGGGGGCGCGGTATCCTCGTAGACAGCTGTCAAGTACGCTCCGGGCTCTGCCGCAGCGACAAAGGACTTATCGGCTACGATGGGCACGAGGCTCCTGGTTTGGACGGAGCCGGTGAAAGTGCCTGTGTTGCCTCCGGTCTCCGTCAGAGTGAACTGATCTCCCGTGGACAGCCACTCAATCACTCGCGCGCCGCTGGAGTTCTGGGATGGGCCGATGACGTTGACGATGACGTAGTCTGTGCCAGGAGAGATGTCCTTGTCGGAGTCTACCAGCGTCAGAGCCAGAGCTGCGTTCTCGTTGATCTGCAGGTCGCTGGTGTAAAGGAAGCCAGAGCTGTTTACGTACGTTCCAACTTTCCGCACGACGCTGGGGAGCGGGAAGGCGTCGAAGTAGTCGATCTCGACCCTTGAGCCCTGCGGGGCCCAGAGTCGGTTGTCAGCATGCGAGTCGACTGTCTGTGTGAGCAGGAGGCCGGTGAAGGCTCCGATGTTATCGCTGATCTCCTTCAGTTGGAGGGAGACTCGGTCGGAGGCGTTGTTCAGCAACATGACTGAGTTCCAGTCCTTATCGCACCTTTCGCTGCCGTCGTGCGCCGTGAACTGCAAGTAGCAGAAAGATGAGACGTTCACGTAGGCGAAGTCTGGAGCAGTGGCGTTGACGTTGAGGTCCTTGTCGACCACGGTGATGGACACGGTCGAGTTGGGAAGGATGTTTGTCGGGCTGAAGAAAAGCGTGCCCTTCACCGCAACTCGCGCGTCTGCCCTGACCGTCGCCGGAGGGTACTGATCCTGGTAGGTTGCAGTCACCGTGGAGTCTTGGGTGAGACCGACCAGTTGCATGCTGCCTGTGAAGATGCTGCTGTTGACTCCTGTCTCTGTCAAGGTGACGGGGGTGGAGCCAAGTGAAGACTGGAGGACGGCTGAGCCGAAGTCAATCCCTGTCATGTTGATGTTCAGGTCAAAGTCCGACAGGATCAGCGTTGCGGTTTCATTGGTGCTGAGGATAGACGGGAGGAGTGAGAGCGTTCCGAGCGTTGCTACCTTGATGTCTACCACCAGGTCCCGAGCAGGCGCGTCCTCGTTGTAGACCATCTTGATGAGATCCCCGGACTTGATGTCCAGCACGCCGTTGTTGTCTTCAGAGTTAAGATCGCCGTACTTGGTAAGGAGGAGCCCAGTGAAAGTTCCTTGCGAGCTGTTCAGTGAGGTCTCGAGGAGCACAACGTGCTCCTTCTCTCCCGTGTGCGCGTTCATGACCGTCACCGTGACGTTCTCCTGCAGGAACGGCGAGCTGTTCATGTCTGCATCGGTAACAGTGATCCATAAGGAATCCGCGAGATTCATCCTCAGGGAGCAGTTGGACGTCAGTGCCCCCGGGGTTGACTGGGTGACTTTGACAACCTGCTCGACGACACGGTAGGGAGTCGGATCCGTGTACGTCACTTGTACCACGTCCCCTAGCTTGATCGAAGGGATGAGGCTGGTGGAGAGGATTGAGTCCGAGGTGCTGGTGTAGACTACACCAGTGAAGGTGGGAGAACTGGTGCTGGTCTCCGCGAGAGAGACAGATCTCGATTGGTTGCTTCTGACGTTGCGGAGGGTGACGTTAATGGTGTCAACCGCTTGCATGTTGGAGTCGCGGTCCCTGTCAGTGACAGTGATTCCCAGCAGGCCATCCGTCTTCAACGGGCTCAGTGACAGCAATCCTTGCGTCACTACAGAGACAGGGAGTTGGACTGTCTGCAGAGGCTTCAGGTCGGCATAAGTCAGAGTGAGAACATCTCCATAGTCGGCGGGGATGAAGGCCTTGAGGGTACCGATGCTGAGTGACCGGTTCTGCCTCATCATGTTGTACTCGCTCGTGCTGATTGCGGTGATTACACCGACAAATTGATAGCTGCTGGCATCGTTCTTGACAAGGTCAACCTCTCCGAGAATGCCATTCTGCACGAAACTTGCATCGAAGGCGGGGCCTGAGATTGAGGCTTTGGTGCTCAAGGCCATATTGTCTTTGTCCACGAGGTAGATGAGGGTTTCCTTCCCAAGCTCGATGTACGTCGGTGACGTGTACAGTGTTCCTAACGATGACTGAACCACTTGAACTTGTACCGTCCTCACACCATATGGAGCTAGATCCTGAGACCGTGGTATCAGCGGTGATAGCAAGTCAAGCAAACAAACAACATAATCACCGTATAAGAGAGTGTAAACGAGTTGATTCCGGTCACGTCGATCACAGGGAACTCGCTCGCTACAGATTGTGAGGTTGCGATGTAAACATTGCCAGTGAAGACATCGCTACTTGCCGAAGTCTCTGTAAGTGTAACGGGATAGTCGCGCTGCTGTAAGGTCATCTTGACGGTTGCTCGATCGACAACGAGGGCATCCAAGTTGAGATCAGCGTCTACCACAGCGATATACATGCTCGTGTTCAGACCCACGGGGTTGGGGAATGACGAGATTTGCCCCACGACAGACTGGAGAACGTCCACCTCCTGCTGATGCTCGATCCTCGGAGCGAGGTCTTGATACCTGAACAGCAGCCTCGAGCCTGCTGACATCAAAGTCGACGAGCAGGCAAACTGCCCAGTAAAGAATCCTGGAGACGTCGAGTCCAGCTGGAGGGTGAGGAGGAAGCTTACAGTGCTGCCAGCGAGTATGCTCACATCGACAGGCGCATGGACGTCTTGCTTCAAGTCAAAGTCTTGCAACGAGACCTGCACGATCCCATCCAGCCCGACAGTCCTGGAAGAAACATCGAGAGTTGCGTTCGATGATGGTACCACGTATACGCTTTCAATAGCCTCCTGATGAGGAGCAGAATCGACGTACTGGCAGCTGATTGAGCTTCCGACTGAAGTACACTCATAGAAGCCCTGAGTGTTCAGAGTGGAGGTGAAGACTCCGGAGTTGACAGATGTCTCAAGCAGCGTCACGATCAGCACCCTGTTCTCACTGCAAGTACACTCACACAGAGTTGTGTCAATTGCAAGAGGGTTCGAGTTGACATCCGCGTCAGCTACCGTGATCTCCAGAGAACTTCCAGCTTGAAGTATTTTTGGTTGCAACAGCAACGATCCAACGATGAAGACTGTAGCTTCTGAGAAGATGTACTGACAGGGACACGGATCTTCATAAGTGACTCTCACGATGTCTCCGAGCTCTGCCTCAAAGGACGGTTCTATCGAGGAGTTTCCAGTCGAGATGATGTTGAGAGTCCCATGAAACGAGAAGTTGTCTTGCCTTGCGAGCAACAACTCCTTCAAAGCGCCGGTCCTGAGGTTTCTGACTTTGACAAGCAGGAGCTGTGCATCTAGAGCGTCCGTATCGTTGAGTTGGATGTACAAGGGCTGACCGATTCCTACTGCTGAAGGAAACACCTGGAGGTTCCCTGTCTGACAGGACCGGAGGCTGCTGGAGATCAGCTCATAAGGAGCATGATCGCGGTACGTGAAAGTCACAGCCTGCAGATCCTCCAGCGGCGGGACTATCACAGACGCTGCCGTCTGGTTTTCGCAAGGCGAGACTTTCATCGAGTCAATGGTCCTCCGGCCAACTGACAACTCCAGCAGGAAGCGCCCAGGGTCTGCTAGACAGTCAGGAACAGGTTCAGGAACAGGTCAGCTGACCTGATACACTGCGGAGAGCCCGATACTGGTATGTAGCTGAAGCGGTCTGCATCAAGATAACGACATTTTCAAATTGTTCAAACGCGTCCATGTCGACAACTGTCACGGTAAAGTTCGGCCCGTAGCCGATGAAGCTGGAGGACAAGAGCAGGTTGCCTCGTTGCGACGGCAGGACTTTGACAAGCTGCTGGACTGCCATGAACGGAGCGAGATCGTCGTAGACAAGGACCAGAGTGTCTGTGTCATTCACCATCAGCATCTGCGAGAGGTTCTGATTCGGATCTGGGGTGAAACCTTCAACCATGCTGTACAATTCACCGTGGAACTGGCCGGAGTTCACATCATCTTCAAGGAGGTACAAGATGGTGGACTTGTTTGCATTCAGGCTGGAAACCTTGACAGAGAGAATGTCCCTGTATCTATAATAAGCACAACATGCGCAACAGAGCAGGCGGTGACCTCTGAGTCGCGTCAAGATTCTGGTCATAGTCGATCAACTGGACTGAGAGGATCGACCCCGCGTACATCTGAGCCGAACAAGAGATCTGCCCCAAGAAGGCATTCATGACCTGAACAGACACGTCAGAGGAGGAGGATGAGGAGGAAGAGAAGAATCATGAGAAGGAGGAGGCAGGAGGAGCAGCAGACAGGAGGAGCAGGAGCAGGAGCAGGAGCAGGAGTAGGAGCGGGAGGAGAGGGCCTGACATTAGCACTATTGCGAGTGACGGCAGGGGGGAACCGATCCAAGTAAGTCCAAGTCAGCAAGTCCCCAGCTGAGACGCCCCCAGAGAAGAAGGTGTTTGCGGGAAATGCCAAAGTCCCGGCGGAGTAGGAGGAGTCGCCAAGGAACAGGAAGCAGGAGAATTCTCCGGCGCGGGTCAGGTCCCTCAGCAAGTTCAGGCCGAGAGATCTCTCGGCGACTGTTGTCTTGATGGTCAAATTGACGGCGATAGAGCCCTCGACAACATCAAGGTCACGCACTCCAACCCTGAGCAGGGAGCAAGTGTAAAGTCAGAGAGACAAGGCAAGGAGGAGCAATGAGGAGCCGAGATCAAGGAGGGATGTTATGAAACTACCTCAGTACTCCTTCCGTTCTCAACCGCCTCTGGTCGATGGAAAACTTGCCAATGTCCGCAACCTTTACGGACAGGCTCGTCGAAGGGACGGTGATCATGGTTACCAACAGTGTGTCTCCTTGCACGGCAGCGATCGACTCGTACGCGTATGCTGTGCTGACGTCACCGCCGACCTTCTCGAGCACGAAAAATGAACCTGTCAAACCCTCAACCTACAGCTCCCAGCAGACTCCCAGCAGACTTACCCGTGTAGACAGTTTGGTTCGATGCGTTCTTGACAAGCTTGATCGTGACAGCAGAAGGGTCGTCATTGACAAACACGTTCGCTCTCAGCTGGGCTTGCGACGAGTAAACGGAGTTGATGTCAACGATTAGCGAAAGGAAGATTCTGTTGCCAAGCAGTGCTGTGGAGTTGTCGCTCACCAGCCGCGGCATCGCCCTCAGCATCGTTGTTTGGGCCCTTTGCTGGATTCCAGCTGGGGTGACATCGTCATATAGGAAGGTCAGAGAAGACGAGGAGATGTTCAACGACGAGTTCGACTCTACCAGACAGCACAAGTCAGACTACAGTCCGGGATCGTTATAGACGTTACCGATGATCCAGTCGCTGCATGTTGAGCCAAGACAGTCTGAATCTTGCTTGCACAATACTACCATGTCCACGTTGGAGCAGGAGCGAAGACCCGCATTCCCCTCATTCCCACCCTGAGCGCTGATTTTTGAAGTGAAAATTCCGGTCTGGTTGCCGGTCTCTTGGAGGACCAGGAAGTATCTCCCTCCCGCGCTGCTGTTGCTGATGTTTGCTACTTCCACCTTAACGGTGTCAACAGCAGGAGACAGGTCGCTGTCGGAGTCAAAGACGGAGACTTCGAGAGGCTGGAGCCAGTCTGCCACAGGAGGAGCAACGAGGACGCCGGGGACGGACTCGCGAGCATACAAGAAGTCTTTTATCACCGTCCCACTTTCGTCGAGGTAGACCAGCTCGACTGATGAGCCTGGAAGGACATCGAGAAAACCTGACTGGCTGGCACCCATGGCAGTCGACTCGAAACTTTGGAGGAAGCCGGAGAAAATGCCCGTGGACGGGCCCGTTTCGATCAAAGTCACGTTCTCCACGTCGCGGGTTGACGGGTTGGTGACCATGGCACTTGCATTCTCTGTCACGGAACTTTTCCTGCCATGACGTCATCTCCTCTCAGGTCACGCGGAAGACGAGTACAACTCCTTACCGGTCGAGATTTCTGGCAGCAAGGACGACATGAATCCTTGCTCCGACCTTGAGGATGTGGTTGTACAGGAGAAACTTTCCGTTAATCTTTGCCCGGAAGAGGAACTGGCTGCGGATGGAAAAGGTAGGAGAGTTGTCTTGATAGTATGCCTGCAAGGAATATCAGCTAGAAGATTTCCGTTTTGCATGTCATACCGCAATGACATTCCCTGGTGTAACCACAACCAAATTCTCACCACCTGGCACCCTAGAGATGTTGGTGACGCTTTCAGCTGCGATGGTCTGGAAGGTCCCAGTGAAAGTCGAGCTGTCCTGTGAAGACTCTGTGAGGATCACTTGGTACAAACTCTCATCAGGAGCAGCCGACACCACAGCAGAGGCCTGCTCTGTCTGCGAGGGATGCTCGTTGAGATCAGGATCCCAGACCGAGATCGTGAGCGTAGTCCCCACGTCAAAGGCACAGATCTCCTCTGATTGGTAAAGAAAACAATCTGATGACCCTGATAGCGCGACATTCCCCACGTTGGAGGAATAGACGTGAAAGGACTGGAACAGCGAGTCGTAGCCTGTGTTGTGGACCAGCTGGAGGAGGTCGCCAGCCCTGGCTGGGATGACATTTGAGTTCGGAGTGAACTGAGCGGCACAGTCCCGTAGTTCATCTATGATCTTGACTTGGCCTGAGAAGGTCAGGCAGCCACCAGAGCAGTTCCTAGCAAGAGAGACGTCGGAAGTGAAAGTCTGCACGCCTTTGCGGAGGATGGAGATCTGGACGGGGATGGAACCGTTCGAGGCGGCAGCAGGAGCGCTGAAATATTCCACCCCAACGTCCAGGAAGCCCTCCAACCTCAACTTCTCCTTAAACCCTCGGGGACGCGCAGAGAAAACCGGCTGGAGCTCTCTTTGCACAGTCTGGACGAAGGAGACTGACTGATATGGAGCAGAATCTTGATAGTTCAGAGTGAAGTTCCTCCCTGCCTCCACCAGGAGCTCCACTGTGGAACCTTGGGGATAAATGCAGGTTGCCATGCCAGTGTCTCTCAGGAGAAGGGTCCCTGCAAAGTACTGCGGCTCCTGCTGGCTTCTCCTGAGGAGGATGGTGCAGTTTGACAGAGGAGAAGAGACGGAGACGGAGACGGAGTCCTCGAGGACGTCAAGGCCGAAGAGGCGGATAGAGACTTTGTCTCCCAGGCGAGGAGATGGGGGAGAGATGAAGAAGACCGATTGCGCGGAAGCTGCGACAGAGGTTGAGTTGCTGAAGACAACTGGCTGCGGCATCGAAGAGTTGTACTCCACCGTCAAGTTGGATCCAACAGGGAGAGTTTGAGAGCCTCCGATCTGATAGAGGTCGAAGAATGCAGTGAGAGACGGAGGACTCGTATGGTCTGCGGTCAACAGGACTTGTTCGCTCCGATTGAGGTAACTCAACGTGACGAAAGGTTTTGTGACATTTCTGCTGTCTTGCAGCAACCTCAAGTATTGTTGATCGAACACCTGGATCATCATTCGCCCAGCAAACTGCACGTGCTGAAGCACAATTTTCACCCTAGGGAAGTACTGTACTGTGCGGACGATGACGTGATTGAACGGCGACACGTCCATGTAGGTAACACTGATCGTATGCCCCGTGGCAGTCTGCAAGCTGTGACTCAGGACCTGGTCATAGCCAACGGTCGCCGTGAAGACTCCAGTTGACAGTCCAGTCTCAACAAGCTTGACAACGATGCGATCTGAGAACGAGCTGCTGTCCACATGGGCAGAAGCCTCATCAACTTGTTGGTCGTTGAGATTCAGGTCCTGGTCTTCAACCTTGAGCAATGGACGTGAGCTATAGTAAGGTCCACGTCATCAGCCTTACCCTGACGTCAACGTCCTGCTCCTCGTAAGGGTAGACAGGATCGACGACGAGGACGGCAGTGAAACTTTCCACGATCTTCACAACCTCCATGGCAACCCTGGAGAGTGAGCGAGTGAGCGATGGGAGCATGCAATTCAACAGGTTATTGTACGAGGTTGCCGGAGATCTGTCGACGTACTCGATGAAAACTTCATCTCCAGCGCTGACCACCAGCTCAGCATCAGCTTGGCTGTTAGCTGGACAGAAGTAGATTGCTGAAGGGTCTCCCGGGGCCATCAGCGAGTTGATGTTGGAGCAGAAACTACTTAGCTGCCTTGACGTCTCTTCTTTGAGCATGACCGAGCCCACGAAGCTGCGGGGACGACGTCAACGCAAACAGGGGGGGGGGCAGGAGAAGGAAGGGAGACAAATACCTTCCTGTCTTGAGGCCATCGTTGATGAGCACAACCGTCTGGTTGCCGTACCTCATGACTCCCGCCGTGCCCAGCACATACAGGCGCACGTCGACACTCTGGACGCTGACCAGGTCGAGATCCAGCAACTGGATCGAGAGGTTCGTTCCCGACTTGGCGACCTTTGGTGTCAAAATCCTAGAGATTGAACCAGACTGCACGACACTGATCGTGCTGAAACGCAACTTCCCAGCTGCGTCCGAGCTGCTTGGAGCGTCCAGGTATGTGACGTTCAGCACATCCCCAGCTAGGACATGAATCACTCCGTCCTGCTGATCATCGACAACGGGGCTGTCGTGAGTGAGGAGGACTCCCGTAAAGACCGCGGAGCTGGGAGCAGTCTCCGACAACATGACGACCTCCGCTCGCTCCTTCCCAGCCCTAACGACCACAGAGGAGCAAAGGGTGAAGTTGGTACAGTAAGGATTGACAGCCTTGTCTAGCATTGGGATGGAGAGCGAGGATTCTGCACTCTGGACCGTCACGTTGACAGTGTCAATGACCAGGTTGTTCAAGTTCCTGTCGGTGTCGTTGACAATGATGACCAGCGAGGATCCAGCAGGAAGGGACGCGCTTGTCACTCCAGTCGATCCTGTCTGAAAGGTCCCACAGATCGCTGGAACGCTGCAGGAGAAGCTCGGACCGCAAGTACCAGCGTACTGCAAGCTCTCAGCACAGTAGGGGTTGCGGTCAAAGAGGAAGGAAGGTATGATTTGCGGACAAGCCCCAGAGGAGGAGGAGCAGTCGCTGCCGAAGACGAATTCCTTGATGATTTGCCGCCGTGGGATGCCCGTGGGGTTTGTGTAAGTGACCACAAGGCGCGAGCCAGGCTTCGGGACGAGATTCGCCTGCTTGAAACGGTCAAAAATTTCTCCTCCACACTAGAGGCAAGTATTTGGACCTGCGCGAATACGACAGAGGCGCCGTAGAGGGACAGGCTCTTGTTGGCCTCGTATAGGGTTGGAGTGTTGACAGGCCCCGAGTCCAACTTGTACGTGATCTGAAGGTTCGAGAGAACCGCAGGAGATGGGTCTTGGACGATCAAGGTAATGTTCGGAACTGTGTACAGCAAGGTGGAGGGAGCAACGGAGAGCCAACCTGGTCTACATCTCAGCAAAATGAACCACCGGGGGCAAATGGAGAAGAAGGGAGAGCGCGAGGGCAGAGAGCGAGCTAGATGCAAGCTTGCAAAAGGCGACTGACCGGGGTATCCCATGATGCATGAAGAGCTGATGGATGTCAGTGGATTCTTGTCAAAGTAGGTGAACGAGATCGTTTCTCCTTGCAGTACGCGGTATGTACTTCCTTGCACCGCTGCTGCTGCGTCTGCAGTGAGGATCGACGCTGTGAAGACTCCGCTGGTAGCTGCTGTCTCCGTCAGAGTCACGTTCTGATCGAACGCTGGAGAACTGACGTGCACCAGGACCAAGCAGCTGCAGGACGATCAGAACAGTCACAGCTATGAGCACGGGAAAGCTCACCTGTCGATCCCGTCCGAGACATCCAGGTCCTTGTCAGACACAGTGATCATGATGGATCTTCCTATCTCACACTTGCCAGCATCAGAATCCGTCTGTACCACATTCAAGATGCCCGTCCGTTGGGTGTCGATGACTTTCCTTACTGCCGACGCGCCGGCCGTCTGGTCGAAGTATTCAAGAGTGAAGGGGTAGGACTGAACCCCTGTGAGAATGGGAAACTCCAGCATCGCACTGCCGCTGCCCCTCTGCCCCACCGACACTTGAGCTGAGAAACTGGAAGAGTCGAGTCCATCCTCAGTCAAGTTGAGCGTGATCGATCCATCGGAGGAGGTGAGATTCAGCAGGCCTACGTAGGACTCCGACATGACCGGGTCCCGGTTCAAGTCCGCATCTACCACAAAGACCACCAGCGAGCTGATTCCCGCACCAACCTTAGAAGTCGAGGTGGTCATGGACCCTTGGTGTCCGAACTCAAGGCTTGCATTCAAGTACCTCCAGCCCTGAGTTGTCATATCAGGGTAAGAGACCAGGAAGCTGATCGGAGTGCCGCTGGTTGACAGGTTTCTCTGCAGCACCGCTTGATAGGCCGACTCAAGGTCAAGAGCCCCGGTGAAACTTCCCGCATCTAGTCCTGTTTCCAACAGCTTCACGGTAGAAAGGAGAGCAGACTCGAATTGGAGCTGTACAGAGATCTCGTCTTGGAAGAAAGGGTCGAAGTTCGCGTCCAAGTCCATGACAGAGACAGAAATCGAATGATTGTGCAGTACGGTGGATGAAGGTAGAGAGAGAGAGCCGGGGGTGTAGATTCGCAGGAGTTTCTGACAGAGCAACGGAGGGGAGTAGTCTATGTAGGAGAACGAGATGAAGGCGTCGGACCACGAGTAGGGCAGGGAAGAAATGCTCAAAAGCTTTTCGTACGAGCTGCTTGTTGCGATCTCCATCTTCTGACCGAAACTGTTTGTTCCCTGCTGAATCCAGACGGTGGGTCCGAAGTGATCGACTTGAGACCAAAAATCACTTGAAATATCGAGTTCTTCGTAGATATCATTGTCAACCACTGTTATTGAGATTGGAGATGATGGCAGGATATTATGATTCGGAATCATTTCTATCTGGGCTTCTATATCCTTGCTGGCAAATATTGTGATATCCCTGGTCTGACCGTCGTCCTGAACATCCAGGTAGGAGATGGAAAGATTTGCAGAGCTACTGATATCGTTTGAGAGCTTTGTCGTGAACACTCCAGTACTCTCCCCCGTCTCGAACAGTACCAAGCTGATCGTTGCGGCATCATGATGTATCGACGATGAAATGTTTTCAATTGCTGACGGGTCAAGGTTCCTGTCCGAATCTCTTATCTCCAACATTTTGTAGAATGATGCATTTGGAGATGCGAAGAACGGTCCGAAGGGACTTGTGCTTGAGGCTTTCCAAAGTTTGATGGTTGCATTAGAAAGCACAGGGACGTAAACGACCTATGAGGTATGGGTCAGTTTGAAACTTCCTTCGACTGGAGACATACCTGTTCAAGACTCGAAACTTCCGAGGTGTATGAGAAAGCTATCAGATCGTGGACTTCAATGCCAAGTATACTATTTTCGACAAGTCGACTCAATCCCAGACTTGTTGACAAGTTCCCCGCAAATTCACCCTTCATTTCATCTACCAACCCCAGTGTAAAATTGTATCCCGGGCGCCTCTGGGATGAAACAAAAATGGAAGCATTTCGAGAATTTCTGACATTGGTATCGAAGACTCTGACAGAAACTCGCGCACCGCTCAGGAGAGGCAGAGCAGGGGGGTCGAGAACGATCGACGGCCTGCAATAGATCCGAACGCTTGCGTTGAGAGTTCCGACGACGTTCGTGGAAACGGGGCTGTACATGAGAAGTAAGCTGTAAGCTGCAGCAGACTTGAGATCTTGGCAAGGCATGCTCAAAGTGAATTGGTCATTGTGAGTAGAAATCGTGGTATGTAGCGCGTCAGAATGTGTCTGGATTGCTGATAGAAATGTTCCCGGAAGCTGCTGGTAGAGAACAACATTCGTGATGTTGTTGCACGAGTCCAGTATACAGATCTTCAGGGTAGCGTTCACTGTTTGGTATTGTTGGGCATTTCCATCCTGCAGTTTGACTTGCAGCACCGACCCTAGAAGAATCTGATGTGGCACTATGAAATTGGGTAGATCATAAACATGAACTGGAGTTGATAAAGTACACGAAGAGTTAGCTTCAAAGTAGATCTCGAGGGGCTCTCCTGGCAGTACTGCCACAGTGTTGCTAGGCAGAATCTGAAGTTCTGAACGCCTCACCGTCGTTACGGTCGCCGTATAAGAGGATGAATCATTCCTGCGCAACTGGACTATTCTGCTAGAAGCATTTGATAGTTTTTGAGAGATAGTTGCATATACAAATTCTGGCCCTGCTGGCAAACCGCCTAGTGAAACAGCAAACGATTCACCTACCGTAACAGACTGCGGCGTTACTAAAAGTTGCTGGGCGTTCACGACCTCGGCGATTCCCATGAAAAGCAGGAGCGCACGAACGTTCTTGAAGCTGTACATGGCTGCGCTATCTCAAACTGACTTGAAACATCATGATCGAAGTTGGTTTGCCATGTTCTGCAAACATTCTAGAACTTCTATCTTCGCCCCCTCACTCTTTCTCCCAGTCAGCCCAACAATCCTCAAAAGGATGGCGAGCAACCGCCCGCATCATCCCGCACCCCTATCTTTAGTGTAGCCCTTGGCATAACCCCACCCAGGTCAAATTGAAGCAAATTCCGTTCCGATGCGGGGTACGGTACCAAGAATACCCCACCCCACCCCACTTCAACCCCATGAATGGGTTTGTCAAAATTTGACATCTGACAGGCCCGCCTCAATGTGATTCTACTGAGTTCACCCGGCGGCGGGCATCGGGCCATCATTTAGGAGATGTATATAGCGGTTTGGCGAGGCCCGTGCTTCAAGTGGCCATTCAAGTCACTAGTACTAAGTCAACTTGATGCGGGGGGGCCGGCCGGTGACTGAGTACAGTGTCAATTATTTTGTTCCTGGACTCGTACTGAGTACGAGGCCTCACTCTCACTCAAAGTTAAGTTAATCAGTACGAGGAGAGGAGAGGAGGCTTGACCCTGACGCTGTCGGAAAAGACAGCGAGAACCAACCCTCAGCATCCCGCCCTGCCCGTCGGGAAAACTAGTGACTAACTTGAGTAACTTGAGTGATTTCGCCGTCACGGGAACGGGTTCCGGGCCCCGGCCACCCCTCCGAGTACTTCCCAGGCGGTTGGAAATCTGTGGTGCGTCTGAGCACTGGGTGGACTTCCATGGACAACCACTACGAGACGAGGGGGGGGCATGGCGGAGCGATGAAACCCTCCTGTCCTCTTGCGACATGAGCAGTAGGTGCGAGATGAGCTGGCAAGGCGGCAGCTGCGGCAGATAAATCCACACAGGCAGTGACGGAGATGGAGAAGTTTTACGGGCTCAAGGTAAGGACTATTCAGCGGGACAACCTCTTTAAGGCTCCCAACAAAATCATCAACCTGAAGCCTCTGCCCCGTAGCTCTCTCCGAGAAGCTCTTGCTGAGTCATACTTCGACCAGTTCAAGGGCCCCGCTCCGCTCAGCAACAGCTTCCGCGAGAGGACGGAGTTCATAGAAAAGCTCTTGGATCCCGACGACGACGACCTGGAACACGTCTTCAATGAGTGGGACAAGGACAAGAATGGTTCGATCAGCATGGAGGAGATGCAGGGTGCACTACAGAGGCTGAACATCAACTATGCAAGGGGTGAGATAGAGGACTTCTTCAACGCCATGGACGTCAACAACGACGGCTCCATCAGCATGCAGGAGTTCAAGAGGGCGGTGAACACTCCCTGCGCGCTTGAGCGCTGGGTCTTAGCGCTGCCGATCTCTCGCCTGATCGCCAGCGTCCTGCCCAAGGGAGATGCCAACAACCCCCTCAAGGGTCTCCTTGCGATGGACCGAGACGGGTTCAAGCAAGTCTGCGATCAGTTGCATCCAATGCTGCTGCAGCTGTTCTCTACCAGGAAGGATCGCCTGGCGGCAGCGCTGGACAAGATGCAGATGAGTAAAAAGAAGAGCACGGAGGCGGAATCGAAATTCAGCATCTATTCGTTGGAGAGAGGGAAGAGTTGTGGGACTATCGAAGACTTCAAGAAGGGCATCCAGAGCAGAGTCGGTAAGTCAAACCTTGTTTGCTTTTTAACTGCCCTGACCGCGATTGCCTGTTTGAAAGGTTATCCTAATGACAACATCTACGTCGGCATGGAGAGAGAACACTGCCAGATGAAAGATTCACACAAATACTTCAAGACGACTAACTACGACATCGACACCTTCCCGATGCACGAATGGAGGCTCGTCACCGACCCCAAGTACCAGAAGAAGGAGAAGCCAAAGATCACAGCTCGTAGCAAGGATCGGAAGCTGGTGCCCGTGGAGGAACTGATGAAGAGCGACTGTGTCGTGCGCGCGAACCTCTCCCAAGAGGAAGTGATTGCGGTCAACCTCTATTCGGGGCCCATGTTCTACGTCTACAACACAGTCCTCAGGCGATCCCCCCCAGCCTTCTACAAGCAGCTAGAGGGGAACAACTATCCGAGCACCATCCATGCGCTCGTGAGCGCTCTGATCAAGCTGCAGTCAGCTATGGACATACCCGAGGGGCTCACGCTGTACCGAGGACTGGGGCATTCATCGCTACCAGCAGGTTTTTACGGGGAGGATGGGGGGATGAAAGGCTTCACAGAGCTGGGCTTCATGAGCACAACGACAGACAAAGATGTGGCGATCGAGTACTCCAAGATGAAGGAGGGAAATCCGGTAGGCCCTGTGCAGCAGCTAGTCCTACGACTGACCTGTGCACTCAGCTTGCTACAGTCCTGTCGATGCAGTGCGGGGCTGTGGACAGGGCAGCTAACATCCAGGAGATCTCGCAGTATCCTCGTGAGAAGGAGTATCTATGGGTACCCATCGCCCGTTGGTCTGTCGCGATGTGACGTTGCCCGCCAGGTCCCGCTATCGTACATCGAGCCACAGGGCGAACAACACATTTTAGTGTCAACCGACGGGGCAGTGACTGTGATACCTGTGCGGACCAACAGCAACCTGAAGGCGGAGACGGTGGAGGAGATCGAGAAGAGAAGAAAGGACATGTGCATCGCCGCTTTCACCTTCAACAAGCAAGATCTCCACATCAAGTTGTCTCAGATCTCTGCCCAACAAGCCTTCACCAACCGCAAACTTGATCCGCTGGACAAAGGGTCCAAGCTTTCAGTCTTGCAGTCCATCGAGGCCAACTATGAACATCTGGGGAAGAGAATAGAGGACAAGAAGAGCAGGGATTTTCACAGTGATCAAAACTATCGAGCGATCTTCACAGACATCATTGAGATGAAGTCTTGGGCGGTGGAAAAGCTAGAGTATTTCCTTGAAGAAGTGACAGAATTTAGCACTAACGCAAACAAGTGGTCATTGCGAGATGCGCATCGGAAGCTGATGTTCAAGCTTCAGAAAGAAATGCTAGCAGGGAAGGGCGAAGATGAAGAGCAAATCAAACGCTCTGCCTTCAGGTTATGCCAGATTCGAGGGTCTGTGATCCTAGACCTTGAAGAGAGGAACGAGCTGGAGGAGACGCCGCTGATACAAGCAGCTGCTGACGGGCGCTTGTCAAACTTGGCGCTTCTCATCAAGGCAGGAGCGAAAGTTAACGCCAAGACAAGGGATGGGACGACGGCTCTCATGAAGGCTGCCGAGTACAACAACGCGCAGTGCTTGGAGGCCTTGATCCTCGCCAAGGCTGACCTCGAGCAGCGGCAGGCAGAGACAGGGCACTCGGCCTTGACGTTAGCTGCGCGGTATGAGGGTCGACGGATGATGCGAGGGGGTGATGATGTTTCAACTCAGGCGAGGAAACGCGGCGTGCATGGACCTGCTGCTGAAGAACGACGCCGATGCCAATGCACAGCTGTCGTCCGGTGGGTACACAGCAGCGACGCTCGTGTGCCGATACAACCATCACGATTGTCTGGGCGTTCTGATCGAGAGGAACGCTCCTCTGAACCTCGTCTTGAGCAACCAGTGGACGGCGCTGATGGTAGCGAGTTACTTCGGGAGCTCCGGTGACTTGTTCTCCTTTGACTGGGGTTGTGATGACCGTGATCAATCAGAATGTATCCGACCGTTGATACAGGCCAAGTGTGACGTTGACGAGATCATCGAAGAATCGATGACAACAGCCCTCATGTTCGCCTCCCGCAAGGGTCAACTGGAATGCGTCCAAGAGCTGATAGGTGAGCGTGTCCTCTACCACTGAGAACGTCTGACCACGAGGATCCAAGGCTGCAACGCCAAGATCGACCTCGCGAACAAGCTCGGGGTCACGGCATTGATGGAGACGGCGAAACATGGGCACGAACAATGCCTGGCTCTGCTGCTTGCCAGCAAGGCAGACGTGAACAAGAGCGACGACAAGGGATTTTCCGCTCTCATGCATGCTGCTGAGGTGACGTGCTGACCGACCCGAAGGCTCGTTGACGTCTTTGACTGCAGAAGGACAACGTTGACTGTGTCCAGCTACTTCTGAATCACGAGGCATCGCCCAAGCAGAGGAGTTTGAATGGCAAGACTGCAGAGACTCTGGCGCCGCCCAATAGCAAAAGCCTGCGAGCCATCCAGATCGTCTCGCAGGCAAGTCTAGGCAACAGCTCGTGATGACGAGGTGAGAGGAGCCTGGCGGCTGCCCTGGGATGTTCGCGTCCTCCAGGTCTCCCCGCCTCCCCCCAAGGAAAGGCGAGGAGATGCACGGGTGATCTGCATGGCGGGAGGAGCAGGGAGAAGGAGGGAACCTAAAGGAAGGAACAGAGATCGTCGTTAGCAGGAAGGACGGAGAGGAGAGGAGGAGGAAGGGGAGCTGGGGAAGGGAGGGAGAGCAAGGGGCAGGGGATGATGTGGAGGAATAAGAACAAGCTTGGCTCCATCTAAATCTGGATTTTCATAACCAAGACATAAATAACATGAATGGGGAACAGGAGCTATGTTCGGCCCAGTCGCTATGTACAGCATCGGGAAATGATCTCTTCACCCCGAGGATCCTTGAGGAGCAACGCGAACTGGCACAAGGCAGGGCATTCCACGCACGACGTCCTGTCGGCATTGGGGTAGAAGCCAGCAGAGCACTCGCTGCATACTGTCGACCCTGACCCACGGAGAGTGAGACCGATCCTTCCCCCTCCTCCTCCCCACTCCTCCTCCTCCTCCACCTCCTCCTCCTCCTCCTCCTCCTCCTCCACCACCACCACCTCCTCCTCCTCCTCCTCCTTACCCACGACCGACGTGACGCTCCCGTTGACGCACGGGCTGCATGGCTCAATGCCGAATTGTCCAAACTGACCAGGAGGGCAGAGAGGCGAGCAGCCACTGGCTCCTACATTCGATGCGCCTACTCGAACATTCAACTCTCGGTTATGAGTCAGGCAACCTGCGCACCTGGAGGAGGCGAGGAGGTGCCCGGGGGACAAGCCTTGCAAGCCGTCAGCCCAAGCTCGTCCGCATACGTTCCTTGCGTGCAGGGTTGGCAGGGCTGCACACGGTTCTGATCATAAGTGCCTGCACGGTGACACGTCAGCACGCAGATTTGTATGGCGGGATGGCTGGACATGGAAAGAGGAGGAGCAGAAGGAGCAAGAAGAGGAGAGGGAGAGGGAGAGGGAGAGGGAGAGGGAGAGGGAGAGGGAGGGGTGGGGGGGGGGGCAAGGAAGAAAGTCCAGAGCAAGAGACTGACCGATAGCGCAGAAGTCGCTGCATTGTTGCGCTAGGGTGCTCCCGACATTGCTGGTGTACTTGCCCTCCTGGCACGCCTTGCACCCGCTCTGACCCAACTCGTTCTGATACGTCCCTTCTTCGCACGGAAAGCAGGCGGCAGAGCCCGCGGCCTTGGAGTACCGTCCGGCCGGGCATGGGAGGCACTGGACGAGGGAGTTGGAGGCATACGAGAAGAAACCAGGAGGGCAGGAGGAGAACAAGAACTCGAACTTGACAGGCTCCCCGCTCAAGGCGCCCATTCCAGCTGCCTCCCACCACGAGGAGAGGAGCATCTTCGAACGAGCCCCGGGCAGGCTGTAGCCGCATGCTGCATCGAGGCAGGCGAGCTGCCAGACGCTCCTCCCGGCAGAAGTCTTGAGTGACAAGATCGCCTCGCTGGTCTGCCCGTACCGCCATTCCGGCAGAGAGCAACGGACAACATCCGCAACCTGAAAAAGTGGAGAAGGAGGAGGAGGAGGAGGAGGAGGAGGAGGAGGAGGAGGAGGAGGAGGAGGAGGAGGAGGAGGAGGAGGAGGAGGAGGAGGAGGAGGAGGAGAAGTCAAGAAACGAGGCTCAAGAGCATTGCAGGGGACCTGAGCTTGAGAGGCGTCGAGAAAGTTTCCCCTGTCGTCGAGGAAGTCCGCCGTCTTCGACTCTACGTAGGTGGAGCCAAGACTCCATCGACACGTGTAGCCCTCCGAGAGCAGGAATCTTCCTCTGATCAGGACATAGGCCAGTCGAGAGCCTCGGGCAGCGACGTAGCCGGGCGAGTTGACGTTCGAGTTGGCCACGTCGACACTCGGGGAGTCACCGACCGTCTGGTTGACCCGCACCCAGTAGGACTTTAGCTGGACGTTCTCTAGGTAGCTCAACCGGCCGGACGTGAACAGGCTCTGGACAAGGACGTCATTGACGCTGACGTTGTAAATCCGGAACAGAGACATGAAGCCTGCAAGGTGGGGGGTCAGTTCAGGCGTGTAAGAGCGAATTCAAAATTGCGGACCTCTGTGCGAGAAATATTTCCCACTCTCGTGAGAGTTGTAAGCGCCTCCTATGTTGAACAAGGCTGGGATTTTGGAGGACCAGTAGTCTTGCATGCTGGGGTAGAGAATGGTTCCACAGGAGGAGGAGGAACATGCTGGCTGTCGCCCAACGAGGTTCCCGTCTACGAAGAGGCTGATGGATTGGTTATCGTACGTGGCAACGATGTGGTACCACTTGCTCCATGTGAAGTTCTCGATGCCTCGAACGATCCTCGAGAACTTTCCCCTCTCTCCAGACAACCCCGGATACATGTACTGATTGAAGTCGTTGCTCTGCTCATTGTTCGCTTCTACTGAGATCTCAAAGAAGAGGAAGAGTCTTTTCCGATCTTTTGCGTCCAGCCAGTAGCCCAGGCTCCATCCCTTCTCATAGTTGGTGCCCTGCTCCACGGCGTTAGCAAGCCCATGGATCTGGTTTGCTTCCTTGACATTCATCAGAGCCCAAGTCTCGATCGACATTGCAAACTTGGGAAGCTTGTTCATGGCAGTCAGGGCTTCAACCTCGCCCACCACCAGCCCAGGGTTGTTGACCGCATCAAAGTATAGGCTCTGCACGACCCCATTGTTCGCTAGGAACGTCTGCAGGCCCATCGGGTGGGCCCCACTAACTTCCCACTCAGTTCCCTCTGTGCACGACGGGCCCCTCAGCTCCGCCTGTCCATACCCACTTGACCCCAGCTGGTCCTTGACCTGCGAAGGAGCCACGACGAGTGCCCTGCCCTCCTTACATCCTAGCTCGTCCCTCGCTGCCCGGGAGTAGGAAGACTGGTAGATCAGCGACTCGCTGTCGAACTTCCACCAGCCCACCAGCCCGAAGGTAGACCAGTCAAGGCAGTCTTGATCGCCCCTCCCGAGATACCCCAGCGTCGTCTTCCCTTCCGGACAGGTCAGGCAAGCCGAGGCCCCTCGTCCTGAGAACTCCCCATCAGCACAAGTCCAGCAGACTGAAGAGCCAGATGAAAGCGAGTAGCTTCCATTCTGACAGATGTGACAGGCATCCTTGTTTGAACTCGACACCTCCCCAGCGCTGCAGAGGTAACAGTAGACAGACCCTTCCACGTCGATGTACTCCCCTTCCCTGCACTCATCACAGCTAATGGCTCCCGTCCGATTCGAAACTTTCCCCTTGCCGCAAGTCGAGCAGGACGTGGAGGCGTATAGATCGTTCGAGTGCCCTAGAGAGCAGAGCTCGCAGGGGCTGCTCGCAGTGTCCAGCCCCTTGCTCGAGGAAAAGGTCCCAGGAACGCAGTTGTGATGGCAGAAACTGACGCTGGTGGCCCCCTGGACCAACGTCCGCATGATCAGCCCGTTGGACGCATACAGATCGGTCCCGCTGACGTCCTGGAAGTAGACTTCACTTGCATTGTAGAAGTGGGTCTGATTGATCGTCACGGGGTCGTGCGGACATAAGGTGCAAGAGCTCGACGCTGATACGTCGGAGTACGTGTGGAGCGGACATTCTTCACACGAAGTGCCTCCCTCGCTTGCTAGATAGGATCCAGGGAGGCAGGGGAAGCAGTGGATCGATCCTGGAGCATTGTTGTAATATCCACGAGCACAACTTCTGCACCCTGCCGCATTCGGGATATCGCTGTAGGTACCAGGCTGGCACGACTCGCACAGACTCTCGTTCGATCGATACTGGCCCGGCAGGCAGATGTAGATGCAGGAGGAGGAGCCGGGGAGCAAGGTTGTTTGGTTCGCAGGGCAGGTTGAGCAGGACCCAGACTGAGGCCCACTGAAGTATCCTACCGGGCAAGGATTGCACGCCAACGAGGCGACAGGGGAGAAGAAGCCTGCGACGCATCCCTGGCACTCGCTGGAGCCAACGGCCGAGAAGAAGCCGGCTTCACATGACTGACAGGTAGTCGCTCCCCCTTGCTCGATGATCTTGGATGTTGACAATGACTTCTCGCCGGCTCCACAGAGCAGACAAGAGGTGGACATGGTCATGACCGAGTAGCTTCCAGGCGCGCACGGCTCGCACTTCAACGGATTCCTTGACAGGCTGAGGAACCCCGGGGGGCAAAGCAGGACTGACTCAACGCTATTCGTCTCTTCAAACCAGATCATGCTGAAGTTCGCCTGGGTAGCCTTACAAGACAGAACATGTGACGATGGATTACCTCGTGAACTGCTGCTGGACACGTCCCTACACTGGGCTCCTTCCCGGATATACAGGGATCGTTGATGTGGTTGTTGTAGTACCTCATCAAGTAATCGTCGGGGTTGCTGACATTCGCAGTCTGCAAGGGCAGGTAAGAAACCAAGAGAGTGCTTGGCGATCAGACCTGGACACTCAAGAGGGCCTTGTAGATCTGCAGGAGACGAGGTCAGGCGGACAATCGTGAGCGGCTGGCCGAACCTGAACTTCGAAGATCGGCTCGTTCAAAGCAGCGGAGCTGCCCAGAGCACCTATGGAAGGAGCGTTTCTGATTCCGTCCACCTTGCAACAATCAGAGCTGTCTCGGAGATGCAAGCTCCTCACCTTGAACTGAATTCTCTTCACCGATGAATTCGTCATCGTCCTCAGGTCCCACGGCACTTGAGCTAGGACTGTGAGGTTCCTTGGGTGTCAAACGCCCGACGCATCGTCCTCCCTCTTACCCAAGTCCACGACCCGATTCGCATCGAACCCACTCGTTGGATCCCTCGAGCCCCTCGTAGACCCCACACGATATTCGGCCCTGACTCCATCGATGAAGGTGGGAAGGTCCTTGGGGTTGGGCTCCCTGATACCAAATCCTAGAGGCAACGGGGGTCTTTTCATCATGCTCACTTGGCCGTAAGATTCGTAGAAAGTTGGCACGTAATAAGTCTCGTTCACTATGTACGCAGTCCCGTTCACGTCGAAGAACTGGCGCGATCGGATCTTGGGGAGGTAGAGGGCGTTGGTGACGTCCGCGGTCTCGTTTGTGATCGTTGCCTGCTGCGTGTCGAAGCCAGGAGGGAACAAGATGCGAACCATGGTGAGGTACGATCTGTCGTTGTAAGTCGGGTTCTCAACGACGTTATCGCAAGCCCACTTGTTGAAGAAGCTTGTTGAAGTTGTCTGTCAAAGTTGTCAGCAGGTTCTCAGAACATAAGCAGGCAAGGCCTACATCGTATTTGCACATGGGCCCAGGGTACAGGTCTAACGAGATTTCTGCTGTTGACATCATTCCTGCTCCATACTCCGACAAGGAAATGTTGGCGTTGACAGGGAGGACACATGGAAGGGACGGGCAGTCCCCGCTGTGCAGGAGCAGGCTGGGAGGAGACAAGGAGTCAACGAGAAGGGAGGAGACGAGAAAGAGCCATGACAGGAGGAGGCCTCTTGCTGCTCGCGCTGCCATGCGGGCTCCGCTGCTTCACTGCCTGCCCTGCATGTTCAGGTCGCCCCCTCCCACCGCAAGGGACATTCCAGACTGAGCCGTTATTAACGGTTGAAACAAGTTACAATTTTGACGTTGCAGACGTTACACTCAAGGCTGACCACCCCGTCGGTCGGGCCCGTTCGGCCGCAGAGAGCGAGTCCCGGGCTCGGGGAGTCCGGGCCCGTCCGATTATCTCATCCCCCGGCCGCGAAAGCCGCGTCCGAGCCTGTCTAGCCGGGGCCCCGCCGCCCGCCGGGGGCGACTGACTCATCAGTGACGGCGATCGGACTCGGAAGCTGGCTCGGAAGTCAGGGGAAAGTAGGGGAGGCGGGCTCACCGACTGGCATGGCCAGGATCGACGAGTGAAGAGCGAGGAAGAGGAGAAGAGCCGGGAAGGAAGGAAGGAAGAGGAGAGGAGAGGAGAGGAGAGGAGAGAAAAGGGAAGAATAGCAGGCAGGAGCAGCAGCTCGCAGCATGCTGTCGCTCTTGTATCGAGCTCTGGATGACACGAAGGTGAGAGGCGACGGATCTGCGACGACATGCTGATTGACTGCCGGCAGACGCGGTGCGCCAGCATCCACCCGTCGATGCCATGGGTGGCAGCCGGCGACGACCGTGGATACGTGGGAGCAGTGCTGAGGGTGTGCATTGCTGACGGGGTCGACAGGTCTCGATCCACGACTACTCTCAGAACATGCAGATGTACAAGGCAAGGAGCTTCGCCTCGCTCCTCACGCTGATGTCCCTCCCGCAGGCCCAGGTCGAGCAGGGACTAGAGGGGAGGGCCATAGGAGCCAAGTGCTCGCCTGTCCGCCACCTGATCTTCTGCGATGCACACGCCAACGAATGGAAAGAGCGCGCGATCCTCGACGAAAGCCTGCCGCTTGAGGATGCGGCAACCTTCAAGGGAGACGCCTCGGGTCCTTCGGGCATGATGGACGGGGAGGCGAGGCTGCTCATCGTGACAGACTCTGCCCTCCTCTTCCTCGACTACATCACCCTCCAAGTGAAGGAGGTGCGGGGGATCGATCCTCGCTCCATCCTTCAGCTGCACCTGGTGCGCCTTGCTATGCCCTCTCCGCCCTCCTGACAGGCTGCAGGTCCCTGGCAGGCGAATTCCCCGAGTCGCCTGCGCATGCTCAGACGGGATCGTTCGCATCCTGAGCTGCTCAATGCAGGCAGGAGCGGCAAAAGAGCTGCAGAGCGGACGCTCCCGTGCCCTTGCCCACCTCTCCTCGTGCGCCTCGTGCAAGCCCAAGGAGGGCCGTGAGCATGTCATGAAGGTCGGGCTGGTGGCAGCAAGCTCAGACGGATACATCCACTTGTGGGACCTCAACAACTCGCAGAATGTGAGGATTCTGCTCTGCCCCACTCCCCAACCTCCTCCTCCACTTCTACCTTCCCCCTTTCTCAGTTACTGCACTCTGCTTCTCTTTCTTTCCCTGTTCCTTTGCCCTCCTTGTCTTCATACTCTCCCTCAACAGCAGTCCATGCAGGTATCCACTGTGCAAGCTGCCGGACACATCCAGTCCCTCGCGCCCTCCTCCCCTGCATGCCAGAGCTTCGTTGTGATGTACGTGGACAAGACCATGGGGGTAACTTGACCATGTGCCCATCGGACTCTCCTGACTTGTAGTGAAGATGTGGGAGGTCAGCCCTCAGCTGCGGGAGGTCCAAAGGTGCTGAAGGGTGTCAGACCATCCTGGACTGAACAGGAGGAGCGCAGGTTGAAGCTCCATGAGGCGAAGACAAGACAGGGAAACGCATCCCTCGATCACGTCGTTGGTCTGCGACAAGTGAGTCAGGAATTCCTTCCGCCACCCCCCCTCCCCCCATCCTCCTCCTCCTCCTCCTCCTCCTCCTCCTCCTCTTCCTCCTCCTCTCCCTCTCATCCCTCTCTCCTCGTCCTCAAGCTGATCACGGATGCAACAGCGGCATCCCCACGGGCTAGTTTGGCTCCTGCTGGGCTCGAAGCACGCAAATATCGAGCTTCTCTCCTCTCACTGCAGCGCAAGCGGCTTCATGGTGGAGGCGACTCGGGACTACACAAGTTTGCTGCACCTACCGGATGTGATGGGGCGAGGAGACAAGAAGATGCCGAGCAAGTGAGACTTTTCTTCCCCTCTGATCTCCATCCTGCTCTGCTCTGCTCTGCTCTGCTCTGCTCTGGCCGCTACCCCCCGTCCGATCCCCACTCCTCGAACCTCTCGCCACTTCTGCTCTCCGATCCTCTCTTCGTGTAGAAGTATGACAGCAGGTAGGTTCAAGATGTACGCTGCTGTTTCCTCCGAGCTGCAAGGAGACGTGCTCGGGCTGGCGACGAGCCACGGGTTGCTGGTGACCGAGCATGTGCTTTCTCCCCCTCGCATGCTGACAGTCTGCACGAGGTCTTTCGCCTTGAGATGGGAGGAGGGAATCACGTGCAGGTACGAGGGACGCGCGGGGAGAGGAGGAGGTGACTGCTGTTGGCGCAGGAGGTGCAGCCGGAGAGCGTGGAGGCGAGCAAGAGCTTCGTGATGCTGGAGAGGAATGCTAACGACAAGCATGTGGAGTTCTCCCTCCTCCATGGCTCTGTCTCTGTACCGAATCATCCTCTCCCTCCCTGCACGGGGCATCTGCCGATGCTGAGGGTGGAGTGGAGACATGCCCTTCCTGGGGAAGCCTTCGCTGCTGACGATCAGGACGTCAGCTCGAGGCTCCCTGTGCTCAAGACAGCTGGGGAAGGCAGAGGAAGTATCCTCTCCATCCTCTCTCATAAGCCCCCGAGCCCCCAGGACCCCAGCACGAGACGCGTGCAGTTCGTGCGTAGGAAGGAGGGGAAGTTTCACGTCGTTGAGGCGATGAGCTGCCAGGATGCGGCGTGGGACTCGGAAGGAGAGAAATGTGCTGTCCTCCTCCCTCATAGTCCCTCCAACATCCCCAGAGGTGACGGGGAGCACAACTTTTCCACCGCAGCGGTCGTGCTCGACTGGTCCGGTGATCATGCACGGGCGAGGAGAGCGGAGATAATTTTACAGGTGAGAAGGAAGGGGAGGAAGGAGGGAAGAGAGGAGGGAAGAGAGGAAGAAAGAGAGCAGGGGAGGGAGAGGGGGAGAGGGAGAGGAGGAGGGAGGGAGGAAATGGAGAGGTTGAGGAGAGTGGAATGTTTTGACATGAGGGATAGGCAAACGTAGAGAAGCTGCTTGATGGTGCTCTGCTCTGCGGGATTTTTGCAAAGAAGGAAGGACAGGGTTCGGGCTGCATGTTCTACCAGTGGGATGGATCTCCTGCCTCCGCCGTGCTCCCAGTGCGTGCTTCCCCTTCCACCCCCATTCCTCGTCCTCGTCCTCCTTGCTTTCCTCGTCCACCTGCCTTCTCCTTGTTCGTTCTTCCCGCCTACTTCCATGTACCTTCTTGCTCCATTCCTGTTTCTTTGTCTCCTCCTTCCTCCTCGCCCTTTCCTTCGCTTCATTTAACAGCCGTGATCACGCGGCACAGGCACCTGACATGGTCAAGTGGTCGAGGACCCGAACCATGTGTGCGGCAGCGTACAAGGTAAATGAGATGATGATGGAGGAGAAGAGGAAGTTGAAGAAAGGAGGAGAAGAGGGGAGAAGGAGAGCGGGAGAGAACAGAGGAGGGGAGAAGAGAGTTGGGGAGGAGAGCGGGAGAGAAGAGAGGAGGGGAGAAGAGGAGGGGAGGAGAGCGGGAGAGAACAGAGGAGAGAAGAGAGGAGGGGAGAAGAGGAGGGGAGAAGGAGAGGAAGGGAGAGGAAGGACCCAGAACATGAGAACAGAGCATTAGAGTGCTATCAGGTGTTGTGAGATGTTCCGAGACTTGGAAATGGAGGGTGTCAGACGAGAGGAGCGGCTGGGAGGGGAAGGAGTTGACGATCCGCCTGCAGAGTTTCATCTCGATCTTCCAAAGGCGACAGGAGGATGTGTACATGCAGGTTATGAGAACCATCTCGGCCGAACCGACGGATGTCCTGTGGAGAAATGTCAGGCCGCCATGCTCCTCTCCCCTCCCTCCTCACTCTCTTCTCGCAGAGCATCCTCTTCTTCGCTTCCCGTCACAGTCTTCACATGTGGTCGGCTGTTTTCCCAAACGACCAGCCCGTGGAGATAGGTCGGGCATTTTGACTAGCACCTGAACTTTTCCCGTTTGACTCGTCGGATCAGCATCGTCGACAAGGGACAAGATGAAACTCTTGGAGGAAGACTCGACTGATCGACCTTGCCAGCGTCCAGTGAGAAGAAAGGAAGTTCGTACACAGATTGTGACTTGTGACTTTCTCTCTCCCTCTCCTCTCCTCTCCTCTCCTCTCCTCTTTCATCGCCTCTGCTCAAATCCCCTCCTCTGCCTTCCTTTCCTGCTCTCTCCTTCCTCTTCCGTTGCACTCTGCCAGGTCTGTCCTCTAGGCCACTTGCACATCTTAGGCATGACCGACGAAGATCCTTCCTGTCTCATTGTCGCCTCCTCCTTGAAGCGCACCAACATCAACCTCCTTCCCCTCTGCTCAGATGCTCTTCGATTCCGAACTCTCGCTTCTACAGGTTCCTTTCCCAGTCCCAATACTTCCCTCCTTTCTCTCTCTTTCTCTGTCTTTCTGCCTTTCTTGGCTCATCTCGCTCCTTTTCTCCTTCATCCTCGACGCCTCTTGTCCTCATTTCACTTCCAGGACATTCCAAAGTTGCATGGAACGCGATCTCTCAGACCGACGAAGAAATGTACGAGAGGAGGACGTGGAGGGAGGAGGTGAACGAGGAGGTTTACTCTGAGCAGGAAGCAGAAGCTTCTAGATGCAGCACGACCTCCCATGAGCAGCAAAACACTTCTTCTCCTCATGTGAGCTCGAGAGAGAAATTTTCAAACGCTCACATTTCATGGTGCAGGATGTGGAGGCTGGAGATGCAGAGGAGCCTTCGAGCAAGAGGAGTTGACTGATTCTGTCCTTTCTACCTGTCCTGCCCTCCTCCCCAACCCTCTCCTCCCTCCCTCCTCCTCTCCTCCCGCTCTCCTGTCATCTGCGTACTGAGGACAGTCTTTGGCTCCCTGCCGGATCCTTCGTACTTATACAACCTTCACCAACAACACATCTCCTCCTGCCTCCTCCCCTCCCTCCTGCGCTGTTATCTTGGCGTTCCGCAGCATCGCCGCTGTTATGAGCACAACTTCCGCCATGGCCGTCTGAGCTCCAAGGCAATAGCGCGGGCCCGCCCCGAAGGGGATGAAGGAGAAGGCGTCAGCTGGCTCCTCCGGCCTGACATCTCCAGCTGGAGACGAGCTGAAGCGCTCGGGGCGAAACTCATGAGGGTTGTACCAGGAGTTCTCGTCTTGACCAAGAACCTGCGGGCTCATGATCTGTAGGAGGAGGAGGAGGAGGAGGAGGAGGAGGAGGAGGAGGAGGAGGAGGATCAAGAGAGGATGAGTCAGTCTCTTCGTAAGTGTGAGGAGAGGCATACCATGACGGAACCTTTCTTGACTTCCAGAGAGGAGGAGGAGGAGGAGCGAGATAAGGTTGTGTCAGAAGATGCGAGGCGAAAGACAAGGGAGGCAAAGGCATTCTTGCGGAGAACCTGATGAGCTAGGGTGAGAAGAGGAGGAAGTAGAGGAGAGAGGAAGGGGGAGGAAGAGCAGTCATGAAGAGGTAGACCAGAAGGCAGGAAGGGGAGGGAGGAGGGGGGCACGGGCATTCGCGACCTCTTTGACGCAACTAGTCAAGTACGTCAACTGCATCAAGTCTTGATATCTCGGGATCTTTGGAAGGGGTCAGGTCAAAAATCGGTCAAAGATACACTTTTGACCTGCCGAGAGCCGAGGACAAGGTCCAGCTCAGCCTCCACCAGCTCTCTGACCTGCCTGTCTCGGATGATCTGGGAGGAGACAGCAGCAGACGTCAGCTGCAAGTGTCGGGCCTCCTTCGAGCGTCACCTCCCACACCGTCGAAGAGATGACTTCTCCCGTGCTTCCGACTCCGGCCGTCATGATGTCCCGCAGAATCAGACAAATCTCTTCATCGCTCAGCGACGGCGACCTCTCCTCCTCCCCTCCCTTCCCCTTCTCTCCCCTTGGGACCTCTGCTGCGATCTGGAATGAAGTTACTGGAAGCTGCGTGCCAGGGAGCTGATAGCACCAGACGAGTCAGGACGTCGTCAGGTGGTTGTTTTCCCTCTCTCAACTCGTTTCTTCGTTTCTGCACTATCGGAAGGAAAGGAACTTCGCCGTGTCCCCTCTGTTGCTTTCCGGCTGAGAGTTTTTTCAAGATCCAAAAGCTGAGGGAAGTCAACGTCTTGACAACCCGGAAGTCTCTTATCTGCCAATAAAGTTTCAGCACGAGCAGGGGCAGAAAGCAGATGACGAGAACGAGAACGAGGATATGGAAGAGCTGGGAAGGAGGAGGCCAGGGAGGAGGGCAACGGAGGGAGAAGGAGGAGGAGAGTGAGGGTCTCCACCGATTGTCTGCTTCGTGCTCGTAGAAATTTTAGTTGTCCCTTACGATTTGTGAACGCCTTGATGAACTCGAAGACTCCATCTCCAAAGAGAACCATCTTGACTTGCCTCTTCACCAGCTCCGTCCATGCCATGGCGTGTTCGGTGAGCTGTCCCAAGTTTGATCAAGAAAGTATCATCAGCGTTACGCAGACACCTTGAAGATGGGATTCTTAGGAGGGAGATTTTCACGGACTTGTCTCCATGAGAATATCTCCTCTGAGAACAGGATGTTTAGAAGGATCGACTGCACATAGTCAGGCGCGAATTTCGAGTGGCCGTAAGCTCATCACCTGCGACAGAGCAACACAGTAGGAGGTCAGGTCAACAGCCTTCCTCCTCTCCTTCAAGTCCTCGATCATCGTCATCGTCATCGGCACCAACATCTCCTCGACTGCGTCACTGACAACGCAAGGAGAGTCAAGAACTAAGGTACCTCGCAGTGCTCCTGGATCCTGTCGCGCTTGAAAAAGGAGGGGTTCAAGATAGAGCGATACTGCTCCCAGACATCATCTTCAGCTACTGTAAGCCCGACTGCCGTCATCGGACACCCCCGATGCTCTTCCCGGTTCCTGAACACGCTCGATTGCTCTACGCAGATTTCCCGCACAAGCCGAGGGTCGGAGATGAGGTAGAACTCCCTATTGCAGAGCCTCGTCTTGTGAACGGCCCCGCTGCTCCTCGAGTAGTGCTGTAGGAGGTTGGACAGATCCCCGTGCACCAACAAGTCGACAGTTGACCTTGCCGCCGAGATGTACCTAGCTTCATTGGTGTCTCGAGAGTCCGCACTCCATGGTTGCAAGTTGCTGCTGGGCTGCGGCTGGGGTCGAGACTCGATCGTGTTGGTCATACAGATTTTTCGTGGTGATAAACGTGTGAATCCACTTGACCTCAAAGATAAGAAGCAGTCCGTTGAGGGAATGAACTGCATCGCCGAGAGCAACACCACGAAGATTCTTGCAAACATGTTCCAAGGAGGTACGAGAAAGAAAACGTGCGCTCTTAAGAGTATCAACTCAAACGAAAGAAGAATCAGTTCAACGTCATCTGTCTCTCAATATTCTTCATGCCGTCTCTCCATCTCTACCTCCCGCATCACTCTCCCCATCGCCCACATGCTTCACACATAAACCACTTTGTACGTTACGATATAACTGTCAGTAAAGCCGGAAGCCCCTTCTGGCCTGAGTAAAAAGTGCAGTACGGTAGTCTATCGGCCGCCGGGGCGGGGTTGGGTACTAGTATAGTCAGCTCTCTTTATTTCAAGTGGTCTCTGTGTCGAACATTTCCAAAGACTTTTGCCTCCGCTGCCATCGGAGACTAGACTCGTGACCCGCGCCGGGAGCCGCCTAGTAGGGGGCTGGACTCCTTCAAGCGGCGGATGACTCTCAGTGAGTCATCCGATCTGATTCATGAGCGGCTGCCGGCCCTCGCCGAGTCGGGTAGTCGACCTTTTCGCAATCTGGCTGCCAGGGTCACAAGTTCTTTACGGTTCAAAAATTTATCTTTTGGTCTTCAAATGCTGGCGAGCAATCTTCTCTCTGATCTTCTCTCCTCTGACTCTCTTATCTTATCCTCCTTCTCTCGTCATTGCATCCGCTCGCCAGGCATCTCCCTTATTTGTGCACTGCACATCTAATAGCCCTGCATGAAAATCTTCGTCAGAATGGAAAATCCTTGAATGGTTATTGCTCACTCAGCATGACTGTGAACTTGACGTTGTATCATCGTATCTTGACTTGGAGCTGCTGGATTCTTGTTTGTGTGACTTCAAGTGTAACAAACTAGTGCTCCGTCAGAGATTCCTCCTACCGTCCGACCTCTTTTCTCAGGCTTCGGCACGCCATCAGTCACTGTCCGATCCTGATCAGAGTGTGTCACGTCACGGCGTTTGATTGACGGGCGCCGGCAGGCCTGAGATAGGCGGGTGGTCGAGTCCGAGTCGGTTTCAGCACTTCCGCCACTTGGTCTGGACTCCGGACAGCTCTCCTTCAGTCGCATTGCAACACAAGTTGAAAGTCTCCCAATTTAGTCCGCCCGGTCATCATGGCATCCACCGGGCCCGTTGGCCCGGGCCCGGGACCGGGCTATTCAAGAAAAAAAAGTCAAACTTTACCCTACCCCCCTCCCTCATTCCTCTCTGTTGAGAGTGCACAGCCCCAACCGGGTGGGGTAGGTATTGACGGTTGCCCATTTCGGGCCATTGAACCTTTACGGCATGGAGCGGAAGCGGGAGGTTGAGTACCACTGGACGCGAAGGGAGGAGAAGAGGAGGAGCGTCCGAGTCGAGAGTCACAATGCAGTCGAGGACCAGGAACGGAGCGGCAACGATGCTAGGGGAGACAAGAATCAGAGTCACCCGAGCTCAAGAAGTCTGGCCAACACCACAATGAAGAAGGAAGGCAGTAGAACGAGCTTACACAGTCACAACGATGTCCGTCAACATAGCCATGCGAGGATTTCGACTACCCGCGGTGGACCAAGGGCCTCTTCATGTCCATGTTTTGTACTAGACAACGAGGATATGCTCAGTACTTGTACGACCAAACATGCAGATTTGATAAAGGTGGAGAGCGTCAGGAGGTATATAGGAATTTTCTTGCAACCTTTTGAATTTTTTCTGGACTTCTATGATGCCTCAATATTTGCAGGATCAGAGGACATTTTGAAGATTTGCTCAGAGATCAAGATAAAGGTGTGAACCGGCTTGTCTTCGTTTGCCGCCCTCAACTCATTCACTTCACGCAGGAAATTCACGGAATGGCATTCAGCTCCCTCGCTACCTTCATTACAGCCCGACCAAGGGATCGAAAGCTTCGGAAGTTTGGCTTGGCAGTAATCCAAGAGGGAAGAAAAGATTTGGGATCCAAAGATTCAGGGTAATATAATCTCCATTGCACTTTGCATTGATGCCTGAGTATTGTTGACTGCAATTAGGCGGCGGCAAAAATGGTGACGGCGGCTCAAAAATTGGAAACAGATGAGATGAAAGAGAGGTGATCAAAAACTCTTCCGATGAGACAGACGCCTGGTGTACTAAGGACAGCACAGACGCCAAGGCATCAGCTCAAAGACTCTGATGTTGCTGGAGAAGATTAAGAAACGGAATGCAGATGTGCGCGCATCATGATGTTGATTCGTCCCTCTGACCCGCTGATACTTCAGAAAGAAGCCGCCGAAAGGAATGCTCGAGAGGAGGTAGAGAACTTCTCCTGCTGTAAGGTCTCATGAGAGGACGAAATTTTGCAGGCCGAAAGAGCTGCTCGTGCAGCAGCCAAGGAGGATATTCCTCCATTCCCTAACCTCATCTGGAATGTCCGAACCAGTTTAGAGGTAACACTAGTCCTGGTCAGCGAAAGGGAGTATTGTTCTCACTTACATTTCAGAGTTTCGTCGGAAAAGAAGATCTTGGAGGGGTTATTTTGGACAAGGTCAAGAACCTGTACACCATGTTACATTCGCCCTAACATCTCGAAGCATCCCGGATCTATAGAAATCTATCTTGTACATTCATTTAAACAGACGAGGAGCTCCCTATCTCGTCATTCTACTTTACATCCTGCACAACTCTTCTATTTACAAGCTGCAGAGCTGATCAGTCCATTCCAAGAGCTCGTCCAACTCTTTCTCCCACATCTCGCTGTCTGCAGGTGACATGTTGCTTGTTCGCGGTTTGGTCGAGGGGTCAACATTGCCCCTTGGCGTCTCCTCCCAAGAGGTTTCTAGGTGCGTTACATGCCCGGTGAGCCTCCAAGTCCTGCCATCACTGAAAGACTGTTCCGAAGACACGGAAGTCTCAACGGGCGACGCATCCACATGCGGATCTGCGTGGAGGGTATCGTTTCGGTGCTGTGGATGCCCTTCTGCAGTCAGGATGAGCAGTTCACTTCTGGCTAACCCGGCCCCATGGTCTTCGTGCAAAGATTGTTCACCGTGCAACGATTGATCTCCTTGAGAGCCCTGAGTGCTGAGTCGGCTTGTTGGAGGCCTGCATATGCCGATGCTCTCAAGAGCTTTCTTTGCCTTGTCTGCCATTTTCTTTCCATCTCGAGAGAGCAATGGAACAACAGGTTCAGAGGGATGATTTCCTCTCGGTATCCTGCTAGCTCTGCTTCCGCTGCGACTCGAGCTCAACGCGCTGCTGTCAAGGTCCTCGATCTCTCTTGAGCGATGACTGGAATGCTTGGAGGCCCTCGAAGAAATCTGCTTCTGCAGGAAAGAGTGAGCCCTTTCGCAGGATAGAGGTCGTGGAGAAGGAGATTAGATGAAAGTTGGGACAGATGCAACGGATCCTCACATTTCGCACGGAGTCTCGTGAACGCAAGTCAGAACGTGACAAGAATTCTTCTGTGCTCAGACTGTTGTTGATCTGCGCTCCTCGATCCTCAACCCTCCAGACCTGACAAGAGGTCACATCCCCCGTCTCTGTCACGAGTGGACTGAGGAGGAAGGTTTCACCTTCTTCATCTTCTCAAGCTTCTGCTTCCTCTTGTCTTGCATCGTCACGATTTTCTTCGGCTTGATAGTCAAGGGCACATGAGGGCAGAACAGCAGCACAGCCTCACCGGCTTCGTGATCTTCGTCGATTCGGACCTTCGATGTATCATATCTGACTGCACATATCTAGACATCGGGCTGCAACGTTGAGGTCTCAGTGCAAACAACAGCAATCAGCCAGGCTGACCTCGTCTGGATCGCGTGCATGATCAGGCGCTCTGCCTCCTGCTCCACCATCTCAACGGCCGAAAACATCACAAGTCCCGGCTCACCTTCTCAGTCTTGGAGGTCGCGATGTCTCGCCAGATGGAGTAGTACTCAAGATAGTCATCCTGACTAGCATCCGACCTCCGGGAGCTCGACAGGTTCGAGGGCAAGCGCCCGGGGGTGCTCTGGACTGACCGAACACTCCCGGGGGTGAAGCATTTCTCAGTAGTCTCGCTCTTGGCCGTGATGATGTACCTTGGATGGTTCGAAGGGCAAACGTCACATGTCGACATACAAGCTCAGCTATCTCCCTACCTGTCCCCTGCTGGATGCTGCCGGATGATGAAATTCGACAGGTCCGAGCCTTGGCTGAGGGGTAGTCAGAGGGTCCTCTATGCATGCGACATTCTGAAGCGCAAACCTTCGATGTGCATTCTGCGTCACTTTTTGCTGTTCCTTGTTCATCGGTTTCGTTCCGTTCTCTCCTTTTGCAGTGGAATTTCTGTCCTTCCAAGGAGATTTCGCCATTTCTACGTCAAAGCGCAGCCTCCGGTCTAGAATTCATGCTTGAAATTCCGGAGGGCCTATGGCAACCGCTGGAGTTCTAACGGGTCTTGAACCAAAGATTGTGAACCTCTAGCTCGAACCCCTCTCACCCACACACTCTACGACTTCCAGACGACTCCTGGACTCAACAGGGCACCAAACCCTTCTGAATGCACGAAGCTTCAAGAGCTTGTCTCGGCAGCAAGGGATTCTTCAGCCTCAGCCTCGGCATGACAGGGAGGTTCCATCATATGGCTCCTCCTACTTCTCTCCGTCTTCCTTGCTCCCCCTCTCCCTCCTTGTCTCCCCGTCCTCTCCCTTAACTTCCCAGCGATTTCTGCCATTCCGTTGGACTGACCGAACCGCGAGACGTTACAAAAGCTAAATAATACAATAACGGACGCAGTTCCGCCCGTACTGATTTTTTAACTTAACTTTCAGAGCCTAGTAGCGGCGGCCGCACTGCAAGGGCGGCCCGCCGGGCCCGGGGCCCTGGGGGCCGCGCCCGAGTCACGGATTCCCAGTGAACTCACGAGTCAGGCAGTTCCGACAGTTTGAGTCAAAGTTCGGCGGCACTCCAGGGTTTGGTTCTCGCACTGAGTGTCAGGCCCGGCCGGGTCAAGCCGCTCCGCCGAGGCTCCCGGGACTCCTCATCATAGTAAGCCGCAGTCACAGTTGACTGGCACAAGACAAAAGGGACTCCAGAAACCGTTGAACGGTCCGATCAGTGAGTCCCGGTTCGCTCAGCTGCACAGGCTCAGTGCACGCCCGGCGCCACCGTGACTGAGCCGCTCCCGGGCCGGGCCCGGTTGCCTCCGGGACCGGGCCCGGGGCCTCCAGTAGGTTTATCACAGGATCTCCTTGAGGATCGACAACAGAACAGTTCTCTTTAGTGCCTATAGTTGTTTTTTTATATGCGTCAACACCGGTGTGTTTGATATGCAATATGTGGGTCAAGCATGGGGTGAATGAATTTCGTTCGCCAGGATCCTGCTATGGCATGCCATTCATGCTGTACGGGACGAGTAGCACAGGAGCGGAGTGAAGGATGGTGGAGAGGAAGGGGTGAAGGGGTGAGAAGGGAGTAGAAGGGCCGTTGAGAGAAACTAGCTGGCGACATCTGAAGGAATGGCAGAGGCTGTTTGACAAACAAACACTCAATGAAAGATCTTCATGGCACAGGAAGATGTATTCTGTGGGGAATCAAACTGATTTCATATTCTGAAAGCTGAAGAAAACAAAGACATTAGTGGTTCAGAATTGACACTGAGCTCTAGAAGGCTTCCACCCGATGATAGAATCTGTTAAGTGAGAGTCAGGACCGGAACGGGTGGTGTTGTTGAGATGCGATTGGGCGGTGGAAGCTGGGAGAAGCTCGAGGCATTAGGAGGTTGATCGAGAGGATCTCAGAGGGTTTTCAGCTTCTTGAGTACTTACCGACTGTTTGTTGCAGCTCTTGTTTTCGCCTCACACCGCCGACCCCCGAGCAAACAATGGAACAGACCTTGCTAACACCATGATCGATCCTGCCAGGATTCCAATCCTTGTGGCTCTCTCGTCCTGTCGTCTTTGACATGCTGTCATGCTGTCTCCTACGCTCTTGCACTTGATTCTTCTTGACAAGCTTTGTCCTCGACGATGAAGGAATCCATGGCCACCGGCCGCTTGCCCTGCGGTCGCATGGGACGAATTCCCTTCCTATTGAAGTTCGTTCTCCTCGCTCATCTGGTATGGAGGCCACAGGCAGGAGCCCGCACAGAGACGTCTCAAGGTCCTCAAGTCGTGCAGACGCCTTCCATGCAGGAGAGCAGGAGGAGTGAAGCATGTTGGGTCGGTCTCAGGTTGCGAGGAGGACAGGAAGGCGGGGCAGGGTGGAGCCTGTTGGAGCGCTACGACAGGGCTTCACGTGTACAGCCGGAGGAGGGCTCAGGCATCGTAGAGGCTCGTGGAGGGGAGCAGCATGTGGATGCTGCTGTCAGGCAGAAGCATGAGGAAGGGAAAGGTGAACGAGTGAGCCCGGGGGATCAACCGACGATCCTCAAGGCACGGGGATATGCTGGGATCCGACTTGAACATGCCATCGCTCGGCGACGAGTGATGAAGATGAGGTCAAGCAACGCGAGCAGGTTGATGGAGAGCCCATATCTCCCTCTCTTCCTGTGCAAAGGTGGCAGAGATGCTGGTAAGGGAGCATGGCTGGGGTTGGGTCGCCGTTGCTGATTCCCAGTGCGCAGTCATTCAGATGCAAAGGAGGCGCCTGTGGAGACTTGGACTGCAGAACCCGGTGAGGCGAAGGGAAGAGAGACCTCCTGTGACTGAGAGGCTCCTTGTGGGACAGGAGAGACTTGGGGAGGACGAGGGCCCGCTGCTCGAGACTGAGCAGTTGTTCGAGCCGGACAACTTGATTCGACTCCAGGTCCGTCCGTGGTTTCTTCTCTTGTGTGTGCCCTGCCTTCCATGCTTGGGGCGATTTCTTCATATTTGGCTGCTGTCGTGTATTACTTTGCTCCTCGAGCAACAGCGACTGAAGGGCTGGGGCAGGTGAACGACTGGAAACCCCATCTGGACGTGGGGGAGAAGGAGCAGACGCTGTTCATCGACAAGATGTTGAGAGAGCAGACGGCAGCGGTGACGGAGGAGCATTGCGGGAATGACATGACGGATGACTGAGATGGCAGGGTCGTCTGAAACTCCTCGTTGAGTCCAGTGGGAAACTTGGAGAGAAGACTATTGAACAATGGAGGCGACACCTCAGCATCATCTCCCAAAAGATCCGGGCGCTCCAGGAGCATTGCGCTGCCTGCGATTCGGAGGAGGTGGATCGTGAGGCCGGTTGCACGTTGAAGCAAGTTGAGACTTGCAGCCTGAATCGTTTTGAAGATGAAATCATGGCTGCCATCAACAACATCGACGACGTGTGCTCTGCACTCTACGACTTCAAGGAGGAGGTAAGAGGCTCCCCTGCGTTCGGTGCTGCTGGGCTGACCAGGTTGAGAAGGAAGAGATGGGCGTCCCGGTGGAGTGCACTCAGAGATACCTCTACCTTGATGTGCCAAACATTCCCCGCCCTCTGCCTGTTTGCTGAGTATCTTGTAGATGGCCATAATGGGCTGGGAGTTCATTTTCTCATCCCTTCAGGAAGATTCTCAGGATTGCATCTTTGACGGCTCGTTGCTCCCGGAGGGCTTCCCCAGCAACGGCAGCATCGTCGAGCCGGCATCCGTCTCCTCCCCCATCATCTACAACTTCAGGCTCAATCACTCCGTCGTCCCTCTCAACAGGTCGAGCAAGCTCATCATGGGTAATGACTCGAACTTCCAGCTCTGCGCCTTTGAGAGGTGACGAGTCTCCTCTCCCTTGTGGGGCCTGAAGGAGTTTTCCTGCAGTGAGGAGACGGTCCTGGATTTCGCTTTCCTCCATTCGGTCCCTGTCGACCCGTACGAGTCTGTTGGCTAACCTCCCTCGCCCAGACTCTCGGCGACTGCTACTTCGAGCGGGTGCTCGGACCTCCGTACGCCCGCGTCTTCACCCGCGATGATCGACAGCAGAACCTCAGGAGGGCGATGAAGGTGATTCCATCCCCTCCCCTCCTCGTCCCTCCTCCTCGTCTCTCATCCTCTTCCTCCTTGTCCCTCCTCCTCGTCCGTCCTGACGAGTTGTGCCAGCACTACGACAATGCCAGACAACTGTTTCTCATGCAGAACCCTTTACATTGGGCAAGATGCAACATCGGAATTGCGCAGTGCCTCCTCCACCTCCCCTTCCCCTATATCGTATCTTGTCGACTCTCCGCTCTCCTCTTTCTGTAACCCACCTTGAAGGACGAGCAGTTGCTGCGCATTGAGCGCGAGGCGGACGTGGGCAAGATGAGGTTGGATGTGGGGGGCAACAGGAAGGGCGACAGGGCGAGAAATCTGCTGCTGGGTTAGCGATGTTTTGCTGTTCTTCTTGTCACTCAGTTCATCAGCCTTCTGCCTGCTCCATGAAGCCTCCGTCCTCCTTGAGCCTCTCCGAACCAAGCTGTCCGTCCTCAAGGACTGGGCGCAGGTGAGACGGGAGGCAGCCAGCGCAGACTAACTGACGGCTGGGTTCGCGACAGGCCAAGTACACGATGACGTCTTGCTTGCTGGAGATGGGAGCAGGTGTAACAGATCTCATGGTATCCTTCTTGACTGATCGTGTGCCTTGGAGGAGCAGACGGAGCGAGCCGCCATGTCTACGAGGTGCTCACATACCTTGAGGAGAACCGGGTCGAGTTGCCCGAGGATCAAAGTATCCTAGCTCTCGTGGGAGCGTCGCAACTGACGTTGACTGCAGAGGCATACATCCACCGTCAGTTAGTCTTCTTGAAGTGCTCGAAGTAAAGTGCAGCCTTAGAGACTGAGACCCGACCGTGTTTCCCGTCTAACATCTTTACTGCCTTATTCATGATCATGGAACTATCTAGCAGCCCATCCTCGATAAGTCGAAGATGAGAGGATATCCGACCTAAGTTTAACATTTCGAGCCAGCGCAGCTTCGATCATCCATCAAAAAAAGCTCAAACACAGAAACAATCCAACTTCTTCGACAGATCGTGTTCCCACATGTTGTCCTCGATGCATCACCCTCTGACTCTTGACAGAAAACCTCAAATCTTGTACTTTGCCTCCTTCTTGTTCCCATCGCTTTTGTTCTTGATGCTCTGGAGCGCATCGTTGTGAACGTGGTACTCGATGGAATCCTCGGGGACCTTGAAGGTTGTCACAAGTTGACACACCAACTCACTTCTCACCTCGGTGCCCAGGCACTCAGAGATGGCAGCTTTGAACTGTTGACCGATCTCCCGACATGACTTCTCATCGTCAGCAGACTTGGTCCAGACTGCCACTCTGTCTCCCGCCTTGCGCAAACTTTGGAGAAACAAACAGTCATCTCGACCTCACGCAACATCAAGCAAGACGTCTCAATCACCTGATGACAGCTCCGCAAAGCTCATCCCCAGCGTCGAAGTTCTCTCCGATCATTGCGAGAACAGTGTAAAGCCACATGTCATCAATCAGCTTCTTGCCATCCTTCTTTGGGATGCTACAGAAATCAAGTCAGGATCCGTCCTGCTCTGCCTGCAAGCCGGCATCACCTGTACGTCCACTTCCCCCCATTCATGTTCGTCGCATGTTCCCAAGTCGGCTCGATGCCAAGCTTGAACAAGTGATAGTTCGAGCCAGGATTGAGACGCGAGGGAGGACGAATGTTGTTGAAGATTCCCCAAAAGTCCTCGACCACGTCAAAAGTCGCAACCTGTTCCATCCCCAGTGTCAACGCACCAGCAGCTCCGCTTGCTCAACTTCATACTGCTCACCTTCTTCAAGTTCGAAGACCAGTCCTTCGCTCCCAGACGTTTGACTGGGTTGTCGAACCACAACACCCATGCGTTTTGCAGCGGATGCTTGACAGTGAGCTCCGACGAAGGCGCTGCTGCCTGATCCTTGTCATTCTGTGCTTCTGATCTTTCAGACATTGTCCTTTGACGTTGTATGTCCTGCTTGATTCCTTTCAATGTTCAGCGATTGTCTTGTGTCTTCTGCAAAGTTTTTTGTGTCGTTGAGAGGTAGTTCCTAGTACTCTTGAAGAAACAAGTGCTCCTTCACAAACTCAAGCAGGCTTCCTGAAAAGGGGAAGAGGAGTTAATCAACCATCGAGCTTACAAGGAAGTAAAGCAAGCAAGCAAGCAAGCTTCGTCCATGTCAAATATCCTCACAGCCCTGCACTTGAATTGAAGCATGGCCGGCAATGCACATGACTCCCAGCGTACCTTTTACACACAGCAACTAATCCTTTCCTTCCCTCGCATTCAAACTCCTGTCAAGAGCTGACTGTGCTTGTTGCATCCCTTGATTGACAGCTGTCCTCTTCTAAAATCCATATGACAACCTGTCCCTGCGCTAACCATCTCCCGCTAATCATGTGCCCCTTATCACGGATGAAGTTGCCATAGCCTCGACTTCTTCCTCATGCACCTGCTTTAATCTGTCCTCCTCCTCCTCCTCCCCCTCCCCCTCTCTCTCTTCCTCCTCCCTCCGCTGCTCCAACCCTGCCATCCTGTGGCCACATCAGCCCGCGCCCATCCCCTTCGGCGCTGCAATAATTCCGTCAGGGGAACCTACTCACTACTCTTTGAAAACTGTTTGAAATCTTTCGGTCCGAATTAGATTCTATCAAGAAGAAAATGACTGTTTGAGCACAGTTTTAGGGGTAATTTTCATCGAAACTTCAACCCCACCCCCACCCCAGGGTGGTATCACTTCTGCTCCTCGTGCCATAACGGTTTCCTACATTTCCTGTAACGGGTTCTCACCCCGCGGAAGAGGTCTTTGATCACCCCACCCCTCCAATTCAAGCTACGAACAACTACCCCTACCCCTACCTCACCTATTGTTTATCACCCTACCTTTCTTTTTAAATCTTTTATAGCTAAACTTGGTGGGTACTCTAATTACCCCACCCTCAAATTGTCGCGGATCGACCTACCAGTTGCAGGTGATACCCCACCCACCTTCCCCCCCGGAGGGCACAGTCGTTTCCCGGGTTTAGACATATAACAGAAATTTTAATTTCTTGTTACAAAAATTATTAATTAAATAATTTTAAACCTACTTTGTCCGGTTGGTTGTACCAACCTTGTACATATAAAATAATATATTTATGACCCATGCTTTCAATCGGTATACCATAACCAAATTATAAATATTTTATATTAAAAAATTACTCGGACTGAGTCCGACGGCCCGGCCGGGCCCCCCCGTCCGTCCGAGCCACCACGCCCGACGAATTTCAACGCTCGCACAATGCCAGGAGTTCGTTTTGGGGGAGAAGCGCCGGGAATGGGGGAGAGAAGGTGTGATGCACAGCCGTACCAGCCTCACAGCATCATCATCATCCTCCTCCTCGCACTTGCTGCTGTTGCATAAGTTCTCGTCTCGTTTGATATCTTTGTTTCCATCCCACCCATCTCTCCCTCACTTTTTAAAAGTACGAGCCTGACGTCTGGTTTTTGAGCAGGTCTACGTCGAGCAGCAGAAAGGTCTGTATGCAAGTAGATGCCAAAACAGAAGAAGACACTCCACGAGCAAGAACTCCTTCTTTAACGAAGAAAGCAATGGAGCTGTGGGCCCTTGACAGGAAACAGTGTAAGCTCGCTGCTGCCATGGGTCAGTTGAAAGACGGAAAAATCCCTTCGCATGCTGATGTCCTACTGGAAGCTCTTGTAAAACACGAGTCGGAGATGAATATGCAGGAAGAGAGGGCTGTTGAAAGGGAGAGGAGGAAACGAGAGTTGGACCTTCGAAGACAAAAGACTTTGGAGGAACGGAGAGCAGCGGTTGCGAACAAGCAGGAAGTTATTTTAGAGAAGAAAGTGGCGAGAGCGAACGAGAGAGTTGAAACGTTGGAGATGAGACGGAGGTTGAAGGAGAATGATGAGCAACACTTGCTGGAGCTGAAGGCGACGCAACAACAGTACAGGCGCGAACGTGAAAGGTTCGAGCTGGTCGAGAGAGAATGGATCAAGCAAGATGCGAGGAACAAGAGCATGCAGGAGAGAGAAGCAATTCGGAGAGTAAGATCCTCCTGTCTCGTCAGCAACGAGCTCATCTTGTTGGCAGGTTCATGCCCACCACCGACAGATGGCCGACTACCAGCTGGAGGAGGAGACCCAAAGTGCCCGAAGGGATGAGAAAGTTGAGAGGCTGAAGAGCGAGCAGACGTTGAAGGAGCGGCGAGATCCGCAGGTCATGCGAGCGGATCCCGGGAGCCCAGCGGTGATGATGGGACACAGCAAGAGCGTGATCCCTTACGCCAACCAGCAGAGGCCCTGGGCCTTCCGGTTGTCTCGATGGCAGCATGCAGATTGATGAGCGACTATGGAGGGAGTGATGGAGGCTGTCCAGTCATTGGACAGAAGCTCGTTCTTGAATGTGTTCAGAGCAAAGGAAGTAAAGAAGTTCGTGTTGATAGTAAAGGAGCAAAGAAGGTCATACACATGTGGAAAAGAAGGCAGAGGCGTGGCTTTCTTGGGTCTAGGCGCCACCATTAGCGTTGCCGTTGGCACCTGGCCCGTTGCGACTCACCATCTTCGTTCGATTCTTTTCTCTGCGCGCAAGTCAGCCGGACGGGATTCGAGGCAGCGGAGCCTGATGCGAACCTCCTCGAGACGAGGCGACGGAGGGCGAAGAACGCAAAGATGTGCGTGCCCAGCCAGAGAGCTATGAGGCACAAAATGTTCTGATAGATCTTGAGATCTCCATCGGCCCCCAGCTGCTTTAGAACCTGATCGCCTGTCAGCCTACCGACGGCAGCAAGAGGAGAACGCTCGTCACCTGCTCGCCTGTCATCGTTGGGCAGATACACTTGGGCTGTTGCGGGGTGCAGCTTGGCCCCGTGGTGAGCTCGCTAGGAAGACACGAGAACTCAAGGCCACTTGAAACAAGTCAGCCAGAAGAGCGCACGCAGAAGAGAAAGTCCACCTGAACTCCAGCAGGGCGTAAGCTTCGAAGGCGTACTTCATCGGCGAGATGTACTTGATCCAGTTAAAGTACGGAGGGATCGAGTTTGTGTTGATGAAGAAACCCGAGAAAATCATTAGCGGGAGAATCAGAGGGGGGGCAGCGATGAGTGTTATCCTCAGGTCCGAGAAGATTGAGGCGATGAAGATTCCAAGACCGTTCCCCGCGTTGGTGTTGAGAAGGTGTACCACCAAGAAGAGCCCGAACGTCGCCGCATCGTTCTTGAGTTTCAGTGACCAATACACTATGCAAGCTTGAACGGTGGGAAAGATGATGTTGTGAGGTAACTCAGAGAACACTTTGGGAATAAAATATGACATCACGCTGTACATGCCTAGAGCCTGCTCTCTTTCGAACACAATCTTTTCTTGCGCGAAAGCCGAAAGCATGGAGAAGGCGTTCATGACCATGTTCATAGCAAAGAAAAACAACGCGCCAGTCCTCGCTTGAATGTCGATTTGATAACGCCCCAGGTCATGATAGATGAGTGCCACGATCGATCCCAGTACCAACGCCTGCGCAAGCTTCGCTCGAGCAATCATTGGGTTGCGAACAACATTCTTCATGCTCCGGGCGTACAGGGTACTCATTTGAGAGAGAATTCCTGGACGTAGCTCAAGGTCGTTGACGTTGAACTCAACGGCCTTCGTGGTCGACTTGAGCATCGAGTCCACTTGCGCAGAGCCGTTGTAGTGCTCAAGTAACCTCGTTGTGCGCGCCAGAAGACCTGCCTTGTCACCGTCCTCCTCCATCTCCACGTCATTCAGAACGTTCATGAACAAATGATCCGCTGGGTTCACGTAGGGCGGACACCTTAGTCCTAGCTCGCCGAAGTAGTCCACCATCTCAGCCGCCTTTCCCTGGTACATAATCTCTCCATTGGCCAACACCAACAGGTTATCAAAGCAGTGGAACGTGTCGGAGCTCGGCTGATGGATTGTAGCGACAACTGTCCTCCCTGCTGCTGCCAGTTGGCGAAGGGTGTCGACAACGCTGAAGGCCATGAACGTGTCAAGACCTGTCGTGGGCTCGTCGAGGAAGAGAATTGAAGGGTTCGTGATCAGCTCCATCCCGATCGCACATCGCTTCCTTTCACCACCTGAAATCCCTCCCTTGGCTGTCGGCGACCCGATCCTTGTATTGGAGCATTTCTCGAGATGGAGGATCTCGATGACGTGTTTCACTCTCTCCGCCTTCTCCTCCTTCGTCATACCCTTGGGCAGCCTGAGGTCCGCAGACATCTGGATGGCTTCCCGCACAGTCATCGACGCCATGAGCTGATCATCCTGGAAAACAAACGCGCTGATACGACGCATTGTGTCCACCCCCACCTCTGCGCCATTCACCAAGATCTCTCCTTCAATGAAACCTCCCGCGGACTCTCCAGCAATAGCGTTCAGCATGGTAGTCTTTCCCGCTCCGCTTGCCCCCATGATGGCTGTCAAAGTGCCAGGCTGGAAGACCCCTGTGATGCCTTTCAAGATGTCCTTACTCACCATCTTCTTCTTGGAACCGCAGATCCCTTTCTGAGGGGCGTCGTCGTGAGAGGGCACGAGTACGCGGTAGTATAAGTCCTTGAAGACAACCGATAGCGGAGGACATTCTGATGACTGGAACGACAAGTTTGTCGAAGTCATTGAATCAAGTGGGCCGCAAGGTAACCACGCTAACGGCAGAAAGGAAGGGAACGACCTGTTAAAGAAGTCAAAAATCTTTCATCCATAGTCAATATGATATGGAATCATGTGTTCACAAATATTCAAGTTGTACTCCACAGCTGTCTCCAAACACGCAAAACTCTTCTACAAATTAGTCGCCCACAGTTCAAGCAAAGTTAAATTCCAAACTTTGCAAAGCTAGCTCTCCTCCATGCACTCTCCTCTGATCCCGTTCTGCAATCATTCCATGCACTCACATCCTCTCTCCCTGTTCTCTCTAGCACCATCTCCCTTTACCGCCTGCTCCCTTGTGCTATACTGCCGATGTCCGCCATGGCCATGACTCCATAGGTAGCGTGACTTTTAGAAAATGTAAACATAAAACTGTTTTAGATTTGAACCAGAGTTTATAGAAGCTCATCGGGGCAATTCGAAATTTACTTTCAATGTTTCAAGATATTCGCATTCAAGTAACGTGACCGGGATGGGTATAAGCAGGTAAAAACTACAATAGCATTTTAATATTTTGCTACCTAAAATCAGAGATTATAGCACGATTGATAGAAACTATCTTCAAAAACGGAGCTCTGGTACCGGAGTCAACGAGTGTTGGATACAAAACCGAATGCATGTAGCACTTATAGCATTATACATTGAATCTCAAGATTTGATTTGATTTCGAGGGGACGTGCCGGCAGACATGCCGGATAATCCCGATCATAAATAACAATATTAAAGTGTCAGATTACCACACATATAAAACATTTTACGTTTGTTGATTACCTATGTTGAGTAAAACATCATGAGCGCACCGATAAATCGTGCACGATGGAGCCGCAACGAGGGCGAGGCTTGCGAGCGGCATGGGGAGAGCATAAAGCGGCTTGAGGCGGAGAGAAGAGGTCAAGGCAGAGAGGACCTCTTCTGACTTTCAAGCCACATCACGAATTGCACGATTTGAAATTGCACATCGCACGGTATCCTGTATTCCGCGACCCACGGATTGTTTGGACTGAGTCTGTCTGAAATGCGGTTGTTGATGAGATAAGTTTTAGCGAAATGGACTATCATCATCATTTTACCAAAAGAGATGTATGCGTTTGTCTGACGCTCGTACCTTCTGTTTTAAATGAAGGTGTAGAGATTGTTGACTATTGTTAGAACGTCCAGGAGCCTGATCTGTCCTAACAACTAGCCATTTCTTTCAGCATGCAGGGATCATCTTGTAGCCCTAGATGAGTGTTTCAAGCTTAATCTTGGCATATATACAACAGCCAAATACCTCTTTTGCAACTTCGCTCCGGGCCAATGGAATATATTGCTCGATGGCTGTGGAGGCATACAGTTGCTATCAGGCTGGCATCGATATATGCCTCGATATAGGAGCGAATGCTTTGGGCTGGTCAGGATCTCTCAAGACAAGGAGGGATATGACGTCATTGTAGCCTAGTGTAGACCATTGAACCTTGTTGTCTGCTGGTTGTGGCTCAAGACTGAGTCAAGCTTCGCGAGTTGGGCTGAGAGTCCGATCAGGTCAGTCATCATCAGAGCCTTGAGAGCTTGAGAGCTTGAGAGCTTGAGAGCTTGAGAGCTTGAGAGCTTGAGAGCTTGAGGGGCTGCCACTCATTACTGCCGAGTCAACTTGGCAAGTGATGGAGTACGAGTTTGTTAGGCTTGTACCATGACAAAGTAATCAGTGCAGAAATCAGTTGAACTCAGCTTAGCTCCTTGAGTTGAAAACTTCCGCCAGATCTCGTTGGAGTTCCATTTGATCCTACTCAAAGATCAAGAAAATAAGGATCGAGTTAGCTCCGAGTGTTTTCTGGCAACATGCCCAGTCCACAGTGTAGCTGATTTTCGACCGACCAATCTGGCTGGGGAAAGCCTTATTTTTCCTAGAGAACATTCGAGACCAAACAAATCAGTGTTGCTGCCATGAGAGGCCTAAACAACTTGCGGCTAGAGAGGGAGGCTGATGGATGAGAAGAGTCATCCTACTGTATACGACTGAGACTCTGAGAGACTGCCATGATTGTCGCACTGCATGAACCTGCGGGTGCCGACTGAACAGAACGGCGAACTTCACTTGCTTTGCCTATCAGTGCCCCTCGGTTGAATAAAAAACTCCTACTCCCGGGTCCCTAATACATTCCGATTATGACCGAACGGTTACTACCCGGCGCCGGTGACGGGTGACAGCGCGGCCGCTCAGTTGTGCGGCCCTGGGCCGGCGGCCGGGCCCTCGCCGGGCCGGCCCGGCCCGGCGGGCGGCGGCGGCGCCGCGGCGGGGACTGTCGGCGGCCCAGCCGCCTGGCTACTCACAATAGGGTAGTTGATAGGGTAGGGGTACAACATCAGAGTCACGGGTTTGCGAATGTCCAAGAGTACCCCTTGTTTACTCATAGACTTGCGGATATGATGTGAGGTGGGTACATTCCGTGATTGCCAACGGGGTAGAAATGACGGGGACCAGTGAAGAATGGGGGTAGGGTCATGAGTACAATTTAGGGTAAGAGAATGAACCCGGTACTTCAACAGAGAAATCTTCTGATTTAAAGGGGTAGTCTGGTAGTTCATTTTGTTCAGGTTTTATGCTAGGGGTGGCATATGAAGGCAAATTGGGTAGGGTGGTAGCAGGGATGCGGCTATATATATGAATTCTTTAGGGGGTAGGGTTATGAACTTTCAAGAATTCAGGGGGGTGGTGAAGAGGAAAAGGAGCTATTTGGTGGGGCACTTCAGGGAAAGATGAGGGTGGGGGTGAAGATGTGCCCTGGGTATTGAAAGTCAAGAGAAGGGGTAGGGTAGAGGTGGTCAAAACCTCTGGAGTGCATTATTATTAGGAAATGGCCGACTCCGGGGGGCGCGGTGGAGAGAACTAACCTTAGGAAGGGAAGAGAAACAAGGATGAGAGATTGAGGGCAGGGACAAGGAAGGGAGACCAAGAAAGAGTGTGGAAGAAGCGATGTGATGGATAGGATGCAGCAACATGGTTGCATGAGATTGTGACAGCATATGAACGTACAGGGCCAGGACAGGTCTACCTCGTTAGAAATTCAGGAGAAGTGAGCAAAATTGCATGAGTGGACTCTGCAACTCAGATGAAATAATTTTGTTGTGAAGGAATATTGGAATTTCCCTCTGAATGGTGAAAGATCGAGTTACAGTGGAGGAGAAACAGAGATCCATGTTTGAGCCTTGGGCAGCTTCATAGTTGTATTCATCCAAAACTTCAAAATTCCAAGCATGTTGAATGATCTAGGTTGTGATTCTTTCATGGAACTTGTCTGCCATGAAGCTCTTTGAACTTCCTGCAAAGACAGCAACTTCCTCATATCTCCCGTTATGAATGAGTATCGCTCGCAGATGTTCAATTCCTTCATCTCCTTCTCACCACCACGTGCAGGAGATATGGGACCTCGGCTGAAGCTCGTGCTTATGGCTGCATTCCTGATGACGACAGCTCAGCTGCTGTTCGTCTATCAAGGAGGCATTTTTGCCTCGGAAGACTCCCTCCTTCAAGGCTATCGCAGCAGGATACAAGAGCGACTTAAGAGGACCAAGAGCGTGCATGCGGCTGAGGTGTGTGAAGAGACTTACGGGCTGTTTCCCTGCTCCTCCTCTCTTCCTGGCTCGATCTTCCTCTGTCTCATGTATGGAGCGCTGCTGTTGAAGGGAGCAAACCTGATCAGCGATGGCTCGGAGCTCTTGCTGGAGGTTCTGGACCCAGGACTGATCGGAGGCCTTCTCCTCCCTGTGCTGGGAGCGCTGCCAGACTCTGCAATGATCGTGATGAGTGGTCTCGGAGGAACTAGGGAGCAAGCGAAGGAGCAGGTGTCAGTCGGTGAGAGGTCTTGCTGCTGCCTGGTGGTCTGCCTCACGGTCTATTCAGGTATCGGAACCTTGGCAGGAAGCACCATCATGCTCCTCTCCATCGCCTGGGGAGGATCGCTGGTGACCTGTCCTTGACCTCTTGTGAGCTGAAAGGCTAACGTGATTGCAGTGGGTAGGACGGTGTGACATCCAGGATGGGATGGCGATCGATCGCAGGCTCACCCGCAGCTTCGACCTGACCAACACGGGCGTGACAACGGACGAGAGCACGAAGCTGAACGCCTACATCATGATGGCCTCCGCCCTGCTCTACCTGACACCTCAGATCCCCACCTTCATGGGGGAGGCTCACGACCCGTCCGCCGCTGGGCTCGGAGGAATCCTTTGTATCGTTGCGCTGGCAGCGTATTGTGCGTTCCAGGTCTTGTGGCCTGAGCTGCAGAAGAAGAAGAAGGAGGCGGCGCACAAGAAGTTCTTGAAGCACAGCGCCATCATCCTTGCAAGTGAGTTCGCCAAGAACGCAGGGACTATCCTTGTTGCTGAAAACGGAGAGCTGCGTGATGACGCGCTAAAGTGTCTCTTTGACAAGTATGACACGGACAGGGTGAGGCGACTTCTGACGTCGGTCATGACCTGAGCGATGACGGCATCTGCGCAGAGCGGGACGATAGAGAGAGACGAGCTGAGGAAGATGATGATGATTCTGTCTCAGTCCGCCAGCACTCAAACATCGATAGGAGAGATCGACGGAGATCTCGAGTACCTGATGCAGGTAGGAATCAGAGTTTCTTGCAAGCTTGCTCATCACGCCTTTGCGATAGGAGCTGGATGCCGACGGTGATGGGCAGATCACGTTTGATGAGATGAGAGGAGGGCTACGGAGGTGGCTAAGGGACCTCGAGAAGGAAAGGAAGTCACAGTGAGAGCAGATGCACTGTTCGCCATGGCGTTGACGGCCATTCTCAGGGGAGGGTTGCATGGAAGCATTGAAAGCACCCCTTTGCTCGTTGCGGGCGCAGACCAAGAAGAAGCAGAAGAAAGCGACGATGAGGAGGAAGGAGAGGAGGCTCTCACGCCACGTCAGGTCGTCATCCAGATGCGGACAAGAATGGATGGGGACTGACGGCACTGCAGATTTACATGAACTCAGCCAAGCTGATGATAGGAGGAACATTTCTTGTTGCCCTCTTCTCTGACCCGATGGTGGATGCTGTGTCCTCGGTGCGTGGCCGGGTTGAGGAGGAGAGTGAGATCGGGATTGACAGGAATGTGCAGTTCTCAAAAGCAAGCCACATCCCTGCTTTCTTCGTCTCTTTCTTAGTGACTCCATTTGCCTCGAATGCGTCAGAGCTTGTACAATCTCAAGATGTTCAACAACTTTGGTATGACCATGATCCTCAGGTTAGCAGCCTGCAGTTTGCCAAGAAGAAGAAGAAGAAGAACATATCCCTCACTTACAGCCAGGTTTCCCCATCTCACTTGACGTGGTCTGGCCTTGATTGCTCTCTAGGTCTACGGGGCAGTCACCATGAACAACACCATGTGCTTGGGCCTCTTCCTCCTGGTCGTCTGGTATCGCAACCTTGACTGGAACTTCTCCTCGGAGGTTCCCACTTGTTTCTCTTCCTCAATTCTGTGACCCTCATCCAGGTGGTTACTACCATGAGCATGATCTTTGCCCTCGGCGTCGTGGCCTGCACGCGAGTTACCTTCCCTCTCTACATGGGTGAGTCAGTGTCAGGATCATGGGGGAGCACCGAGTTGTGCCTGACTTCACCGCAGCTTTCTTCTCCCTCTCCCTCTACCCCATCGCCCTTGCGCTGGTCTACTTCCTCGACTACGTCGTCGGGTGGCAGTAACAGTGATGACGTTATCGGGTCTTTATTCCCCGACTGTTGGATGTACAAATCTCCCTCAGCTAAACCAGTTGTCAATAAGTCTATCAGTTAATACACTTCACGATCGCCATCAGAGCCTCTTGAGGCTCCTTTTCTTGTCATCCTTCTTCTTTTCCTCTTTCTTGCCCGCAGTTGAGATGCTGCTGGGCTTCTCCCCCCCGATGCTCTCGATGTTCTTCTCAGTCGGAGCACTCTGAGCAGACACATCAACCTTCCGACAGCCCCAACAAGTTTCTCCTACCTCCCTGGTCGCATGGATCTTCGTCATAAGCTGTGCCCGCTGGAAGTACGACTCGTAGTCCTCCATGAAGAGCCTTCCAGCCTACAGTCAAGTCAACAGCGCCCTCATCCTGCGGCAATTCCTCAGACCTCCTCGTTGAGAGCGGACTCAGGGTTCGGCTCTATCAGCAGGCATCGAACCACCTGCTTAGGAGCTGAGCAGATCAAGCGCTAAGTCTCAACACAAACCATCAAGATGTGGCCGAGCTTGCAGTCAGACTTCCAGTCCTTCTTGAGAGTATTCACACAGATCTCTCCGTTCTTGGCGATGTTCGGATGAAAGATTGGTGTGATGAAAAAGCCTTTCGGCGGCGCAGATGGGAAATCAGGCCCGAACACGAGCTTGATCTTGAAAACTCCTCCATGGAATGGAGTTTCAGCTGCAGATCCCCTCCATGTAAGACAACAACTTCCACAAAAGAGGAGATGTCAACCTGGTCCAGAGATCTCCGCTCTAAGATCAGTGACGTTCTCTTCGTTCACTTGCAGGGTGACATCTGAAACCGGTTGCTTGGTGTAATCTTTGACCTCCTTGATCAATCTATTCAACACAGATGAAGAAATGTTCTCGTTGGTAGCCTGCAGGAACACCCTTGTCAGACACAAGGCTAGACATTGGTTGATATGTGGGAGCAAAATTTGAACAGCATCAGAAAAGAAATCCTCCTTTTTCTTTTTGACGTCCTCACGAAGTCAACAGTGAATGGAGAGCCAGCGAGCAAGTCATGTGATTTCAATGAAGAGATTGAACTAGATGTAATCCCAAAGACCACCCACACGTGTCCTCAAAGAAACAGAAGAAGGGCCAATACTTGCGTCAACACTTTGTTGTGACTGCAGTGAAGTGTGGGCGGCAGAGAGAAGGATCATCGAGGAGGGAAGGAGGAAACGTAGTAGAAGCCACTCAGAGAGAAGAGGAGGGGGGGGGGGTACGAGGGAAGCAGCAGCAGGTTACCATGGTGTCTTCAGGCAGTGGGGACGCAGAGCTGGTTGTATCGTTCACCCCCTAGGGCATGAAAGTTCCGTTGGCCGCTCTCTAAAAGAAATTTTGTCATTCAAATGGACTCCCAAATATTAAATTTTGACCCCTAAATTATGAGCACTTTGTTCGTGAAAAGTTCAAATTTGCATACTGAGTTCCGAAGTTTACAAGCTATATTATAAGAATAATACGTACTGGTACTGATGGCCCTCCACCGTCACATTTCAGTACCAGCAAAAACTTATAAATTCATTGCCACTGCTGGTACAAAACCCTGTGGTGGACTCATAACCTGAACAAGAGGCTTCGGAACTCGGAACGGCAGTGCTCAGGCGCCGGGCCCGGCGGCACTCCGCCCGGCCCCCGGCCACTGGACGGCGTACTGCCGGGCGGCCGCGGTACGAAGTACCGGTTCAGTACCGTGACTCAGTCAGGCCGCTGGCCGGGACTCCTCCGGAGTCCGACTCAGCCGCCGCTTCGCACTGCGCGCGGCCCGGGCAAGCCGCTGCCCGCCGGGCCGGCCCCCGGGCCCGGCGCCAGGGCGGGCCGGGCCGCGGGACAGGCTCCGAGGCCCCGAAAGTCCGATCGGAGTGAAATCAGTGACTCTGTGAGCCTCGGAGCGGCGGCGCCGGCCCACCAACGGCAGTGAGGCACGGGGGCTGTTGCCTCCTCGCCGCCGCTCGTTCGCCGAGTCGGACCGTCCGCCGCGCCGCCCGGGCACGGCCCGGGCCGCACTGAGCGGCATTGGCCGCACAGCCGGGAGTCGTTGTGACTCACAGAGTCAGTGAACTACCGTAGTAGTACCTGGGGCGTCCGACTCGCCGAGTTGCGAGTCGGACTCAGAAGCTGCTCTCAGTGCCCGTATGATTAAGCTGACAGTGAAGCTTGAACGTTTTACATTGACGCCATCCGACAAGTTCCTAACTAGCAAGATTTTTCTCCGCGGAGCTCCCGCGCCTCCCAGCCTCCGGCTGAGCGGCCCTTTCAAAAGCCAAGTCGCTCCACGATATCTTGCACTTCTCCATCCTTCGGGCATCGAGCTGTTCCTCCGACATGATGGCTGATCTTTTGGCAGCGGAGCAAGTGAGGAGGGAAGGCAATCATTTGATCCCGCAGGTTGATCTCAAACCCATTGACCTCAACTTCGGGATGGACAGACCACGATCCCTTCCCTGCATGATGGTCGAGCAACGCCACGTACCCAGGAAAGCTGTACTCCACCAAGTCGTAGGGAGCTTCGCTCCATCGGGCCGGAACCAGCTCAGGAGAGACAACGCTCTGCAGAGATTTAGAGAAGAAAGTTGCCATCCAGGAGAAAGTCGAGCGAGAGAGGATCATGTGCCTTGCTTGCACGAGCTCGTACAGGTCTTGCATCGCCGTGCTCATCACGGTTTCTGCCATGGGAAAGATATCCTTGAGGTAGCCGAGGCAGGGATTGAGGAGGGAGGAGGAGGGCTCGGTAATCAAGAAGACTCGAGAGCCAGGATACATGGTCAGGTGGACAGCGATGGCGACAACGTAGAAGGCAAGGGGCGGCTGCCACATCCCCTTGCCAAGGATGTGAGTGAAGGAAATCCTTCTGAGTACATCTCCTGACCTTAGATGGACGCAGAGGTCATCGCCCCGGGCTCTGGTGGGGAAGGGAATAAGAACTTTGTAGACCTGACCCCTGAAGAAGTTCCATGTCACGTTCTTGTGGAAGTCAAACTCTTGATTGAGGCCGTTGCGGTGGGCATAGCAGTCGCCAAATGCGCTACAGTCTTCCACCCACCTCTCGTGAGGTAGGCACGCAGCTCCGCTCAAGCTCTCTGGTCTCATGAATCCTCCGAACACGTCGAATGCTGATGCCATCTGGTTCTCCACCATCAGCCTGCACGAGTACCAGGGCTCCTCCTGCCGTATCCGTGGCATCCTGATCAAGGTTGCGTTGGACATGAGAGCCACGTGATGGGCTAAGGCTAAGGTCAGGAAGGTGTTCCCCCACCTCCCGTCAAAGAAGTGAATAGAAAGGATGCAGTCATCCTCATTGGCGGACCTCTGTCCGCTCAAGACCTCTCTTCTCCGGAAGATGATGCGCTTTGACGCGTTTGCTGATATTAACGACTCAACATCTTCAACAAACACTTCGACCGTTCGATCCCCCACAAGATCTCGGGGCAATACTACAGATACGCATGATTTCTTCTCCATGGTTCTGGCTCGTCGAAAGTGTCTGATTGCCACCAGCTCACCATCAGCAAGGACTTTCGCCACAAAGTCAGTCATGGCGTCATTCCAACGTTCACATCGGCTCCTGTATGGCCAAGACACTTCAAAAGATACAACGTGTCCTGCTGCCCCCGTGTTCGAGATTGGCTCCAGCGGACCTCCCTCAATGCGAAGCATCAGATTGCAGGCAGAGCAGGTTCCATCCAGCACGAGGGTGTTGTAAACGTCGGAAAACATCAAGATGTTTGACTCATGGTCGTACAGCATCAAAATCCCGGTGTAGTTGCCGCACTCGACCTCAAACAAGAACGGGTCTGAGGCAGATCCCTTTCTGCAGGTGGTGCTCTCGTAAACGGCCTTGTAGTTCTGGTCCAGCAGCATTTCTACCCGATACGGCAAACATTGATCTCTGTGTGCTGTTATGAATGGATGAGATACATAAAACCTCCAAGGATGTACTGCATGCCCGTCTTCCACGTCCACAAAGTAAAGTTGCCCAAACTCAGCGTCAGATCCTTGCGATACAGTCTCCTCCATGTCAGCTTGGGAGCGAGGCCCTGTATTGATGCTGGCATGTGACGATACTCTGTCATCATCGTTTGTGCATGTCAGGCCGTCATCCATTGAGAGGTCCAGGTTTGGAATAGAATCTTTCTCCCTCCTTTGGGGATGGTGAAATTCCGCCTTCGAACCTGCCTGTTCTGCATGCAGGACGAGGGTGAGGACGCAGAATAAGAGGAGGATCAAGATACTCTCCATGTATCTGTTGCTCTGGAACATTCTGAGAAACGTTCGATGCTCGGAGAATCGCTCTTGCCTTCTCCGTCTGCTCCTCACATTGTCCCGCCGCCTCCAGCTACCACCCTCCAACAACTTTCAAACTTTGTTCATTTCTGAGTTGATGAAAAGAGTGTACAACTTTCAGCGTCGAAACTTTGAAACTTGGAACCCTGTCAAACCTTTCAAACGATCAGAGTTCAAAACTCCGAACCTCACCGTGACTTGGATTCCGCAAGGAGGCAAAAATCTTCAAGTGAGGCCGCATGACCCTAAAACATTATTCAAAACATCTCGTTTCGAGTCACAAGATGACGATGCACCCAAATCAGTGTGTCGGCCTCCAAGGGTACATGAGGTATGAATCGTTGTGTAAAATGTTTCTTTCGCGATCTCCGCGTAACTGAGTGTCATCATCTCGAGGTGAAAGATCTTATTTTAGATGTGCCTAAGCGATCTAGAAGCCTTGCTGACATAAGAGATCTGAAACGATGACTTATTGATATCTTTCTTCATTACTGCACACACAGCATCACATTCGGGAGGGGTCCATATTCGGGTAAAATTGGGGGTAGACATAATTTGAAGTGACAAGTAAATGTGACCCTCGAAGATCTGATCCTCACCCCACCCCCTGTCTTCCACTACCCACCTGCAGATTACTCGTATCTTTCTGCTTCCAGAAAACCTGAGTCACATCTTCAGATACTCTAATTGAGGTACCATACAATTGTGGAGATCCCGTCAGGAAAAGGCTCCATGGGCCAAACCACCCCCTCTTGCTATAACCCCCCACCCCATCGCTGAGTCTGACATACGGAATATCCACTCTTGTTGCTAGACTTCACGCACACCTTTCCTGCGCCGCGCGTAGACGTGATAGTCATTCCTTACTCGTCCCCTCCTCTTCTTCCCACCCCATCCCTTGAACGACTAGAGAGCAAGTTGTCTACCTCCCACCCATACCTTCTCCTTAGCTCGTGCTGTTTATCTGAGCATCTTCGTCATTCGATTCGATTCAAACGAGCTTTCCGACATTTGGAAAGTTTGAAAATCAAGAACGAAGAAACTTGACTGGTTTTGAGAAATGGCACCCATCAGTGTTCTCCGAGACAAGAGAAGCGTTGCTGAGATCACAAAGAAGTTTGCTATACCTGATGTGAGCATCGATTTCTGCAGTGACGACAACGAAGATAGTTTGAAAGACGTCGAATCCTCGCCAAAGCAAGGGAAAACCCCACCACGTGTACCAAAACTAGACTCATTGGCCGATGCTATTCAGAGATCACTGCTGGGATACACATCACCCAACACATCACCGAGGAAGTGGGAGGAATGGTACGAATTCCACAACAAGTTCGATGTTGTGTTTGATGACCACGAGGCTACCTGCTCTCCCAAAGAGTCCAACCGACCCTCAGTTCACCAGAGAGAGCCAGCACAAGACCACCAGGAGAATCAGCATGTCAAGAAAGTCTTGCCTCCCACCAGACCTAGGGAGACGCTAGCCCGGTGCCTCTCGCCGCAGAGGCGGGTGCACACTGCTCCCACCGAGTGCAAGTCTGAGCGGCAGAATGTGGAGGAAGAAAGGAGGGTCCAGCGGTCTGTATGCAAGCTGGAAGGAAGAATGGAGCTGAGAGAGCGGGCGGACTCCTTGCAAGGCCTCAGTGTGCTCTGTCGGCTAGATTCGAAGGGGAATTTCTCGATTTTCTCAGCAAAGAATCTGTCGGATTGCATTGGATCGTTTCTAGTAAGAGACGTCATTGTCAAATCGAGAAGCGAGAAGGAACATCTTCTCATACTGGAGCCCTGCGACGATAGAAATAACATGGACACGCCTGACAAGGATGCGATTCATCTCTTCTTCAAGCAAGTCACTGATCGGAACCTGTGGATGGAGAGGTTGATAGTTGCCGGTGCCAAGAAGGTCGAAAGCATTCTACCGACCTTTCAACCCAGAACACTTCGAAGAATGCATTCTGCGGGATGTCAAGCTGAAGCTTCCGACAAACCCTCCCCACCGCTGCGAAGAAAGTCGTATAGTGCCATAGAGAGCAGAAACCGAGTATGAAGACTCACTCTAGCACCACTTGAATATTTTTTACTGATTCAATCATCTCTTAAGCTAAGATTCGTTATAAACACGACAAAATGTGCTCTGTTTGAAAATGCACCTTGATTTATTCAGAATCTACTGAAACATCCGGGAACGATATCTTCCCCACAACTTTCTCTGGGTCGTCCAGTCCACGAACATGGGCATCCTGAGAACCGAATGGATGTCAGAACTTGTGCTATGGGCCGGTAGATCACTTTCCTGAAGACGTTGAAGGATACCCTGGTGAGTCTTTCCGTTGCTTGCAAGCATCTGCGTATTTCATTCACGCGTGACGAAGCCAGTGGAAACACTTACAGCTCTTGTTGTAAGCTGGTAATCGCTCCCTTCAAGATCTATCAAGCAATGCCAGCATCATTGAGAATGAAACTTCTATCAGCAACGAAGATACCGGTCAAGCGGCCTCCTGCCTCTCGGAGGATGACAGCACCGGCTGCTGTGTCCCACGAGTTGAGGTCTGGCTCAAAGTATGCCGTCAACCTGCCACAGGCAATCCATGCCAAGTGCAGAGCAGCCGACCCAAGCATGCGGATCGACCGGCAGTGAGGCATCAAGGCGTTGATCCCTCTCAAGGAGGGCGCTATCGACCTCAGGTTCGTTGGGCTCCCTGCCACAATGACCGAGTCCTCCACTGCGCTCTCGCTGCCGCACACGATCCTCTGGCCGTTCAGGAACGCCCCACAGGATAGCTTGGCATGAAACAGCTCATCCCGAAAGGGATCGAGGATCACTCCCACCACTGGCTTCCCTCGATGCGCTACCCCTATGGAGATCACGCTCATCGGCATCCCTTGCGCGAAGTTGGTGGTGCCATCGATGGGGTCAACGACCCAGAGCCACTCCGAGCTGATGAGTTCAGAGAGAGCCTGAAGCATGCTGGTGACGATTTCGCACAGCATGCTGCTGCCATACCTTGGAGGAGGCGGCAGAACCGGGATCAACGCTCTCCTCACCGAGGAACTTGTGAAGTGGAAACTGCTTCAGAACCTGGTCGAGGCAGAGCAAGTCAACTCGTCGTGCATCCCTCTTTCAGAAACTTCACCTCATCCTCAATGATTTTCTGGCAAATCGGATCGATTTCCTTCCGAACAGAGAGAATTCAGCCTCAGCTCGTTCTCAGTCGAACATGAGACATGTCACCGTGAGCAGGTCCTTCTTCGAAGCCTTCGTTTTCTTCACATCTGCCCCGAGTCCCTTCTTCATGGCTCTGAGCTCACCGTGACTGAAATAATCTCGATGCTTGACGGAAAACTCACTCTCCAGCACTAAATGCGGCCTTCTTGGCGGTAGCTAACACAGTCTCCATGATATCCTGCGAGGCTCTTTCATTCCCAACACGTCGGTAAGCTCGGAATGAACCTCAGACAATGCTTCTTGGTTGTTCGCAACCGCATTTACTCCTCCCCTGAGTCTTTGGGGGTACCAATGGACATCGAATACTCTCGATTTCGCCATGAAAGAAGGAAGGCTCCCGAAACAGAAAGAATTCGCTGCAGAGTTCATCAAGAACCAGGAACGACAGAACTGCCCATCCTTTCCACCATCCTTTCCCCCCGCGAAACCACCTTTGTTCCTTCTCACCTTGCTCCACCATGATCGCCGCGGCCACTGCTAGTACAACCTTGGCCGCCATTGCTGATCCTGGGAACAGGTTTACCTCTATAGGCGGGACCTTCCGGAGGTTACTTAGAGGGTCCTATATGATTGAGTAAATATTTACTCAAGTTTTCCTAATTGATTTTCCTAATAGGGACTTAGCGAAAATGCTGCTGCAGTCATCACCATGGAAGGATGTGTAGGTTACAAGAGACTCAGTAGTCGCATCATGTCATGTGCTGGAAAGTGACGTTTTAATGATATCTCCATGAAATAGTCATTCATTTCACACCCTTCCTATGTTAATATCTCATTCCGTTTGCGTTTTCTTGAAGCTGACTGCGATTTTCTTGAAGCTGACTGCGATATCCATGCGGCCTGCTTCGAAGGCCTCATGAGGTCTGATACAGTCATCCATGACAACTCAGAGAATCGTCCCTCTGTCGCCTCCAGTCCTCTCAATCTTGTGACTCGCTCGTATTCCTCAATCAAGAAATTCTCACATTGCTGATATATGAAGTCTGCTTCTTCCCGATCTGGATCGCTATTGTAAATGTTCAAGGCTCTTGCTTCTCTTTCTATCACTTTGATGAGGTATCGCAAATCACTCAGCCTTCGACCGTCCGAGGTTGCTGGGGAGAAATCAGTGCCCCTCACTTCTTTGAAAGGTTTATGTCCTCGCTCTGCATTTCCAAAGTGCCAGAGAATCCATACGTCATATGTCTTCATTCCTCTCCAGTCATGTTGTGATAGCGGGATGGCATCGGATGCTTCAACTTCGCCTGCTTCGCTGGAGGCTGCCTCGCTTGCGGCAGCCCCGCCAGTCCTCTCCCTTTCTGCGTTGTCGCTGCCCTGCCCGTCATTCAAGTTACCACTGCTGACACGTGCGTCCTGCGACGCAGCCGATGGAGGACCCCTGCTCTCGGCTCCCGTCGTCGTTGTCTGTACACCGGATTGACTTCCCCTCCATTCCATCGTGCCGTTTCCTGCCATTTGTAGCAATTCAGGAAAAGCTTCTAGCAATTCCTTGTGCTTTAGTACCAATTCCTTGTTCTTTTGTACCAATTCCTTGTTTGATTGTACCAATTCCTTGTTTGATTGTACCAATTCCTTGTTCTTTTGTGCCAATTCCTTGTTTGATTGTATCAATTCCTCGCTTGATTTTACGATGGCTGCTTCCATCTCTTCGCTCAAGCCGCATTGCAAACCTGCCGCATTGCAAACCTCACCAGGTCCTCTCTGGCTTCTTCTGACCCTATCTGCCTGAAATTCTTGTCGGATAGTGGTCGTTACAGCTGCAGTCAATTCTGTCGTCACAGCTTGAGTCACCTCGCCAGGCAAAACATTCATCTGCTTGAGAAGGCATACATGTGAAGGTATTCCTGTCGCTGTTCGCCCATGACTTTCTATCGTAACATGCTGCCTTAGCGTCTGTACAAAACCTGAATGCAAGAACAGGGTGGTTCGAAACAAGGGGTGATTCTTTGGCATCACCTCTCGAAGAAACTGTTCGTGGTATATCACTGATGCCAACCCAACTTCAACCACGGCGCGCGTCCGCGGTGTTGACACATATGGAAATACAAGTTTCACAATCTCGTTGACTCGTTCTCTGCTCTCCTGATCCGTGGTGTGAAAAATTGGTGGTAAAATTGCAAAATCCGGGTGCTGAGTCGGCAACCCTGAGGCTATTCTTCCCACATGCTGATCGCCAGCTCGTTCATACCTCATCATAGCGGCTATGTCATTCATCCCACAGACCATTCCAACACTGAGTTTCACTTACCTCATATCCGTGTCTTGAATTGCTCCTATCTTCCATCCTGCCCTTACACTGATCGCACCAACGGAAGAAGCAGCGGTGGTTCCGGCTGCGCAGTATGTCGCGCTTCCTTTACGAATACTGTGTGATCCTGTTTCATCATTTCACACTGAAGCACGGTTCTCAATTCCACTTCCTCCATGTGTTAGTACCTAAGTCTCCCACACGCTGACCCTTCTCATCTAGTGCCTGCTGGATATCATGGTCCTTCAGTAATCGCTGGCAGAAAAGCTTGCGGAATCGTTCATATTGTCTTTGACCTGTCCGGCAAGGAAACAAAAAGTAGGTGAATGTATAGGTATCACTTACAGGAAGTATACCTGGAAACAGTTTGCCACGAGCTGCAGTATGATCCGCTCCATAGATCAACCAATAAATCCCTGTATCTTCAGTTATCACATACTACTCCGTAAGGCAACACGGATACCGACCTAAAGCCAAGAACGGGCATATTTCCGGTTTGGTAGGATTGCAATACACGTGTTTTGGATCTCTAGCGCGATCACCTGACTGATCGTCTTTCTGATGAATGACAAAAAATCTGAGAGAGTCTTCAGAAAAGTCCATATGGTTGTACATCAGAGCAGCTGTGTTACTGGACCGACTCATTAGATTCCAGCCAAGAATCATGAACGTTCGACCCCAAATGAACTCTCGGTCTACCTTGGTCAACATTACCTTGCCCAATAACTGGTAGATACAAAAAGGCAGAGGGTCCTTTCCCATGGTCAACTTCGCACTCCTGTCCCTAGCATTCTGCGTGTTGCATTTTTGTTTCAACCCAACATAATGTTCAGTCAAAGCAAGCTGGAACTGGGATAAACGTTCCACTGGCATGTCATAGAAATGTAAAATGTACATGAGTGCGGATCTGTAAGAGCAGCATGTTTCAAAAGAAAGATCAGGTTTGATTCTCAGGCAGTGTGCTATCCAGAACATGAAATGCTGCACTGTCAACTTGTCGAAGTCTATGGGTTTGATATCCTTTTGAGCCAAGATTTCTCTCAAATATTTTTGAGTAGGTAGTCCGTCTTCAATCTTGGTGATTACGTGGTCGGCATCATTCCGGGCTATGTCCGCCTTCATGTCTGCAGTTATCAGGCCCAATTTATCGTCATTTGCAAATATAAATTGAATGAATCGAACCATTTGACCTCGATACATGACACGGGTGCTTCCAGCGAGAGCGTTATTCAAAATAGCAGCTATATCCCGTTCCAGTACCGCGAAATCTTCCATTCTCAACTGTTCAGCTGTAACACTTGTCGTCTTCCGACGCCGTCTAGTATGGGTAGGTTGAGGATCTTGGTCACCGGTAATCGCGCTTGATCCCACTGGAATCGCAGGGACTGCCAGGATCCTGCTAAGTTGCGAGCAGGAGGGCTCTTGCTCGCATGCATTGGATTTATCTGGACTTCCCGCACATATTGCATGGAAATAACGTCGGCATTTCTCGCATTGTCGCACAGGGGATGTAGAGAGATGTTCTTGGTTGATTTTGCATTGCGATGTCTCCTGAAACAAGCATGATGGGGCTTGAGGTCCCATCTGCATTTCTTGCCACTCCGGATGATGGTTTAGTCAAATACAAAATATTTTTCTAGCTTTCTTCTGAGGCAGACTTGAAACTTCTAATATTAAAAATTCCCGGAATAAGTGAGGGGGACTTCATCGCGTGCAGCCCTTTCCGGAGAGCCCGCATTCCCCCGCTTGACCACTCCGGAATGCCCTCATCCAGGCCCTCATACCCTCTCCGGAACACCCTACCTGCTACCCTGACCCTACCGGACCCATACCGGACGTGGGTAGGGTACAGAAAATTATCTAAAATAAATGGATAGGAAGATCAATAGAATAAGTAAATCTTGTGTTGGGGTATGGGTGGTACCCTAGCCAGTGGTTGTTGGGAGGCGGTTAGTTGAAAGTCGATGTTGCCGCCGCCGTCGCTCGTTCGCTATGAGGAGCCCACGATGGCAGAAACGCCTCTTGAGGGGAAGAAGCCCAATGCACAGAACTCTACGACTGAAGATATCTTGAACTCTATTCTCCCCCCAAGGTATCCCCTGCCAAAGTTTCCTTGCCCCACCTTCGCTTGTCCCTGATCAACGCTTCCAGGGAGTGGAATGACGATGGGAAGCATTACATTCAGTACGTGTCTAGCACGCCGGCAACTCGTTTGGATGTCATAAACTTGCAGGTCTGTACTCTATTGACGCTCAATCGCATCCCCTGACTCGGTGTTGCTCAGGAGGAGTTGGACAAGAGATTGCAGCAGCGCCAAGCGCGCGAAACAGGAATCTGCCCAGTCCGCGAAGAACTCTATAGTCAAACCTTCGATGAACTTATCAGACAGGTGAGTCTTGTCGCTACACTGAGCACAGGTAACCTTTCCTCAGGTCACCATTAATTGTGCCGAGCGCGGTTTGCTGCTATTACGCGTGCGAGACGAGATTCGCATGACGATCGCGGCCTATCAGACCCTTTATGAGAGCAGGTGGGTGTTGAAATACAACATCAAATAGTGCTGTTGAACTAGCAAAAGTCGAAGGCATTGCCTGATGATTTTCTGCAGCGTTGCATTTGGAATGAGAAAGGCGCTACAAGCTGAACAAGGCAAGTCGGACCTGGAGAACAGGATAGTGCAGCTGGAGAGCGAGAAGAAGGATTTAGAGAGACAAATCCAGGATCTGAAGGTTGTCATGCAACACTGCTATTGAGCTCATTCTGATTCACAATCTTCCACGGCTTTCAGGCGAAATGTGAGGCGATAGAGAAGAGAGAGAGCGAGAGGCGACAGGTTCGTACATGCTTCTACATGGCAGAGGCTGATTTGATGACAGCTCGACGAGAAGAAGCATGCTGAAGAGGTCCAATTCTTGCGGAGATCCAATCAGCAACTCAAACAACAGCTGGAGAGCATATTGACCTCAAGCGCAGCCAACGCCAAGAAGTAGATTGGTCGTGTGACTGCTCCTTAATATGCCTCTGGTTTATAATTCTGGATCGCAACGCTGATAGTCCTTGCACACTGTAAAGAAGCAGATCTTGGCCTGTTAAATTTTTTAATGCATTATTCAAGCGAGAGATTGTTCGTAAAAATAGTAAGCTACAGAATGATGTCTGTTTCGAGCTTGATACACGGTTACTGTTGCAACGTGACATGGAGGAACCGTAGACCAAGCTCTCAGGGATGTAGTTCATCAAAGCGAGTTGTAAGTAGTAAGCAGGTATTACGCAAATCCTCACACATCCAACCTGTTCTTCCGATTCGAGGATTTGCCCTCATCGTTGAAGATCCTCCAGGCAAACAATGCGGCCATGACCAAGCATGCAACACATGGGACCCACATGCTTTCGTTGTAAATCTGGTGTTGTATATCAAGAAACAACTTCACGGCTGCAACCATGTTTGCCATGACAAAGAACCTCGCAATCACTAAGCGAGATGCCTGCTCCTTGATGAATCCAGCGGACAGAGCAAGGTAGGACGTTGCAAGGAGAAAGCATCCCAGCAAGGTGAAGATGGATGTACTAAATCCGCATCCAGCTAATTTCTCACACTTTCTAACTGTCCTGTCGGTTACGATATCACGGACAAAATCTGCGCTGAAGAGCAGCGAGATTCCACTTAACGACAGGATACAGCCTTGTCCCCAAAAGATCTCACGCATCGGAGAGACAGGGTTTCGTATCTTACTCGTGTTAATCCTTAGCTTTGGGAAGAAGAGGCAGAATGTGGCGTTGGACCAAGGGGACACTCTCGAGAAGAACCACGGAGAAATGCTTTGATGGCGGGAGGCGCAGAAGAAGAGCAGCCAAGTGATTCTTCTCACAACTCAAGGAGGGAGGAGAGAGGTGATCAGTCAGGAATGAACGGAGAGAACCCGTAGACGGGGCGGGAGGGGCGGGAGGGGCGGGAGCAGGGGAAAGGGAGGAGGAGCTGTTGACGACAAAGGGAAAGCGATCCTTGTGACGCAACATGTGCCCTCATCCCCTAACAATTCGGACGGGCTGGATGAGGGGCCCAGTGAGGTGGCAAAGGCGGAATTGAGCGGGGACGAGGTCCCCGTGCGAAGAGGCAGAGGACGACTCCTGACAGACATGCTCTCCAAGGTAAGGAGGCGAGGACGACAGCTGGTCATGGCGCGTGCGAGCGAGACGCTTCCTGTTGCCTTCTGCCGCTTTTTCATGCTGAATCTGGATGCCTTCGAACCCATGCATCTGTCCTCTCGCTCCCTCTCACAGTTGCCTCCACATGCCGTTCCTCGTTGACCCCCTCTCCTCGCTATGCCGTGGTGTCGGCTGATGATTTTTCGTATCCTCGTTGGCAATATCGACTCTTCCTCGATGCCTCCGTATCTTATGTTTTGGCCATGTTGATATCTAATGTCTGGTTCTATCTTCCATCTCCCATCTCAAACCATGGTTCGTTCGTGCTGATTGTGATTCGGTAGAAGTCAACCAACTCATTGTAGATACCTGATATTGCTACTGCTTTCTCTCAACACCTGACTGATCCGCCTCATCTTCTTGATCCTGTAAATCTATGCCCCTCTTCCATGAACACTTGGTGATGATACCCTCAAAGTTCGGCTTATTTTTCATTCCGGCGTGCTTCGTTAAATCCTATTTTTGACATGGCAACTGCAGCTTGAGACTGTAGCTGCATTCTTAGCTGGCCACCATGCTGGAGACACCGGTCCTGGTGGATCCTCCAAGGTGAACATCGAGCGCTGTCCCTCCCTTCTCCTTCGTGCTGCATCGTGAATCAATGAACTCAGGGACCCTGCGCTATTGCCGGCATGTTCGGATGCGCTCCTGCCGCTGCTTCGGAGGAATACGGATCTGTGCGTCTTTCTGATGAGTCTCGTCTTTTCTTGACACCCTTTGCAGCCCTGGTACCCTGCTGACGAGGGCGGCATTGCTCCATGGCCCACCACCATGTCCTCGTAAACTCGTCGAGGACCGGCAAGACAACCTCCAACTTACGCTCGTCGTGAATTTGTGCGATTAAAAGGATGAAATTTTGACAGCCACAGCCTAACAGTTGGCATTTGGTTGATCTTAATTGAGTGTGGCTGCATGTTTCATGTTTCATCCTTGATTTCACAGGATCGTGATTTGGAAATTTATTTTTCAACTTGTGATCACTCGACAGGAGATGTCACAGATAGCATGAAAGTTCTTTCCATGCAAGGATCCAAACCTTGCTTTCCTCTCACTCTCGTCTTCAGGCCCACGAGAATCTGAGGGTCAACGAACCTTCCGTTACAAACCTCAGTTGTTCCGATGCACTTCCATCCAGCAGGGAAACCAAACTTCCTTTCCACGTCTTCGCTGCGAGCAAGGCTGTTTCTCCGAGCTCGTTCTGGAGGAAGTTGACGCTCGGAGATGGTGGACGCGCTCTGACGCCTTCCCTGATTTTCGTTTGGCTCCTTGTGGAACAGATTAGTGACTGAATGACAAGCACCACTGCTGATATATCCCAGGCCCTGCATGAACTTGTCGCTGATGTGAACTGCATTGCAGACGGCCGTTTGTTCCAGTAGCTCAACGTCTCTCATTGTTTGCCCCATCACATGAAATCTTGATTGGATTCTTCCGATAACACCAGATGCTACGATTCCAACTGATATTCCGATTCGACAAGTCAAGTTTTGTTTCGAACGTTTCCTTTCAGAAAGGATTGATTGAATCATCAGCGACGCCAGATTCAGCATATCTCCGCACGTCTTCCTCGTTTTTGCCTGCATGAACCAATCGTGGTCACAAGGAAGCCAACCTGCAACAACATAGGCATCTCCAATGGTGTCCACTTTGAATAATCGCTTTTGCATCACTGCTTCATCAAACGTTGAAAATAAGCGATGAATGAGACCAGCCAGCTCGAGTGGGTTGATCTCTTGAGACATCTTGGTAAAGTTGCATATATCCAGCTGTAGAACTACAGCTCTCTCCATTACACAGGGCATCTTGATCGAGCTGCGGATCATCTGTTGCGCTATGTTTTCAGGCATCAGGTCAGTCAGTACTTCGCAAACGCGACCATACTCAGAGACCATCAACCGGTAGAATTTCATCCTAGCGCTTGCACGGTATCTCAGGGGCCTCGATTCAAGGAACGTCACCACAAAAGCAGAAAACCCCGCAAGGAGCAACGAAGAAGCATTGACAATTGATTCAGCCACGAGATACGACGGCACGTGCATTATGAGGATCATGGTCACCATGTACATCCCGTACTTGACTGAAATCAAGGAGCAATGCAGGTGCAGGGTGACGATCCCCAAACCGATGATCATCACCCAGACTCTGAAACCGAACCAGAACCTAGAGATCCACAACACAAAAAGTATCAAACCTTTCTTGACGGAGTATCGCAGTAAATACTTTCGTCGAATCTGTGATTCTCGGAAGACTTTCCACCATAATATGAAAGTGTAGGCTGCTATCGTTGCGCCGTGTATGGAGAATAAAAAATAATATAGGTAGCGATTTGTTGAACTTGGAGCCAACGTGAGATGGATCCAAATTGCTACCATTGCAATAAAGTGAAGTATCCTTGCCCTGAGGATGGAATTTCGATGATCTTGCCCTTGTTCCAGGAGAAGTTCCGTCTCGGTATTTGGATCAGTGAGAAGCTCGACAAATTCATCAAGCTGACTGTCCCTCATCTTCTGAATAACAGGACTATTCGAAGCCATCTGGCCAATGTCAAACTTGGTGAGAAGATCCAATCGTGTCTTTGAGTCAATTCTGCGAAAATTGAGCGTTCCACTAGGTCTTTCTCCATCATCAACCACCTGAATTTCAAAAACCTCCATGATACCTTTACCCTTGATTGATTTTTCACCACATGACTTGAAGCTAATCGAGTTCTTATCTACACTTTTGACCTGCTCCACAACCTCCTGCGTGCATAATATCTGATTGGGTTCTGCGTATTTGCACATCCTTGCTGCTGTATTTGTCGTGTCACCATACACACAATAGAAAGCCCTATGAATCCCAATCACAGCGCCGGCAGCATCCCCGCAATGAATTCCAATCTTCAGATTGAGCTGGTGCTCCTCCACCTTGTAAGTACGCGTGATGTCACGCAATTCATTGGCCAACCGCGCGAGGCTGGCAACATACTCAGAAGGATAAGGCTTGCATTGCTCACTTTCATCAAAAGGCCGAGCGGCACGTGGGCAGGTAATGATGTACCAATCAGCCACATGCTGATATTTGTGCATTCCGTGCCTTTCCACTGCATCGTCAAACTTCTCAAAGATGTTGTCCAGCAACTCAAAGGCTTCCAGAGAAGTCCTGGACTTGAGAACGTCTTGCGGTTCAAGAGAACAGAACATAATGCTGCAATACGGTATCGAGATACCCAGGAACTCTTTGGGGTCGTGATGACGGGCAAGTTTTTCCAACACATTTTCTGGTATTAGTCTGTGCACCAGCTTTCGACTCGCTTCTGCGGTGAGAACAGTCTTCTTAGCTAGATCATATTCTTTCAGCTCCAATTTGGGGAAATAAACACAGTAAAGAAACGAAGCAAGGACAAAAAAAAATTGCAATGAAACAGAAGTTACAAGAGTATATGAGGTATCCGATGGAATAATAATGGCTGTACAGAAAGAAATAAAGAAAACAAGAACAAATCGCCACGAGCTCGGATTTGCCAGTTGCGCAAAATCCCACACTTCTACAGGAAGTGATTCAAGTTTGAAAAAGGAGCTCATATTCCTTTGAGAACTCATGAAGCTCATTCAACCCTCATCGTCGCTTGAAATTTGCAAACACATCTCAGAAAAATGCCCCGCCCAACTGGAACTCTGCTTAAAACAACGTCAATGTTTACACACTGTCTTTCTTCCCACAAATTCTACGGAAAACCTGATTGACACAACGCTGCTATTCAAGCGTCCATTTCAAGTTCATGCTTTTGTCCGCAGAATTATATTGCATCTTCCTGTGAAATCTAAGGATCCCTATGCAATTGTAGTGCCAAATGATGTTTCCATCCTGCCGCGTCTCTCAACTTTAACTAATTAACGCTTTGCAATCAATCCTGACATCAACCTTCAATTCTATTCAATGTATTTCCTAAATTTTGTCCCATTTATCTGATCCTGACAGTCCCTTCCCCTTCCCCACCCTCTTCCGGCCCTTGCTCTGCCATTCCTTGTTCTTTCATCAAGTTTGCCCTTTTGAGCTTCTGCCCCTGTACATGCTCTTCCTGCTTCTTGACAACCTGAATTTCCTCCAGCTGTTATACAACTAAGTTCCTTCACTCTTCTTGTCCCTTCCCATCCCCCTTCCCTTCAGGTTTGTCCTCTGCCCCCCTCCCCCCCTCCCCTTCCCCTCTTTTCCTTTCTCCCTCCTCTGCGCCCCCTGCAGCAACAATCATCGTGGCAACCGAGAACTTTCACTCAACATCCTTTTACGACTTTCAGTTATAAAAAAGATCCATTGGTACAATTCAAAAATTATTCATACAAAAAGTTGTAATAATGTCGTACAAATTGGTTTACTCATCTGTCACACATCCCTAGCGTCTGACCATCGATTGAGCTGCTGCGAGTTCTTCCCCCATAACTAAAACGTTTACTCACCTGCGACCAGAAACGTTTTACTCAATACAGGCAAATCGACTTGGGATAGGAACAAAACTTTACTCAATATTCATTATCAATACAAATAATGGGGGATACGTGTGGTACGGGCACGGGCCCTTCTTTACACGCCATCTGAAAAACTATTATAAGTCTGTTGAGTAATAAACCTTTCCAACAGGAGTCACGTGACTCTCAGGTGTTGCTCCGTTACAATACGTTTCATTGCCGTTATCTTTTGCAACGCATCCCTTACCTCCCTCGAGTGCATGGCAGGTCAGCATCTCGTTTTATGCCTCCTGTCTCGATGACGTTTCCATCTCCTCCCCTTCCTCCCTCCCCTCCTCCCTCCCTCCCTCCTCCCTCCCTCCCTCCCTCTCTTCCCCCTCTCCTATGATACCTCCCTCCCTCCCTCTCTTCCCTCTCTCCTATGATGCCCTCCCTCCCCTCCCTCCCTCCCTCCCTCCTATGATACCCTCTCTCCCTCCCTCGCTTTCTCCCCTCCTCCGCCTACAGCATCTCTTCCCTCCCTCTCTTCCCTCACTCATCTACAGCAACTCTTCCCTTGCTCTCTCCCCTCCTCCACGTACAGCTTCTTTCCCCTCTCTCCCTGCCTAAACCTTGCAGCCGTGACCCATTCTTGTGTAAGCCCTCTTCTGGAACACCTTGTGACCCCACTTGGATGACACCTGACATGTGCAGATTCCAGCCTTGGGTGAACAGATTGCCAAGACACAGGAAGAAAGCAATGAGCGGCTCATGGCTAAAGTCCGTATTCAAATCGAAGTCGTCCAAGAAGTCCAAGAAGGAGGAAACCATCGCACATGCTCTGCCGGACTCCGAACTTCAACAGGAAGACTGCAAGTACAGGGAGGTCATGAGTCATGGCATTCCGCCCACGTCTTGCACGATCGCCTACGACCACCTCTTGGGTCTCCTTGCCCTCGGCACGCTGGACGGGAAAGTGAAAGTTCTCGGGTCGTTGGGAGTAGAAAGGACGCTAATGTCCCCCCACCTGTCTCGAGTGACTTGCCTTGAGTTTGCGGCTGGCAAGGGTCAGCTGGCAGTCGGAACGGACTTTCCTTCCCTGCTCGTGTGGAACCTGAGCCAGACAGAATCTGGGGAACAAGAGTTGACCAACATCAGAGTCTTGCACGCGATCAACTCGATAAGATGGATCCCAGGAACAGACTGCTTCTGCATGAGCACGAGCGGGGCGGAGGTCAGGTTCTTCAGGATAGGAAATGAGAGTCTATCCAAGCACAAGGTGACTGCAGAGGAGCTTCAGCTCTCTGGCAAGGACACGCATGAGATCACTAGCGCAGAGCCTTCTACGGAGCACCATCAGGTCCTGGTGGGAGCCAAGGCAGGTCACTTGCTACTCTGGGACTCACGCAGCAGCTCGATAGCACGGCGATACATGGGCGCGGCGATCGGCTCGGAGCTGGTGCATGCGGGTTACACTTCGAGTTGCAAGTATGTAGTTGCAACCTATGCCAATGCAACAATGCAAATTTGGCTTGCGGAGAAGGAGAAGAATGTGCTAACACAAGTGAAGCTGGTCGAGGGCGTGACCTCGGACTTCGAGAGCTCCTTCCTTGGAATGAGCTCCATGATAATCGACACGGCGAAATCTAAGAAGGGCAAGGACGAGCCCGATGAGGCGTTATTCGTCTTCTACCTCAAGGATGGGAAGTTTTGCACGACTTGCTTCCAGGGGACGAACCTGAAAGACAGGGTGGAACTCTCCTGTGATGATGAGCAAGAGGGGGAAGGAATCCAGGCAGTAATCCCTGCTTTCCGGGAGCGTGAAGAGGCCCAGCATGCAAGGCGCTACTTTCTACGGCTTCACTACGGAGGTTTGGTGGACTTCCTGCAGATGTCTCCCGAGGACTCTCCCACAAGTTTGAGGAGGAGAAATCTCCCGCAGGTGTTGAGGTCGAACTCCCCACTGTGCATGGCCATGACAACCCTCGTTCCCATCGAAATCGCCAGCCGACTCATCATCGACCTGTCGGAGTCTCCTGAGGAGGAGGAGGAGTTGGAGACTTATCTGGAGGAAGTTTACAGCCCTCTTTGGGGAGGGAGGAGGCCGGAGCCTCCGCTCACTCTCCCTGTCCCCTGCCTGCTCGTCACCTGCCACACGGGCGGTCGAGTCTGCCTGTGGAACGTCAGGACGGAGTCGCTCTTGCGTGTACGAGGAGTTCCAGCTCAGCGAGAGACGAGCGATGAGATCTTGATGTCGAGCCTGATTGTCGATCAATGGCAAAAGGGAAGCGAAGAGGCAGCGGCAGCAGCGGCAAGGGGGGGGGAAGGAGGAGGAGGAGGAGGAGGAGGAGGAGATGGCAATGAGACTCCTGGCCTCCTTCTCCTGCTTGCATGCAGCGATCACGTCGAGCTATTGCGGTTTTGTGACCTGGATGATTTCAAGACATTCAGGAGGAGGAGAAAATTGCTTCCTGCTCGTGTGTTGGCGAAGCCAGGTCACGACGAACCGAGGAAGGACGCGAACATGCTGAGAGCTGAGATCAAATACACCTTTGACGAGCAGGACGCACCCCAGATGGTGAGTGAGGAAGACCGTGTGGTAGCTTCGCCCGATGAAGTAGAGGAGGAGCAAGAGATCAGTGCTGAGCAGGACTCTGAGATCGAGGACGAGGAGGAAGCTTCTTCAGATCCCACAAGCACGTCCAAGGAGCTGCAGGAAGGGGTTGTAGATGCCTCTGAGGAGACAGGAGGGGGTGCCGATCCGGACCTTCCTCCTTCACGGGCTCTTCCTCCCATTCCAACCAAGACCGCAGCTGTTGCAGGGCAGGAGGAGAATGAACAGGAAGACAAAGACTATGGCAAGGAGGAGCTGAAAGAGCATCAGAATGAGCATGTTCGCCATGAACAGGAGGAGCAGGAGGAGCAGGAGGAGGCATCCGAGCATACGTACAGCAAGGGCTTCATTCCTGTCCTCTCAGTCAGCATGCAAAACTCGTCAGACAGCAGCAATGGCAGCAGCAGCATGCGGGTTCGCTGCGCCGTGTACGTCCCCGCATGCCGGATGCTGCTGAGCGGCTGGAGCAACGGCTGCATGACCTTCACCAGCAGGCGGCCTGAGCACTCTGCTGAAGTTCTCGACACCTCCTGCTTGACTGCTAAGGGCAGCGGGATCTCCGCCATGGCGGCTGGGTGGGTGGCGATGAGGGACAAGTCTCCTCCCCTTCTGACCCTCTTCGCTGCCGTCGACTCAGCTGAAATCTTCTGCTTCCACCTGCCGTCGGCCGCTGAGCTGCCCATGAGAATCTCAGCGGCGGGGATGGGAGGGTCTCCTGCCGTGTTCCTCGCAGGGCTGGACGAGAATGGGACCCTGGTTCCCTCCTCCTCTCCCCGCCCTTGCCGCTTCCTCCTCGCCGTCTCCTCGCACGCCATCAGGATCTTCAACCTGCCCCTCGACGTACGAGGCTCCCTTCCTCTACAGCAGCAGCAGACCGACATGAACATTAGCGGTGCTGCGGTGCTGCAGCACAACGGGGAGAGCGTCCTGTGCTGCTGGGACGGGAGCGGAGAGGTAAGGATTCACTCTCTCCTTCTGCTGCGGAACCTGGGGAGGATCAAGCTACAGGAGCACCACTCCCTCCTCCGCCCCAACGCCCTGCAGACGATGGCGGTGGGCCAGGATGGGAGAGTCTTCGTGTCTGCTCCCTTCGGAGGAGGAGATTCGTGGAACTTGATGCGAGGAGCGATTTTCACCGGGGAGAACGCGATCCGCTACCCTCAGGTCTCTTCTAGCCTCTTCCTCGAGGAAGTGAAGGTTGTGCGGGAGGAGAGGACTGAGGCGCCCAAGGGAGGAGCTGAGGGGCTGCTGGGAGGGCTGCTGAGCAAGTTCAAGGGGAAAGATGCGAATCAGAGCATGGAGGAGCTGCTGGAGGAGGAGGAGGACGAGGGAAGGCTGGCTGGCAGCCACAAGGTCGCCAAGGAAGAAGGAGACGCGGAGGCTGAGGCGCGGGAGCAACGGCGGCAGCTGTTTTCTGGGACGACGGTGAAGCCTGTGGGAGAGGGGAGGAGAGGGGAGGAGGGAGGGAGACGTGGAGCAGGGGAGGTCGCAGGAGCAGCAGGAGCAGCGAAGGAGGCCATGAACGCGCTGCAGGCGAGAGGAGAGAAGTTGAAGGACATGCAGGAGAAGGCGACGAGGCTGGAGAGTCAGGCCATGGAGTTTGCTGAGATGATCCGCAAGCACAACCAGAAGGAAGCGTCGAAGAAATGGTGGCAGATCTGATACTTTCCTCCTCCTCCTTCCTCCTCTTGCTGCCTCCTCCCTCTCTGCAACCGCTCCCCTCCTCCCGGCCTCTCCCCGACCTCGTTTCTGTTCCCTCTCCTGTTGCTTTCTCCTCTGCGATTGTACAGCGACTTCTGGTCCTGCCTTCTTCTCAGTGCATCCTCTGGAGTGTGATTTTGCCATATTGTGCATTACTATCGAGGATAGTTCCTTGCACATCAGCATGCAGAGTAGAAGCGAACTAGGTTCGAGTCTCGGATTAACTTCAGTTATGATAAATTCCTACTTGTTGGGATCAAACTTCGTCCAAAGTCCATAGGAGCTCGGCCAGCTCGTTACGCTCTTCTTCCAACTTGTTGATCCTGCAGGTGCAAGTGAGGCGCTGGAGCTGGAGCTGGAGCTGGAGCTGGAGCTGGAGCTGGAGCTGGAAGAGGAGCAGGAGCAGGACGTGATGGTGGATTGGGAAAGTTTGGGGGCACAGGAAAAACGAAAGAAGGAGAGGAGAACCAGAAGGAAAGACGAGCACAACACAGAAGGGAGAGGAGGAGGAGGAGGAAGGGGGAGGGGGATGGGGTTGAAACCTTTGCTTCAGCTTCTCTCTTGCTTGCTCCAGCTCGTTTCTCTCCACATCCTCCGACGAATCTTTCTTCCTGCTCGCCGTCCATGCAACTCCAATCACCCACCCACCCCCTTCTACTCTCCTCCTTTTCTCCTCTCCACCCTCCCAGTCTCCTTCCATTCCCCAACTCCTTCCCCTCGAATCACCTTGTCAGTTCAACTTTCTTCTCCAAACTTGTCTGGATTTTGTCACGACGAACTACCTCCTCCTCCAGGTGCTGCCGCCTGCTGCCTCGTGAGCTACCGGAAGAGGGGAAGGCACAGGCAAGATCAGGCATGGGGCTTGTTGAAGAAGGTTGAAGAAGGAAAGAGCAGAGGCAGGAGGAGCAGGAGCAGGAGCAAGAGCAAGAGCAAGATTCGAGTTCTCTTCTCAAACCTTCCTTGTGAGTCTTCAAGATTCTTTTTGACCGTCTCCAGCTCGCTCGCCATGTCTTTGAGCTGCTCGTTGCAGGAGCTCGAGGAGTCAGAGAAAGCGGAAGGGGAACCAGGAGGAGGCAGGAGGACAGAAAGAGAAATCGAAGGAGTGGTAGAAGAGAGGACAGTGGAGGAGGAGAAAGTAGAGGAGGAGGCGGAAGTAGAAGAGGATATGGGGGAGGAGGGGGAGGAGGAGCAGAGGGCGGGGAGACCTTGTCCTGTACTTTCATCAGACACGAGCTGATCTTGTCCGACATGTTCAGGCTGAGGCTTAGGTTCTCGTCCATCAAAGAGGACGAAGTTCGAATGTCCTCCTCCTCCCCCCTCTCCACCTCCTCCCTCCTTCCCCCCTTGCCCCTCTCCTCCTGCACATCCCAGGGTACATCAGATGAAGTCAACACAGCAGCAACCGCTACCTCCTGCTTCTGCTCCTCCTCCTCCTTCCTCCCTTGGCTGCTGCCTGTCTGCTGCATCCGCTGCCTCTCCAATCTCAACAGCTCCACTGCACAGCATGTCAACCCCCGTAGCCGCTTCCTCCTCCCTCCCCTCACCCTCGCGCTCTGCCGCTTCGCATCGTAGCCGCAGCATCGAGAGCTCCTCTGCTTCGGCAGCGGAGGAAGAGGAAACCCAGTCCAGCTCGTTCTGTCCAGCAGCCCTCAGATCACTAGTGGAGGTCAGCACACTCACCATCAGGAGCCTCGTCAGCTGATCCTCCAGCGACTTGTTTTTGAGCCTCAGGGTCTCTACCTCCTCCACGATCTCCTCCATCGCGTCCTACGGCCTGTAGGAGCAGGAAAGGGCCCTTGTCAGAGACGGCGATGCAGGGAAGGAGGGCGTGATCGGGGGGGGGAGGAGGAGGAGGAAATGATGAGTAACGTGGACATGAATATGAGGTAGAGGATGAAGCATCAAGACGAGGACAGAGGGATGGACAAGCGGAAGGAAAGGAGGAGGCGGGAGAGGAGGAGCGAAGGAGCGACGTCGAGAACGAGTACATGGAAAATGTAGCGCAGGAGGAGGAGCAGGAGGAGGAGGAGGAGAACAGATGATAGAGTAGCATAAGATGCTGGAGGTCATAGCTGGGGAGAGCGATGGGGTCATAAGGCAGGAGGTGGAAGGGCGCTGGTGGGTTGGTTGAAGCAGAGTACGGCAGGAGGGCAGGGAATAGAAATCAACGGACGGGAACTAAGAGAGCGCATGAGAGCAGGAGGAGCAGGGGAAGAAGGATCAGGAGGAGAGAGATAGAGGGAGGAGGAGCAGGAGGAGCAGGAGGGGAGGGAGGAGCGAGCAGCAGGAGAGGGCAACAGGATCTGCAACAGGATCCGATATGGAGGCGTACGAGGGACCTGAGGAATCGGGAGCAAGGGAGTCTGCCTCAGAGTAGAAGAGAAACGAGGGAGGCAGGAGGGAGGAGGGAGGGGAGGGAGAGGGAGAAGAGATTGACAGGGTAGACTTGCAAGGAGAGGAACTTTACTGTCACCGCTACTGCACTACAAGTCTCTCCGACAACGCGGGCGAGCAGAAGGTCAATCGGCTTCACTGGCCACCTTTCTTCTTGGCCGCCTGTAAAGCTCTGAGATCGTGCTGGGCGGAAAGGACAGGAACCGAGGTGAAGGAGAGGAGGAGGAGGAGGAGGAGGAGAAGAAGAAGAAGAAGGAGGGGAGCACAACATGGGGATGGGAAAGGAGAGGAGAACCCGGGAGGGGCAGGAAGGAGAAGCAGGGGAGGAAGTAGAAGCAGCGACAGCAACACGAGTTAACCTGCATGAATTCATCCAGACCGAAAACATCTTCATCCCTGTCGAACTCCACAGGGCCTGCGCAAGTCGGCAACAGTCAGACGCATCTCCCTCTTGCTCTCGCTCTCTCCCGCCACGCTACATGACCAGCTGCCCTACCTGATCGCGATTGGCGGGCGCCATCGCCCGAAGCACCCTGGGAATCAGAAGAAAGTAAGGAGAAGGGAGGGAGGGTTAACAGGGAGGCAGCACCTGAAACTCGTTGTCCACCTTGAAGCGCGCGTTCTTGAGCGTCTGCTCCATCACCGAGTCTTCGTCTCCCGCCAAGTCCTGCCGGCGTCTCACTCCCCTCCAGACACTACGACAAGGCCATCCGGCCTACCTCGGCATTTCCCTTGGGCCGATAGACCGAGCTGGAGCGCTCTTGGAACAACCTTTTGTCGTACACGTTGTATCCATCCTCAGCACCGAAACCAGAATCCATGCCAGACGTCTGGGAACAAGCAGAGACTCACAATGTAATCCAAGTTCATGAGCTGGGTGTACCTGGTTGAAGAGCCTCTGATCGAACTGCATGTCCTGCCCACTTGGCTTTTCACACGCAAGTCAGCCCGAAGCAACAAAAGGTGCCACCAACAAGTAAAAAGTCAACAACACAAAAAGATGGGGCTCGTCACTGCATGCGCACTGAAGTCAACTATCCCTCGTAATTTCATCATCGATTCCTCGTGCTCTCATAGGGATTTCCATTGAAGTACCTGAGCAAGGCCAAGAGCGATCTTTTCTGACACGTCACGGTCCCTATCCCTTGTAAGCTTGGAGCGCTTGACTCCCTTCCTCTCAAGCTCTTCGAGGCGCCTTTCTCTCTCCCTCTCGCGACGTCGTTCTTCACGGATATCGTCACGTTGCCGTCTGGCCTCCCTTTCTTCGCGACTCTCGCGCTCGAACTCCTCAGCTGGGATGAAGCTCCTGCTATCAAAAGTCATCAGTGTGCCGAACATGGGTGGGCATCAAAGATTCAACTAGATCTCCTCAGATGTTTCAATCGCCCCTTACCTTCTGTCCTCGTCCGCATCTTCATCTCCACCACGCCCTTCTCCCGTTCTACTTTCAATACCTCCTCCTCCTCCTCCTCCTCCTCCTCCTGCAGCTGCTCCTCCTCCACCACCAAGGCTTGCTCCTGGTGCAGCCCCAGTGCGAAGCATACGAGCATCTCGAGCAAGCTGCCTGAGCTCCTCGTCCTTCTTCTCCTTCTCGAGCCTTTGCTGTCGCTCGCGCTCCTTGATTCTTGCGGCGATGCCTTCTCTCGCCGACTCTTGGGCAACCAACAGGGACTCACTGAATTGTGCGAACTTGTCGTTCACAACGATTTGGGAATGCCCTCGTCCATCAGCAGCCAGACGTTTATCAAGGGGGATTGTGTAACCCTTAGCATTCTTCCAGTTTGATACACACGGGGGAATCTTCCAATCTGCCATGTCCTGCAAAGACGAACACTGAGTGCTCCCGTTCACACCTCAAAGACTCCGCTACCTTTTGCGACACTTTTCTTGGAGGCGAATGCATCACGGGGACTGGTGGGGACGGCGGACCTCGAGGGGCCTGCGATGTTGGTAAACACAAGCTCAGGTTGAGCTTCAGGTCTGCCTCACCTTCTTGTGCTTGAACTTGGGTGGTTCCAACGGGTCAACGGGCATCTCGTGCATTTTGATGATTCTTTCCCTCGCCCCACTGTTGTGAGACGATACTGAATTGCTCGGAACATATCTACGGCAAACAATCACCTCTACACAACCCGATGTGCAGTCGCTGTTACCTGATGTATTCCGCATCCTTCTTCTGATTGATCTCAGGTCGAGCAACCTTAGCCGCTGTGATCTTTCCATTCAAAATTTTCTCCAGGGCAGCCTGCGTCTCCTGGGTTTTGAGCCTGATCTGAGATCACATCACACAAGATCAGAAGAGATCATCCTGATTTGCATCTAGCAAACCTCTTCATCGTCGGGCTTGTCGACATCCATTTCGTGGACCCGCTTGGCAACAAGGTCCCTGGCTGAGCCCTGCCTCGTGTCACACAGCGCAAGGACATGGGCCCTCTTGCGTAAGGAAACCTTACCTGGATCAGCGTCTTGTGTGTCCTCCCCTGCCCCAGAATCGCATCGTACTTGATGTTACCCTCTACACAAGTTTCAGTTCCTGAGACTGAAGTAACAGTCCAAAGAGGTTTTTCACCTGCATCCATTTGTAATGCGATCGTCTTCCCTGTCTTCCCATCTTTCTTTCCCAAGTCCAGAGGAAACCTAATTGTAAGTGCATGCGGTCAAGGAACCAGCCGAATCTCCCCTTTGCACGACTACTGGTCCTCGAAACAAACTTCTCTCGAAAATTGCGTTGTTCGTGGCTCAATCTCCTTCCAGTCCCTCCTCTGTGCCTCAAGTTACTCACTGGGCTACATGGATCTCAGGGAAGGCGCCTCCATCGCCGAAATCTTCCAGCGACCTTCACAGATCGTTACAAGATTTCCTACCCATCTGACCTCATTCAGCAGAACCTGGGTACCCATCCCCGCCTTTGCCCTTGGGGTGGAGGCTCCTTGCGACTTGAGGTCTGAAAGAAATTTCCTTGTCAGTTTCGCAGCATGTCGAGCACGTGAAGCAATGGTGGCATGCTCATACCTGAGACTGCTCCTTCGGCGCATCCTCCTCTTCGTCATCGTCATCCCACCTGTAACGTTTCTCAACGAGCAAGCTTCTTGCAGACTATCAGTCTATCATAATCTCGTCAATAAATATGCTGTGTTCTTAGGTCCCTAACTCTGTCTACCTCATCATGAGCTGATATCTGCCTTGCGCATCACCTAGTCCGCCCTGCCGGATTGCGCCTGCTCCCCACTCTGCGCTTTCACTTTCCCCCGATCCTCTCATTGTCACAGCGACTTCCTTCCCTTTCCCTTCCTCTCACACTCTGCATCTTCGCATACCTGGAACTCTTGCCTGTCGGCTTCGGCAGGATTTCCGACATTTTCACTCCCATGCCCCTCACTGCCGCCATTGCTGCAGGGCACGCGTCCTCTCCCCACCACCCCTACTAGCTCGTCCCCCATCACCCCCACATTTCCCATGGAACTGATACCAGGGGTCATGGTCATTGTCCAGTCAACCACCCACACACACCCGCCTTTCCAACCAATAACCACCCCCTTCCACATTTGTAACTACCCTACCAATGTAGTAAGTTTGCCGTTATACTACCCATACAATTGACTCCATATTGATACAAAATGGTAGGGTTGAAGCGAAGGTTTGATCACCCCTACCCCCTAATTTGACTTACCCCAGAGACCAGCATGCTGAATAGGACCCACCCCTTGTCCCAATTACCCCTACATAGTCTAGCTCATGACACCACCCCTACGGTTGGGTGTAGTCTCCAAGTCCTCATACTGTCCTCATACTGTCCTCATAGGGTCTGCCGGCTTTCGCGGATTGGGATTTTCGGTATTTCATGTCCACAGCCTCCTCCACCTCCTCCTCCTCTTCCTCCCCATTCAACAGCATCATCATCATCACCACCACCACCACCACCACAGTCTCCTCCTCCACCACAGCCTCGTTGTCCTCATCCCCCCCCTTCAACAGCATCACCACCACCACCACCACCACAGTCTCCTCCTCCACAGCCTTTTCCTCCTCGCCCCTTCTCCTTCTACCCCTCGTCGTCCACCTCTCTTCGCCTTTCTGTTCTCTTGTCCTTGCTTGTTGGAACCTTCCGTTGTCTCCCATGCTGGTCCTGAATCGTTGTCTAAGTTCTATTAGTCTTCTTCTACAGAAACCAACCTTTCCATGTATAATTGTTTGATCTGAGCCTCTCTTGTGCTTCATTGTCCTTCAATGCTTCCTTGTGCACCGTTTGTCATCTTCTGCCCTTGTTAGCTCTGACGAGCTATCCCTTTCACCCGATTACTTTCACAATATAATGTTTCCAACTCTTGTCTGCATGTTCTCACACCCATCTCACCACCAGACGCTCAAAGATACCAGCCTGACCTCCAAGACTTCTTCCAAAGCGGTCTCACATGTGCTTCCGCTCGAGTTGACTCAGGTCTCGAACAAGAAAGGTCTCAAGGGTATGGGAGCGATCAGAACTGTCCTCGTCCTCGCCCTCTTGTGTGTATGCAGAGCTCGCCTCCAGGCAGCGAGAGGCATCCTCAGCATCGTCAATCAATGCTCCCATGTCAGGGCCAGTGAGAACAGCTGCCGACGCCATGCTCTCGGTCGACCTCTGCGCCTTGTTGGCGGGTCCGGGGATGCTGAAAGTGATCCGGCGAAGATGATGGAGGAGGGGGAGCGCTTGTTCGCTGTGGCCATGGGGAGAAGGAAAGGAGAGGAGGAGACGAAGACAACGTGCTTGAAGGCGCTGGTCAGGCTGCTCATGGGAGGTAATCCCATGGATTTGTCAGCAGGAAAGAAAGCGGCGCTGCTGGAACAAGCAGTGGTAGGATCATTGATTGCTGGAGGATAGGTTGGGGGCAGGAGGTGGAGGGGAGGGGGAGCGACATTGAGAGGAGAGAAGGACGAGTTGTGGAGCTGAAGCAATGAGCGCAGGATATGTTTGACAGTGCTTCTGTAAAATACAAGCTGCAAGGACAGCTGAAACAAGCAGGATCTGCTGTCATGCGGTGAGATGACTGCTTTATTGTTGTTAAATTCTTCTTCCCTGTCATCGTCATCTTCTGCTCCTCCTCCTCACCATCATCATCATCATCATCATCATCATCATCATCATCATCACTCCTTTCCTCGTCGCAATTGCACTGATCGGCCGGCAGGGCGGCCGAATGTTGCAAGAACATCCGTGACAGAAGCTACGAGGCAGCAGACAAGGTCTTCCTCTACGAGCAAGTGGAGTTGAACCCTGACTTGCATCGCTTTTTCAGTTCCTCAGTGCTGCCAACATCCTCAAACCACGGTCCCCCCCCCC